TCCTTACAACCACGGACAGGCCCCCAGTGGCAAATGTGTTTTTTATTGAGCATCGTTTGGGTATCGTTTGGTGTTTGCAGTGCTGCTGTCGAGTTACGAGTTCCTTACAACCACGGACAGGCCCCCAGTGGCAAATGTGTGTTTTATTGAGCATCGTTTGGGTATCGTTTGGTGTTTGCGTTGTTTTCCCTTCTTCATTGTGGCATCATTGGGTGTTTGAGTTTCTCCATGCAGTTCAAGATGTGTGGTGGCAAATGGATTTCCCCAAATCAAAGTTGATCGATTGACCGGTGGTTTCTCGCGGAAACCCTGTTTGAAGGTGCCCAATTTTTGGAATTTCAAGGCAAACTGGAACAATTCGCTTCCCAAAGCCACATCATTTGAGCCACTGTGAAAATGTTTGGTTAAGGACTCCACTTTTGATCAGATTCCAGTTTTGGAGGTTCCCTTTAAAGGGACATGGGCAGAAACCCTGCAAACATTAGGGTAAAATACCATGACCCCCCACAAACACATGGATATGTCCCGGTGGTTTTTCTCGGTTTTTCTCCCCCAGGCCCCCGGGCCCCCCCGGAAAGTTTCCAGCCCCTTCCCTTTGCCTTTGAAAAAGTCCAGGCTCGCCGGGGTGCCGGCAGGAGCTGGCAGGGCGGCCCAGTCTTTAGAAGTCAGCTTCTCGTTTTTTTTGTTTTCCCCTTCTTCTTTTTCAAGCCACCAAGTATTTGGCTGTTAAACAACTAGGTCCCCCAGTAGTGCCCTTTTACCCTTTTGGGGGAGGGTCTCCCTACTAAAATAGACGTCCTGAAAAAAATAGTTGGTACCCTTATTCTAACCTCCCAAATCTGGAGGACCTAGCGAAACAAAAAGCCGCCAATCACCCGTTTGGTTTTTGGTTTCCGAGCTACATGGTTTCCCTTCTTGGAAACTCCAAAAGTGGCAGCTTCAAAAGCGGCTTCGCCGCCAGCAGTATCCACCATGAACACCAAAACGGGCAAATACATAGGACACGTCTCATGTGGTAATCCCCTCATAGCCGGTTGGTTTCCTTGGATTTCCAGGTGGCATCTGCCATTTGGGTGTCACTCATGGTTCCCTCTTTCAGCCTGTCCCTTAGCTTTGCCACTCTCAGGTCTTTGAGTGCTGGTCACGTGATTTAGCGTATTGAAGGCAAACAAAAACCCACCCTCAAGCCAGGGACATCATCATGTACAGCTCGAGGACGAGTGTTTGAAACCACCGTCCGTTCAACAGTTTTCTTGGGGCGGCGTACTTTCCGAAGCAATAGCCCTGAAAAAAGGACATGTGGAAGGCCAACTTTCCGGGTGAAGGCAGGCAACACTTCACTCACATTGGCTCACTAGATGTCGCCGCGCTTGGTGCAACATTTTGACCCAGGGTTCCACTTTTTGACTACCCCAAGATATGCTTGAACCCAGGGCTTCCCCTTTTGCGGGTAATGACCCACCCCTGGGTTTAAGTCTACCCTGGGCTAGTCAAAAAGTGGCACCCTGGTTTTGCCAGTGGCGAAAGGGTGAAAAAGGGTGGGTACCCACCTGGGCGCTGGCCTCGGCATGAGGCCACGTTGAACGTGCGCCTGGAGCGGATTCTTGAGGCGGGCCTGTGGGATGCGCGGCGGGGGGAGCCTGCAAGCGCTTTTTCTCCCGTGTAACGCTCGCCACTTTGGCAACCGCCCATCCAGCAAGGTAACCCAGTTGCCCAGCAGTGCCTCTTTTTTTTTTTTTTGGGGGGGGGGAAGGGTTCCCATTCAAAGTCAACCAGCCAAAAAGTATGTGTTTGTTTCCCCCTCTTTTTTTTTGGGGGGGGGGGGAAGTCGGAAGGGTTCCCATTCAAAGTCAACCAACCAAAAAGGATGGCCTTTGTTTCCCATGGCCACTGGGCGTCTGAGGTAAACAGGGCGACTAGCCGGCAGTGTGGCCAAGAGATAGTCTTTGGCATGACCGTAGCGCACATCTTTTAGGACAGCACCGGTTTTCCCCAATTGAAGCAGCAGCGAGTTGTTGCTTATGCTAGGCTCTGGTTTGGTTTGCGTTTGCCATTGTAGGTCATACGACGTGTTTGTTTCCGGTCACTTAATTTGCGGCATGACATGTAGCACACCTCTTTTTTTCAAATCTTTCTTCAGGGCTAAGGCTTGCCCATTGCCCAGCGGCAAAGCAACTTCACACTGGCCCATTTGCGCGTGATTCTTCGCCTCACGCCTCGCAAAGTTTGACTCATTGCCAAGCCGTGCGCGGTTGGCAAATAATCCATCACAAGTTCTGGCTTGGGAAGGCAGACGTTATTGAGCCAGTGTTGCGCGCCCCAGATGTGACGGCAGATCCTCGCAACAGGCAATTCGGGCGCATCAATCCGGGCGTGTCTCCCGGATTTTGGTCATAGCTTGCAGCGGGACGAAGCCAGGCATTGACCGGGCGCAAGGTGTAGATTGTTTTCCCATTTTTTTCAGGGACACCCAGTTTTTTTGTTTTATATCTATATATATATATATTGTTTTATTTGTTTGCTCATGGTGGCAAAGCAACGGGGCTTTGAGGTGGACGCGGGGGGCACGTTGGGGTTTCATTTCGCTGGGCAGACCCGCATGCAACTTCGGTCCTGGGAGGTGGCAGAAGATTGTTAGATCCCACTGGAGCTAAACTAAACTCAGTTGTTCAGTGGCACCCTTTTTCTTTTTCCTTTTTTGTTTGGTGGCTGCCCCACTAAAAATGGTCCAAGCCCCGAAAAGGGTTCCAATTCTTTTCCAGGGTCACTGAACAACTGAGTAAAGCACCAAGTCGAACCATTTCGAACCAATCCCAGGCTATAGGCAAAGAAATGCGAATCAAAGCAATTGGCTATAGGCCCAATCCACTTAAGTGAGTAAACCAACGCGAAGGCCCAAGGTGAACTTCTTGCCACAGACTCGCCTCGAGTTTCGAGTTTCGACTCGAGTGGCAGGCGCAGACCGACAAGGTGGTAGAGGCCGCTGCAGAGGCGTTGGGTTGATTCGGATGGATCTTTTGGATGTGTTGCCGTTTGTTTGATTATTTGGTTTATTTGTGTATGTCGTTTGTTTGCGCAGTGGATTTGTTTGATTGCTTGTTTTGTTTGTTTGTTTGCTTGCGTGCGTGCGTGCTTGCTTGCTTGCTTGTTTGCTTGTGTTGTTTATGCTGTTTGCGTTGTTAGTGTATTTTGTGCTGTTGATATGTTTGTTTGTCTGTCTGTCTGTCTGTATGCTTCTTCTCTTTGTTGGGTTTGTTTTTGTTGCTTGTCCTCTTGTTTTTGTTTGTTTGTCTGCTTTGTTGTTTGTGGGCTTGTTTTGCTTGTTTGTGTCCTTTGCTAATTTGTTTGTTCGTTTGTTTGTTCGTTTGTTTGTTTTGTTTGTTGTTGTTTTGTTTTTTGTTTGTTTGTTTTTCTCGTTGTGTTTGTCCGTTAGTTTGCTTGCTTTTTGTTTACCTGTTTGCATGCGTGTTTTGTCTAGTGTTTTGTTGTTGGCGCTTGGTTTGGTTGGCAATTTTTGCTTGTCTGCTAGTTGTTGTGTGGCTGTTTTGCTTGGCTGGCTGCCTGGCCGCTTATTTCGCAGCCTGGATGGTCTGCCTTCAACGAATCTTTAGTGCCAAGGGATGTTACGACTGACTAACTTTTTTAAGACTTGAACATTTTTTGGCGACTAATGGGTTTTCCACCGAGGAATGTCCCCGAAATCCCAGCTCCTTTGGCTCAAGGTCAAAGGTGCTCTCTTGCGAGCGCATAGTTTTTTTTTGCGGCCTCGAAGCCTGGCACGGCAACTTGATGGGCCGCCGACTTGTCAACCTTGGGGAACGAGTTTGATGTTTTCTGGCAAAACCGTTTGTTTTTTGATTGCTAGTGGTTTGGGCGTCAGAGAAGCCAAATCATCAACACATGCTTTCCAGCCCGAGCAGTCTGATCGCGTTTTTTAGGCAAGCGCGCCACCTCCACTTTTTTCCAGCCTTATGGCCGTTCGCGCGGTAGCGCTTCTGGCGCTTGCCCACGCACGAGTGCTGCAATTGGACCTGTTCGGCACGGACGCCGGGGGCTGCGTATCCAGCCCATGCCGCAGCTTGTCCTTTGCCATCGGGCAAGTGGAGGCCTGGGGTTCTGCGCCGCATATCCCGTTTTGCTTTATGGCTCTTTGGTGGACATTGACGTTGGAGCTCAACAAACACCAGGGGTTCGGCCAGGGACCATCCTTTACCCTGAAAACCAACCTAATGCCTCAAATGCAAAACAAAATATTGCAATTTGGTAACAGATCTTTGGACTTTAACTGTTCGGTTCAAACAGTATGGGACCCACAGAAAGTTGAAAGCTTTTTGCAGAGGGGTCAGGGGCAACCACGTTTGTTCGAATGTTTGGGCCGAATTTCAAGAATGGCTCCGATTTCCTCTTCTAAGGCTCACTGTGCAAGGTGCAAACGTCAACCCAAGAGTGCTCCCAAGAATGGGCTGTGTCCCTTTGGATTCCCTCAACCATATTTAATTGAAACTCAAGCGAAAACCACGTGAGCTGTGGGGGCCCTCAAGGATACAAACCTTTTGAATTCGTCCAGCCCGCCCGTTGTAGGTGTGCATTCGTAAAAAAAACCATTCTTAGTTTGGCCTCCCATGAGTGCTCTTGGGTCGGATCTTTAGACTTCAACTTTTTAGGAGTTAAAGGTGTTTTCCGAACTAAGCCCTCAAAAAGTGATCCACTTTTTTCAGGGCTCCTTAAAAAGTCTCCATTCTGCAACCATTTGACACATGTTGCTTTTTCCACTTCCCCCAAAATAAAAGTTGGACACCATTTGCAAGTTGCGATGTTCAGGTGTACAAGTTGCATCCGGATCCCGGTTTTTTGCAAAATCGGGTCGGGTCGTTGCAGCGAAAAGCATCTGGGGGTGCTGAGGTCCTGGAAGCTGCTCGATGGAATTTTCGGGCGGAGAAAAGGGTAGCTTAGGTCCCCCAGCCAGTCGGTGCACGTCTTCTCTCACCGTTTCTTTTTTGGTTGGGAGGGCCACGGTTCCCCAACTAAAGTAGGCCTTCCAGAAAAAAGAGGAACGGTGCCAACTTACTCTAAGCTCTCAAATCTGGGTCCGGACCTAGTTGTGAGACTTTGGTGCATTTTGCCAAGGGATGTTAGGACTGAATAACTTTTTGCCAACGAATGGGTGTTCCGAATTAAACCACTAAAAGTTGATTTTTTTAGCAGGGGAGCAGAGAGCAACCAAGGTGTTCTCCTTGCATCTAAACAGGTGGTTTCCCTTTAAGGACACGTCTTGCCTTCCGGTTTCACCCGCCGTCCAGCCATTTTACTCCACTTCTGCCAACGAGCATGGCCAGGACGGGGACGAGATCCATGTGAGCGCTGGGACCTTCGTCGGACCTTTCAACCGGAACCTGGCGCCGGGCAGCATGGGCAAGAGCAACTTCACGGTGAAAGGACGCATCGAGGGGTCAAGCAAAACGACAGAGCCAGGGGTGTTGTTGCCAAGGCAACCAGCTTGCAAAGGGGAGCTTGGTTCAACTCGAGTTTTTTTTGGGGGGGAGTTTTGACGTGTTGGTCTGAGTCGAAAATCAAGATCCAGAAGAAGTCCCGAGAACGGTGGTGAAGAATTGCTCTGCCCGCGAGGGAATGATGTGGACGCAGCCAAACACAAGTCAATCAATGTCAGAACTTGTATTGCCCAACTTGCTCCGCAACGGAATCCACGATGATTTTGGCTCATGTTTGACCATTGGGTCCAGCTTGGTTTGCTGAGAGGGCCGGCCAGGTCCAAAGTTGCATGTGCCACAGCGGGCCACGGAGTGTTCTGCCAGCCCGCCGTCCATCAGTTGGTTGCAGATGAAGCGAACGCGCCGAGCGTCCAAATGCGAAGCCTCGGCAAGATTTGCGGCCGCAACATGTCGCAAAAACCCGTGAACAAAAAATGGTTGGTGTGGTGGCGGGTTGGTTGGTTGGGGTGGTGGGGGTTGGTTGGGGTGGTGGGGGTTGGTTGGGGTGGTGGGGGTTGGTTGGGGTGGTGGGGGTTGGTTGGGGTGGTGGGGGTTGGTTGGGGTGGTGGGGGTTGGTTGGGGTGGTGGGGGGTGGTTGCCCGGTTCCCCGCAAATGGCGGGGGTTCAGCGTTTGAAACAGCACACAAGCAAAAACAGTCAAACGCGCAAAAATCGGCAACTTTCAGCCGCTTTTGCTTCGCATTTGCCACGTGTCCTCCGGGTTTGTCCACATTTGCAGGATCACAGGTTTGGCATGCGTTCCGTCGCAGGCGCGGAACGCATGCTGGACCTGCGCAACAGGTGCGGCACTGATACGGGTTTTGGGAATGATCCACGTATAAAGGGCACCAAATCGGGGGATGGATGTTTTTTTTGGGTTATCAAGACGCATGCCTGTGGAACCAGCCAAATATATTGCTAGAACTAGAAGTTCGAACCCCCCCCCTCCCCAACCACCCAGTTTTGGGTGCTGGTCTTTCGTTGCCTCTAGGCTTTGGATTTGTTTCCGTGGCTGACGCCTTGGAGAGCCGATTTCGCTTTCTTCAGGAGCCGGGGCTGGCGTCACCGTGTTCGACCTGCAGAGCCAGGGCCGGTTTATGCCGCTTCGTCCTGGCTCGATTTGGGCGTGTGACACTAGACCCAAAAGAGCCTCCAAAGGCGGTTGTTCTTTTGGGGGGGAACCCAAAATGGTACTCTCCAAGGAAAACTGGTACAGGCGGGTTGAAAGGGCAAGCCGAGAACGCCAACCGAAGCCAGTTTGGATGGGCCAAAACCCCCTAGTTTCCACCTTTGACACATGCCCGTGTGCGCGGAAAACTCTTTCTTTTTGTTTTTAGAACAAGCCCTGGTTGGGGATTTAACCTGGAGTGGCTGGTGCGCAGAAATCCGCCTGGATGCCAACCCCAATGAAGCCGCCACCAGAAACTTGGATGCCAGGGCCGAAACGAACCAACCAAACCCAAGGCCCGCCCAAGAAGAGAGTTTGCCGGAGACCATAGGTAGCCCTGGGTCCAGGTGAGGCCCGCCAGTGATGCTGGGGATGCCCCGACCAGCCTCACCCCGAAACGCCCGAAAGGCTCCGACAGAAGCCAGGATCCGGTTTAGATACACATGTCGGCCCTTGTGTTGAAGGGTTAGCCACAAAACAGGGAGGCCGCTGTGAAGAGAGATTTCAGCAACAAAACCCAACCTTGGCAATTTGGCACTTTTTGAAGAGGAATGCGTTCCCAATCAATGCCGATTTCGTTCAAGAGGACTCTTTTTGCCCCCCCTTGGCATGGAATTCCCCAAAGCGGGGGGACCTGAGTAGGTTTGGTCCTCGGGATTCTGGATGAATCTGAAGTTGAACCAGCAAGGCTTGGTCCCCCAGTGCCCTTTTACTAACTTATTGGGGGAGGGTTCCCCTACTAGAAAAAAACGACAGAAAAAAAGGTACCCTTATTCTAACGTCCCAAATCTGGAGGACCCAGAAGGAGTGTCACTTTTGCGGGGCTTGTTATGACTTTTTTGGCGCAAGACCTAAGCCTCGGGCTTTTGGCATCATTGAGGGAGCCATGGGCCGGGATGCAGCGATGGAGCCGGATTTGACCTGCATAGATGCTGCAGTTATGTGCGGCTGGGGACGTTGATTTGGGTATGTCTTGAAACGAAGCAGCTCTCAAGATGTTTGCGAACGGAGGCTGCTAGACAGCTCGGCGGGCCTCGTGCGCGTACAGCACCTCACTGTGGCGAGGGGGAGTTGCGAGCATCTTACATCCGGAGCCGAATTTGGCGCCCAAGATGCACATTTGGCTCGGGTTTTTTGTGCCTAAACTATCGTCAGGTTCCATGCTAGAGGGAGGAGGAGTGGCTGTGAAAATCTGTCATCGGCCCCCCGCGCGTGTGCTTGGCGGACATGCAAATGTCCCAGGGGCGTGGTTCCAACGAAAGGACCCTTCTCCGCACGTGAATTCGTTGCGTGTGTGTGCTTTGTTTTAGGGGTCCCCTTTTGTCAACGGGAAATGACCAATGTTGGGGGTCCAAATCCTCTTTTGAGACAGACCCATTAAGTTTATGCACAGGGCTTGGGGTCGCTGCGGGGGTGGTTTTTGAAGGAGAAAGTGGGCTCAGCCATGCGCTCGGGTACATTTGATATATATATATATATATTAATATATATATATAGATATATATGTGTGTAAATATATATATATATATATATGCGGTACTCCCATGTGGACGACCTAGGTTTTTGGATTGTGTTTTTTCCACGCGCGTGTTTTTTAAAGATGTTTGCCTGCATCTCAGGACGAGGACTTTAATATTGAAGATTCAAGACTCTGAGATATTTTTTGTTGGGGCACCTTGAATCCCATGTGTTCAACATGCTTAAGCAAATTAGACAGTTCTAGTGCTATCCAAACACTCAAGTATGGATTTGAAGAATCCAAAAGGCAAACACAAAGTGCATGTTCCAATAATCACTTTGGAGATGTTTGCCTGCATTTTGCCAGAACAAATGTAACTTCATTGGTAAGCAACCTGAGTGCTTCATATTCAAGAGGCTCATAGAAATCAGGGACTAACAATGACCCTGCTTTGAAACTGGAGCTTCTGTTGTTGTAAAGCAGGTTTCTTGATTCAGGATCCTGCTGTTTTGGTGTCCCCTTTTGACATGGCAACTGTTGTCAATATGTTGTAAGAAACGGTCAACAACTGCCAGCCTCATTTTGATATTTAGTGTTCGATCCGGGGGAACACGATCTGAACACATCCTGATGTCAAACACCGCGGTTTGCATCATGCGCCAAGAAGTAGATCCATGTTGACACGTTCCTGTTATTGGCGTGGCTCAGTTCTTGCTTGGCCAAATTCACATAGAATTTGATACAGACAACATGCCTGTTGAAATTGAGTTTGATTTTAGTTTGATTGGCGATGTCAATAGCTGTTTTCTCCAATTGTTGTTCATTCAAAATGCACAAAGAACTGCAACCAGCAAACGCTGAATTTGGCTTGAACTCGAAGCAGCATTTTAAGTTGGATATTATTCCTAAGTTTGATTCAGAAAAGATGCTATTGACAATGATCGAATCACATCAGATAGGCACCACATAATGTTGGTAGGAATTGCTTTGCAAGTAGCAAATTAGTAGGAATGAGTTCCTTTCGCCCAAGCAAATAGTTTGCTGAGCTTCCCTGCAAAGCAAACACAGCAAACAAACAACTAGCAGAGCAGTTGCAGTCACGCGGACGCTGCCAAAGTGTACTTTGGGAACTTCTCTGGTGCTGAGAAGTGTTTTTACAGAGCTGGAGTTTCCGAAGTGCACTTTGCCCACTACATGTGTAGTTAGAAATGTGACCTTCGAGCTGTTTGAATAGGAACCCCTTTCCAAGTTGAGGTGATGCTGTGTTTGATTAGAATTTTGCAGGGAGTTGAACAAGGGCGTCAGTTCTTTGAGGGTCAAGCTGAAAAACTCATTGCAAGACCTGTTTAAATAAAACACCCTACGGCCGCCAAGGCCATGGTCACAAGAAGGGCCAAAGCCCCGGTTTGGCACGTAGATACATATATTGACATATATACATACCGGTATATAGGTTTTGCGAGTATGCGTGCCTTTTATGCATCTATACTCACATGTATTTATATCAGGTCAGATGTATCCGAGTGCATTCACATCTCTTATAATTCACCCAGACTTGCATTGCCTGTTTGTTTTTTTTATCCGTGTGTAACGGATTGCCTGTGGATGCATTTTGCACATCCATGGCGTCGACTTCAAAACCATTTCTCGGAGCCAGCGCCCAAGTTCTGCCGTCCAACCTTGAGATCCGCAGCTTGCCGCGCAGGCCGGCCGAAATGCGTGCGCATATATGGATATACACATATACGTATACACTTGTGTAGATGCACAGAAACTTTTGTATATATATATATATATACGTACATGTAAGTGGGTGTATTTATTTGTGGGGGTACTAATTTTGCAGCAGCCCCGAAGACCTCAGGCGCCGGTTTTGCATTGCTGGCCTCTCCCGCGGTGTTGGAGGACCTGCACTTGAGCCTCGCCAAGCATTTGGATGGATGCCCGGAATTCCTGTGGATGGACGGACTCCTGCACCAGTTGGTAGGTCCCCCCCTTAAAAGGGGATTGGAGGGGGGTGCATGGTCGTGGGTTGTGGTTGGTTTAATTGCCGTCCGTATTCAGGATGAAACATGTTGCAGCAGTTTGGTTGGGTTGGTGTTAAAACGAAGCCCAAGCTTGACATCAGATTCTGGCAGATGTTTTGTTTCTGTAGCAGGACCCAATTCTGTACGAGGATGTACGAGGCATTGTATGCTGCAAGGAAATCGACATCTTTGGGTGTTTTTCTTTTTTTTTTGAGTCGGCCATTTTGGAAAGAAAGCAGCTGCAAGGAAAGGAAGATCTGCGAGTGGTGTCGCAACACATTTCGCCCCAGACGCCACGATTGGGAGCCCTTCCCTCCAAGGATCTATCACCCAGAGGTTTCTCAAGCATTGAACCCCCCACATACCGACGAAAGTTGGTGTTAGTTTAGAAATAGATGGATTCCAATAGCTCGGTTTAGTTCTAGTCATTTCCGTGTGCCCTTTTCTCGGTTCCGCAAGAGGAACGTTTTTTTTTTGAGCCACTTTGCAATAAAGAAGTGGTTTGGGGGTTCCCACCCCCGTGTGTTGCTAGAGGTTTGTCCTGTTGCGATATATGGTGTCTTACGGCCTTTTCTGCGGTTGTGAGACCCGTATGGGTTGGAGGCTGCCCGTTTTCCTTCCGTGCGAGTGACTCGACCCCCCGAAAAGTCCGTCCGCCCGCCGCGGCGCGCGCCAGGCACGACATGGACTGCAGCGCTTCCACGATTGAGCCCTTGGTGTGGAATGGAGGGGCCATCTATTTGAAGGACTCGCAGGCCTTGCGCCTGGGCAAAGAACTAAACTTCCCCAGAATTAGTTCCCCTTTTTGTTTTTGTTGCTTCTTTGGGATCCCTTTGTTTTCCACTAACCAGGCAAAAAAGATATATATATATATATATATTTTTTGCTGGGGTCCTAATTCCAGCCAAGTAAAGACTGCAAACACTTGGGGAAGTTCTAGGGGAAGCTTTCCCATTGTTTCCAGAAATCCTGATTTCTTTTCAGAAACCATTAAATTCAATGGCAAACAGCTGGTTTTGGAAAAGAACGATGGTTGAAAAGAATGGGGAAGCAGCCCCTAGAGAAATAGTCACCCTCTTGTCTGATTTTCGATCTTCGGCTCCGAGAAAAAAAAAGGGGCTGGAAGCCAATCAACTCTGCCCAGAAGATAGCAACACCGCAGGAAGGGGGGGATGTTGCAACTGTAACTTACCTCTTAAAAAACACAACTTTTCAACTTTTTGGGTAACATGGGCTATATGTCTGTAAAAGATTAACTTTTCCAGGGCTTGGAGTTTTAAGGGGTAAGGTAAGCATTGAAAGCTGCCCTGCCGGTGTCCGATCGATTCCTCCGAATCCGCATCCCAGGCTTCGGCGTGTGCTGGCCACCGATTGCGTGGCCAACCACGGGGCTCCTGGGGCGCAAGGAGTCTAGAGGGGCTGGGCCTTGGGGCCCGAAGAAACCAATACTCACTCCCTGAGTTCATGGACTTTTTTAATACTTTTTGGGTTTGGACCATTTTGGTGGTAAGCAAAAAGTTGGGACTCTTTTTGGCCAATCAAGTCAGGAAGCGAGAATACCCCAAATGAAGGTGGTAAGTAGACCGCGGGTGTCCATCATACGGATCCCCCCCCAGGCGACCATCCAAATTCCCCCAAGGACCCATAACTGGCAACTGGCCACGATTCGTCCTCTACCAGCTACTGGGGGCTAGGTCCTGAAGGCTTTTTGTTTTTGGCAGGGGCCCATGCAGAAAGCTTACCTCTTAAAAACACGAAACTTTTCTCGACTTTTTGGGTAACATGGGGGCCATATGTCTGTAAAAGATGAGAACTTCCCCAGGGCCGAGGGAGTTTTAAGGGGTAAGAAAGGCCAATGGCAGATCAATCCCAGAAGTCCGATCGGGGCCAGAAGGATCGGGGCCCCTCCAAATCCTGCAGCTGTCCCTTACCCCTGGCCGCGAGATGTGGCTCCCGTGCATGTTTAGTCTTCGGGATGCTTGGATTTGTGCTGATCGCGGCGATCAGGCTTCGCCAGAATCGGAGAATCCTCATTTGTTTGATCCGCTGACCCTCGCTATCAATCGCACTAGGTTCAAAGAAACTTGCAGGTAGGCACCTTCTTTGGCCCCGCACTTTGAGCAAAAGAGAACGATGGCTTCATTTGGATTCACCTTAAAAATTAGCTGTGCTTCTATAGCCAATCAACAATGCCAAGCAGGGTTGGCTAGAAAAACGCTGTTTTGCCAAGACGTGACCCCTTGTTTGTGGGGTCATGTTGACCATTTCCGGGGGCGATCAACGTCAAAGACTCGTTGGTGGTTTTTCTTTGGCCTACCACTTCTAGGTCCCCCAGTAGTGCCCTTTGACCCTTGTTTGGGGGAGGCTTCCCCTACTAAAATAGACCACATAAAAAGTTGGTACCCTTATTCTAACCTCAGGAGGACCTAGACTTACTTGGGGGGGTGACCACCAGCCGCTGGTTGCTTCCTCTTCCTGAGGCCGCGGTGGCGTCCTGGGGCAGTGACCGGTCGGTGGTGCTGGATAGTGTTTTTGAGCGCCACTTCACCACAGGATGGGGCGGCGCCCCGGGTGGCACATGGCGATATTTGTTTGTGTTAGTTGTGTTTGTCTTTTTGCTTTTCCCCCCCTGAAAAGCCAACCCTGGGTTTCCTCTGAAAGCAACCCAAGCAAAAAGCAAGCCCTGTTTCATGTTTGTTTGTTTGTAATGGGTGGTTCTGTTGACAAGCTCGAGCAGAAGGGCAACTCTTGATTCCTATCACTGAGTCGCTGAGTCACTGGGCACAGGCACCATGCTCATGGAGGAGAACTCGGAGACGGAGTTCCACCGATGTCGCTTCTCACACGGCGGCTCAGCTCGTTCTTCCGGGGGGGCGGGGGGGGGGGTCCAGAGTAATGTTCTCCCATGGTGTCTTAAGCCGGTTTGATCCATGTAAGGACGGCCAGTTGCCTGCAGACGGCATGTCGGAAGTCTGAAAGTCTCCATTTGAGTGTGGCTCCTTTTTTGGGATTGCGCCCTTTTTGGGGTTTACTTTGGAGGGCAACGAAAAGGACGCCACCCCATTAGTAGGGTTCCCCCATTCTTTCTGACAGCTGATTGGCTTCACAACGAAGGGACTTCCTTTGAGGCAGACCTGCCCACCCTACGCACGTGACACAGTGGCAGCTTTTGTTCAGCTCCCCGAACAGAAGGGCGCTCGCGAAATTTCCCACAGATCTATATACCCTTGGTGGCTCCCATCCATCCGGTTCCTTAGCATTTTAGCCTTTTAGCTGGTTTAGTGGGGATTTCAATTTAAACCAATTAAAAGTTAAGCTTTCAGCGGGGGATCTGAGGACAGCCCAGTACCCTTTTTTGTAGTGGCTACAGAGCCCCTAAGAATTGATTGACGCCCCGCAAGTCTGGTTTTTGCCTTTCAAAAGGCGGAAGGCAGTTTTCAGTCGAGCCGTGGCTTAAAGCAAAAAGCTAACTCCAATCAGTCCAAATTAAATGAGTCACCCTTTCTTGTTCAGGACCCGCAAGGAGCCACCCGTTCTTGTTGTTCCTTGCCCTTTCGAATCAAAAGGCGGCTTCGTCTTAGGTTGCCTCTCGCATAGGTGAGAGCCCATATGGCGGGCACATGGACGACGGAAGCTTTGCGCGACCTCTGTTCTCCGAGTGCCTTTTCGAGTACGGCAGGCGACTTGTCGGGTTGGACTCATCTGCCCCCGTTCTGAGGGAAATGTCACGGGTTTTTCCGTTGAATGGGTGTCTACATTCAAGGGACCCAAAGCCAAGGCATGAGGTATTTAGAACGATTGAACGAGGCATGGCCCGAGGAAAAATTCCAGAAATAAGCCAGTTGGCAGAGACTGCCCAAACAGTCCAAAATGTCAGCCTGGACCATTTCGGGGGAGCTTTGGCGGCTGTCAAGCTACAGTGAGGCCGAAGGCAGATTATGGGAAAGGTTCGGATAGGCTGCCTGGTTTGAGGTGCAAGTCGTCTTCCTGAAGCTGCTGCCAGAGCTTACTTGTTTCTATCCAACCTCGGTTGTTGTGGGCAGGCGTCGGCAAAGACTGCCCAAAACACACCGGGATGACATTTCGGGGTGTTTCGGGCAGTCTTTGCCGATCCGTTTTCCGGCAGCAGCAGCAGCAGCAGCAGCAGCAGCAGCAGCAGTCCCACGGCACAAAAAACAAGCAACATGAACCCAGAAATGTGGACTGGCTGCTGCCTCGGAAGTGGCTCGGCAAAGACAGCGGTGCTGCGAGACTTCGGGAAGACCTGTCTGCGGAAGAGCTTCCTGCGGGAAGAGTGCGGCAAGGAAAGAGAAGACTGTACGAAGACCGGGTAATTGGATTTCCCGAGCTGCGCAGCACGAGGGTTCGCGGCATCCTTATTTCCAGATAGCGATGTAACGAGGTGAGGTGCTATGTCAGGTTAATCAAATCACAAACGAGGTGACGAGGTGAGAAATATCCTAACTGTCCAGATGCGTGACAGCAGTTATGTGGATATCTTTCAGCCGTAGCCCCATCCCCAATCTTAGTGAGGATTTGCATGCCAGCGGGGCTGCGTAACGTGGAAAAAGCATTGGCGGTGGGAATTCTAAGACCGCTTCCAAGGGTCCAACAGTGAAGACTTGACTTAGCAGTTGGATTTGGAGGCATTCCTTTTGGCCGGTTGTGGGGTTACTCGGGGTTTATCCCCACTTCTGTGAGATCTTCGGGAACTTTCCCGTTATATCGGGGGGTTAGTCTCTAAGCCATGTGGAAGCCCTTGGCCTGGCTTGGCGGCGTCTTCTATTTTGGCACAGGGCCCTGCATGGCTCAACCTACTACGGCTACGGGGAGTCCGCCGCGCGCTTCGTAAACTCGGTGATGCGCTTCGGCTACGCCCAGGGCTCAGGCCCGATGTTTTCGCACAGACAAAAAGTTTGGATACTTTTCCTGGCCAGGCTACTTGGGTCTGAGTGTGCTGCCACACTGCTGGTTTTGAGTCCACGTGGGAGTGCTGTTCAATGCTCACTCGGAGAAAAAACAGAACACAATTTGCTTCCTCAATTGAAAGTTGTTTTTCCGATGTTGCCATTGCTAGGTGAAATTGGCAAGCTGTTTGTTGGCCCAGAGAAGGGTCTCTCGGCGTGCTCGTGTTCCAACGGGAGGTTCTCCAGACGTCAAGACAGCAGACAGTGGCCTCCCCTCTCCCTCTCCCCTCTCCCTCTCCTCTCTCCCCTCCCCCTCCCTCCTCCCTCCTCCTCCCTCCTCCTCCCCCTCCCCTTCCTCCCTCCCCCTCCCCCTTCCCCTTCGTCCCCTTCGTCCCCTTCGTCCCCTTCGTCCCCTTCGTCCCCTTCTTCCCCTTCTTCCCCTTCTTCCCCTTCTCTCCTTCTTCCCCTTTCCCCTTCCTCCCCTTCCTCCCCTTCCTCCCCTTCCTCCCCTTCCTCCCCTTCCTCCCCTTCCTCCCCTTCCTCCCCTTCCTCCCCTTCCTCCCCTTCCCCCTTCCTCCCCTTCCTCCCCTTCCTCCCCTTCCTCCCTTCCTCCCCTCCTCCTTCCTCCCCTCCCCCTCCCCTCCCCTCCCCTCCCCTCCCCCCTCTCCCCCTCTCCTCCCCTCTCCCCCCTCCCCTCTTCTCTCCCCTCTCCCCCCCCTCCCCCCCCCCCCCTCCCCCTCCCCCTCCCTCCCCCTCCCCCTCCCCCTCCCCCTCCCCTCCCCTCTCCCTCCTCCCTCCCCTCCCTCCCCTCCCTCCCTCCCTCCCCTCCCTCCTCCCTCCCTCCCTCCCCTCCCTCCCTCCCTCCCTCCCTCCCTCCCTCCCTCCCTCCCTCCCTCCCTCCCTCCCTCCCTCCCTCCCTCTCTCCCCCCCTCGAAAGACAGCGAGGCACGGGTTTCCACGCCTGCAGCATCGCCAGGAGCAGCTTATTTGACCTCAAGCGTGCGCCCGGTCTTCGAGAACGTCACCTTTCTCAATAACACCGCCTTAGAAGGGGCCGGCTTGCGATCCTATTCGCCGGGCCTGCTGCTCAAGAATTGCAAGTTCATCGACAATTATGCTACGGCGAACGGCCAGGAGCTGGGGTAGGGGTGGTCCGGCCTGTTGCTCACGTAATACAATGGCTGTGGACTCACCAGATGCTTGGAACAGACCAGGTAGCTTAATTCGGATTCAATCCTAAGGAGTCTTATGTTGAAAGTGAGAGCCCCGGTGGGAAATTCACAGCCTCGGGAGAAAGCGGCTTTCAGTCTCCCGAGCTTGCGGCCAATCTCGCGGGGTCCCTTCATTTGCCTTTTTGGTTTTAAACCTTACCTGCTGGGTCTCCCAGCTAGGTGCCTTTTAAGGCGACATAGAGGGAGCCGCCCTGCGAAGCTTAACCGCGTTTAAGTCACCTCCGTCGCCACACAAATGACAGCTTCCTAGGCATTGCTTGCTGCCGAGGGTTGCCTGCAATATTCACGTTTGCGCCTGCTTGAATATGAGGCGGACTCAATTAACACTCAGTCTGTTCTTTATGGCTATTTGGTAGCGGATCTGTGGACTTTAACGTTTGGTTGAAATAGTGTGTTGTTTTTTTGAATTGGACGCACAACAAGTTGACCACTTTGTGCAGAGGGGGAGTTACATCACCTGTGAGTTGAATCGGAAAAAACAAAAGTGACCACCGCTCTGTTTTATGATATATATTATATTATATATATATATATTCTTGGCAGGGTTCGCTATATTTCCCTTTTTGGTGGTTTCAAACATCCCCTTTTTGGCCCATGAAAGGTGAGTATCCCTTGGTTGGGGGTGATGTTTCAAGAGGAAATTTAGGGAGCCCTGTTTGGGGGTCTTGAACCCGGAATTCTGTGGCCAGGACGCCGCCATCCAGGCCGGGTTGGGAAGTTTTTTTTTTTTTTTTTAGTTTTTTTTTGTTTGTTTGGCGTTTTGTGGTCATAGAGCCAACTCACAGGAGTTTCGGCTTGCGTGCCCATGAGGGCTCCTTTGATTTCCTTTGGGCCCTCATTTCAGGTGATCTGAGTTTGGTCGGCACTTTGCCGAGATCCGTAGTATTCTCAGAGGTCTTGAGGCCTCTTGAGGCACACTGGCCCGTGCTACGTGTTGAGCACATCAGCCAAACACCTTGCTACCTAAGAATGGCTGCAAAACCCAATGCGTGGTACCTACATCCAATGTGGTCATCCAATGTACCTACATCTGCTCGGAAGGGGTCGCGGATTCCAACCAACTCAATGCAAGAAAGTAGCGATTTGTACTAGCCACATCATTTTCAGAACGCGCTCCTTACCCTTACAGTTCCCTTTGTTTGATGCATCCGTATTTTTTCCACGCAAACATGTACTTCATTAATTGTTTCCTTGTACTACAATTCGGCATCAATGTGGTTGCTTGCGGTTTGGGCACCGTTTCTTTTCTAATGGGTTTCTGTTTTGCTTTTGTTGATAAGTTCCAGTTGGCGCTTCGAGGTACGGGACTTGTTGATTTCCGCCCAGAATGACGTTCCACACGCATTCCTGGAACAGTAGGTACTAGTAGGTATCTTCGTTTTACGCCAGCAGCGTTTTGCTCAGCCGCCTGCGGCATGAACCAGCAATCGTGCCCAATTTTTTGGTGCATTTTGCCAAGGGATGTTAGGACTTTGACTTTTTGCCAACTCATGGGTTTTCCGAATTAAACCACTAAAAGTTATTCACTTTTAGCAGGGGAGCAGAAGGCAGCCGAGGATTGTATGCCCCGCCCAGATGAAATTCTGGCAGGGCAATGTCAGCACCCAGCACCCAGCTGAACGTGCCAGGAAAACGGAGGGGGCCTCATCCTGGAAGACTGCGACTTCGAAGGGAACAGGGCCGGCACCAAGGCCGGCGCGATCTCTTTGCGCCTTGGCCATGGAAGTCTTATTTCGTGAGGTTTGCAAGTTATTTAAGTGGGGGAAATTTGGCTGAGTGTCTCGTCTTTTTTAGGGGGCACAGGGCATACAATTCAAGGCCCCGTTCGGTCGACATCAGTTTCTTTGGGTGTTTTCCACTGAAATTTGTCACCAAAATGGGAGGCACAAGAACGACTGCTGAGCCGGAGCCTTTGAAACGGAAGCAACAGGCAACCAAACACTATTTTGGGGGTCTACAATGTGGGAGTGGCTGTTAAGAGGGTGATCAATTTGGTGGATGAAATTGCTTTGGAGTTGATGTCCACCAACCAAATTGGAGGATATTCAAAGCACCAGAGCAAACTCGGTTCGTGCTAGAGCGGAAAGGGTGACCTGCGATGTCACAGGGAATTGGAGAACGGGCCAGCCTCACTGCGATAAACGAATCAGTAGGTATTACAGAAAAGAAAGCCCGGTTTGTTCTGAAAAATCGGGCCAGTACGCAGCAGGGGGGGTCTTTTTGCCACCTTTGGTGGAAAAGTGATCGACCCCCTTGTAGTGAAGGATTCCTGTTTGAGGGGGTCGCCAATTTTCCAAGACAAGAGGTGGCAAAAAGACCCCCCTTACGCAGGAGCACTTAGTCCCAGAGCGGCGAAGCCGGTGGGCGGGCGCTTCAAACATACCAGAACTATACGTTGGTACATGTTGCTTGGATGTTAGGACTTTAACTTTTTGCCAACTAATGGGTTTTCCATTAAACCACTAAAAGTTGAACTTTTAGCAGGGGAGCAGAAAGCAACCGAGTATAGTCATCTTTCTCTTTATTTTGCTCTTTCTGGTTCTCCTTTTGCTGTTTGTCATCGTTCATTTGTTCCTTTCTCTGTTTCTTTCCTTTCAGGTTATTATTTTATTTCCTTCTTTCCATCTTTCTTTCCTCGTTCCTTTTCTGTATTTCTTTCTTTCTTTATTGCTTTCTCCCCGTCTTTCCTTATTTCCGTTTTACCAGCTGAATCTCATTGTTCTATCTCTCTACATATCTATCTACCCTCCTTTCTAACATTAACAAGTTGTTCTCTATCAACCTACTTATCTAGCTATCTATCAACCATTCTATCTAAGTATCTATCTTTCTATTTGTCTATCTATCTATCTATCTATCTATCTATCTATCTATCTAGCTAGTTGTCTATCTATTTATCTATCTATCTATCTATCTATCTATCTATCTATCTATCTATTTACCCTACCTGCGACGGGCGGGCGGGCGCATCTACTCGTTATGTATATTGCCGGCTTTAAGTGTACATTGATTAGTATTATCATTTCGGCCCGACAAGTCTCACTTTCTATATCTCTGTCATCTATCATTAATCTATCCATCTATCTATCTATCTACCTATCTATCTATCTAGCTGTCTACTCAGCCATCAATCTTTGTCTCTCTCTCTCTCTCTCTCTATCTCTCTCTCTCTCCCTACCTTCTTATGAAGGTTCACGTATTTCACGTGTTGCACGTTATCAAGCTACCCATCTGTCAATCTATCTATCTATAAACTATCTAACTTCTATCTACGTCTATCTCTCTATCTATTTGTTTATGTATGCATCTATCCGTCTATCTGTGCATCCGACTATCCCTCTGCCTACCTTAACCTATCTTTTCAATCTTATCTAGGTATCTTACCTATCTGACAGATGTATCCACGTACTTATGTATCTATCTATCGTTCTATCTGTCTGTCTGTCTGTCTGTCTGTCTGTCTGTCTGCCTAATCTATCTATCTATCTATCTAAATCTAATCTATTCTAATCTAAATCTAATCTAATCTAATTTATCTATCTATCCGTTTATCAATCTATCTATCTATCCAACTAATCTATCTATCTATCTATCTATCTACCTATCTATTTATTTATCTAGCTATCTTATCTATCTATCTATCTATCTAGCTAGCTATCTATCTATCTATCTATCTATCTATCTATCTATCTATCTATCTATCTATCTATCTATCTGTTTATCGCTGGGAGCCATGTGTCTAATCGGTCTAATCTATTTGTCTATGTACCTTTCTCTTCGTCTACCTCGCGATAGTGCTCCGCCTGCCATTAAATCTGCCCTCGACCCTGCGAAAGTTCCGCGCCTACCACGAAATCCGCACGTGACCTTAAAAAAGTGCTGCCACGAAGTCTCAGGCGGCCCTGTACTAATCCCTCCCCAACAACAAAATGTTACATAGCAGCGGCCTCACGGATTTTCAACATCTTATGTTTGCAACCCCACCCATAATAGAGGCCTCCTCTCCCCCCCCCCCAACCCCCTCCCCCTCCCAAAGCTTGGTTTCTTCCCGTTGCCATCTTGAAGGCCAAGGCACTGAGCATCGAGGCTTGCAATGGATTAGTTGCCAGCCCGAGTTCTTTTCTGCTGCCGGCGGGTTTAACACTTTAACCATGTGAGCCTGAATCAAAACCCGGGTAGATGAAGGTTAGTAAGGCACAATCCCAGCCGTAAATAAGTGAAGCAGCCTTTTCAATTCCTTACATGGTTCTGGGTTCACCCTTTTTGTACCAGGTTTTGATTATCACTCATGTCCCGTTCCGTTGAGGCACATAGAGCCCTCCAGTTCACTCTCCATCTTCCGGCGGGTGCGCTTCCGCAACAACTCCGCGAAGCTCGGGGGGGCGCTGGCGCTCTCGCGCAGCCCCGACGGGGTGTCAGGCCATGTCCTCCACATGGAGGACGGAGGGTTTCCCTTGGGAGCGCAACAAGCGAGCAATGGACAGTTTATTGCGGGGGAGGGGGGAGGGGGGAGGGGGGGGGGGGGTTGGTGTGAACTAAGAAACTTGTTTGGAACGAGTTTGTTGTCAACTTACCATTTGGCATTCGAGCCCATCCTGTCCGTTTCAAACCCTCTTTGTTACGGTAAGTGGCGGCTCAGTTTTTGGGGTAGTCCTGGCCGACCTTAATCTCTGAGGAGTGGAGCCACAAAAGCCACATCCAAGCCGTTTTCTAGACAAACCCCAGTTGCCCGGTGGATTCCGCCCTTTCGTCCTTCTTTTTTTTGGGGGAGGGTTCCCATTTAAAGTGAATCAACCCAAAAAAGGGATGCCGAGTCATTTGTTCCCCTGAGAATCCACGGGGCATCTGAGTAAAGCATGGTTGTTGTTGGGACACATTTTACATTTTTTTCGCTGATGGTGGTTTAGTGGGACACTCCTTTCATGGACTTTATACTTTTTGGGTTTGGACCATTTTGGTGGTAAACAAAAAGTTTGGACTTTTTTTGGCCAATCAACTCAGGAAGCGAGTAGTGAGACACCCCCACTTAACTGCTAAAAGTGATGAATGTTTGCTCCCCCTCCAACGTCAACCAAGAAAGGGGCACCGAATAATTCTTCAGGACGTGCTCTTTGAGGGCAACCGGGCAGAAGAAGCTGGGGGCGCCATCAGCCTGACCGGTGGCGCGGGCGTTACCATGCGGCAGCTCGGCGGAGAAATGGTTTGGGGACTTTTGCGGGCCTCTTTGGATGCCTTGCAGTTGGTTAGGAATATGTGTTCTTTTCCAAGGTTGGTTGCAAAGGGAGTCGATTTCACTTCTGGAAATGTGTGTTGTCCTTTCCAGGGTGATTAGGGTATTGTGGGGTAGGGTAGCGCAGGGTAGGGGAGGGGAGGGTTTGGTAGGATTGGGTAGTGTAGTGTAGGGTAGGGTAGGGTTTTCTTTTCCCCGGTTGGTTGTAAAGGGAGTCGATTTCACTTCTGGAAATGCGTGTTATTATTTCCCGGGGTTCTTAAGCAAATGGAGGAGGCGGTTTGCCTATCTTATGGCGATCTCTCACCCATTCGGATATGATGATCAGATCTTTTGCTTGTATCCCTGGTTGTAGGTTTTGGGATTGCAGTAACGTTTGCAGATACTGTGACCAGTTGGTAGGTGGTTTAGCCGTCTTTCCAGTTGTGTTTGTCCATCCGCACTACCATTCTACAATTCTTGGCCCGCTCGAGACGATCGTTGCCACAGGCAGGTGGCAACCAGGGCAAGCCAGCCAAGTTCCGAAATGAAGGGGCCCAACACTAGGCATATCTAGGTCCAGTAGTCCGAAAATAGACAGACAAACAAGTTGGTACCATTATTCCAAGCTCTCAAATCTGGAGGACCTAGTCATGAAGATGAAAGTAGTTCTTTGAGATTCCTACACCCAGCCGACGGCTTGGGCTTTGCGAGGCCCTACCCAAATCTACCCTGCAGTCCATTGGGGCTTTTGGAGGCCCTCGCCCTTTCTTGGCGGCTCCCATCCATCCGGTCCCTTGGCTTTTTGGCCTTTTAGTGTTTGGCGGTGGAACCCAACGTTCCTGCACCGTCCGGTGGCCGGGCCCCTTGATTTTATCATGCTGGGCTTGTTTCTACCCAGAGGCCCCTGGGGCTTTCAATGGAAGACCCGACCCCTCCATTAGACACCCCGGAGCTGGTTGGGGGTCTCAAAACCAGGTTGTTTGAAGGCCCTAAATTTCGGGAGCCTCTGGGTAGCAAACGGTTTGGAGGCGCTTTTTGCGGAGTTCTCCGGGGCCTCTTTTAGTAATCCGTTAATACTGGCTCAACATCCCACAGGGGAGGCCAGATCCGGGGTCCCTTGAAAGGATTCCCTTTTCAGGATCCGCGCAGCTCAAGCCATCGGCGCTGCCAGCCCAACATGTCGACATGGCCGAAAAGGGGGACCTTTTCCCGGGCTCCCTAAAAGATACAGTTTGCCCATTTGAAACGTGGCTTTTTCCACCAAAATAAAGGGAAACCACCATGTACAAGGCAATGTTCAGGTGTATAATCTAAGGATCCCTCTTTTCGATAGGATTCTGTTCTTGAAACTTGTGTGGCATTTCTTTGCAGAACACTTGGAGGCCTGCTTCTTTGGTTGTAGCCAACTCCCGCCTACGTGCAAGCATCGCACATGCTTTCAAGTCCCACGCTGAGGAACATCACGTTCCGGAGCAACCACGCTGCTTCACATGGCGGGGCCATTGCCATCAATCTCATCGATGTATATCCGCTGACGGTCGAGATCAACGACACGCTGCTGCAGGACCACGGGAGAAAGAAAAAAAAAAGAGAAGAAGGAGCCCCAGGAGCCCAGGTACCATTGAGAGCCAACAGCCCCAAGGAGCCAACTGCCCATTGAGGACAGGTTTTTGTTGGTGAGCCCAGGTGAAATGGAAAGTCCCCCTGTACGGAACGCCCGCTGGGAGCGCACCGAAGCATGTTCAAGCAAATTGATGTGGCCGGGTGGCGGAACTTCCAAGGACATCCTCAAAGACTTCGGATGTGGTCTAAGCTTCGAGCCCAACGAACAATTGCGGAACTCGGAAAAGTCACAGACCCCACTCCCGATCTTGTTGAAGCGGCCCAGCAGTCTCTAGGCTTTCACTTGATTCTGATATTTAGGTTTCCAGGTGCTCATGACTCGCCACTAGAAAGCATTTCTAGGTCCGCCAGCAGTTGGTGCCCTTTCTCACCCCTTTTGTGGTTGGGAGATTCGGTTCCCCGTGGCTAAAATAGACAAAACCGAAAAAGGCTTGGTACTCTTCTTCTAGCCAGAGGCTCCCGATTTGAGACCCCCAACCTGCGGGGTGTCCAATGGAGGGGTCGGGTCTTCCATTGAAAGCCCCAAAAGCCTCTGGGTAGCCTCAAACTATTGGCGGACCTAATCACTGTCTTGGCCCAAAGGTGAGCTCGGCGAGGCGAGCCATGGGGACCCATTTCGGAGCCATGTGTGCCGATGGCAAAAGCCTGCGAAGGGCCGGACGCGCGTCTTCCGAAACGGAAGACTTGAAGTTTCATGTGCAGGATCGGCCAATTTGGGGGGGAGCCTCCCCAAAACCATTTTTCCTGAGGGAGTGTTCCATACCTGAGTCAGTCTGAGGGAGTATTTTTGGAGACCCCCCACAAAAAAGAGGAGACGTCGAGATTCGTCGTCCCCGCCGCGTCGCGCTCAAGGCGCGCCGCGTCGCGTCGCGTCGCGTAGGAGAACGAGGCCTACGGCCACGGGGGCGCCATCTCCTGCGAGGAGCTGTCGCGGCCCAGCGCCCTGACTCTGCACAACGTGAGCTTTCTGGAGAACTCCGCCTATGGCCCCTGGACTGGGCAAAAATCGTTTGAGCGGTGTTTCATGGTTGTTGTTGGGAAACAGTTTGCTTATTTGTTGCTGATTGTGGTTTAGTGGTTGAAATCCAAATCCGCTGAGCTGCTAAAATATAAACTTCTGCTCCCCTTCCAACGTCAACCAAGTTTTGTAGCATGAATATTACGAAGTAATTCATTGGACAATAAAAATACCTTGTTTTTTGGGAACAGAGCATCTCAAGTTTAACTTAATATACACATGACATTTGTAAAGCATGGCAAGATTTCCGACGATTACTGTCTATCATTTGTGTGTTCTTAAAGTTTGGTTTGTACTCTTGTAATGTTCAGGAGTGGATCCACAGATTCGCCACATCCAAACCACTTATAGATCGCAGGGCCTTTGCTCCAGGATTCGCGATCGGAGGGTTCCTGTTTGGTGTAAGCACCCCACCCACAAGCGGAGGATTTTTGGTTTGATGTGGCTGTGATGCAGAATTCCCCCCACCCAAGCTTCAGAGGATCGGACGGGGCCAAAGCTGAGAGTCTCTGTTGCCAAGCTGGGTACACTGCGGACACTTCTTCATAGCTGCCCGCCTAAGTGACATGTGTGTTATAGGGAGCCCCAAAGCGTGGAACCCAGCACGAGCCTTGATGTCTCCAGGCACCAAATGTTCCCCAACAGGTGCCGACCAGTAGGTGCCGACCAATCCCAAGAGGGGCAGCGACTGATGGGCGAAGCTTTTGGGACCATTTCCAGGAGGAAACCCCTCTTTGGGGGGCCCCTGACAACCATGGGAAATGCATTGCAAAAACCATAGGTGTTGGTTTTGGCCGATTTGGCAGAGAAATAGATGGCCCTGGTTTACCAGGTGGTGTAATGGAGGGGGAGGGAGCCTAAATAAGCCCTTTTTTCGCCCCCAATAACGGCTTATTGGGGCTCCCTGCCCCCCCCCCCCCATCCCCATCCCCCCCAGTCCCCGTGACTATGTCCCAAACCCACCGAGCTCAGGGGACGGTGCGGGGCTGCGCTTTGCCTGCTCCCAGCTGCGCCTCAGCAACACCTCCTTCCGCCGCAACGTGGCGGCGGGCAACGGCGGCGCCTTGAAGCTCTACAGCCAGCTGCAGTGCGGCGAGGAGAAAAACAAATCCCCGAGAGAGCCGCCCGACGCCGGGATCCCAGTTTTGGCCGTGGTCAAAACCGGCAAAAACGGGATGGATGGGATTGGTGTTTTTCCCCGAGAGACCGGGATCCCATTTTTGGCCTTTTGGCCGTCAAAACCGGCAAAACCGGGATACCACTTTGGATTGGTGAGAACAAACCACCCATGTTAGAACCTATTTTAGTGGGGAGTGGGATGTTCACTGGGTGTACGATTTGGATTTTGACCCATGGCCATTTTGGTCCCTTAGTGTGAACATCTTGAAGGGTTCTTAATATTCTAGGTCCTGCAGTAGTGCCCTTTCTCACGCCTTTTTTGGTTGGGAGGGTTCCCATACTAAAATAGACTACAGAAAAAGGGTACCCTTATTCTAGCCTCTCTACTGGAGAACCTCGCCTTGAAGGGCTCAAACAAACATGTCCAAATACTTCTCGGGTGGATTCCCTTGAACATGTTGCGAATGCCACTTCTTTGAACCCTGTTTGAGCAGGTGCTTCTTATTGTGGCCGTGGCTCCTTTATTGCAATCTTGGGTAGGATCCAAAAAACAACGGAATCTGGGCACTGCTCAACGATTTTCTTTACTAGTTAGCTGGGGATAAGTCTACCAATTCATCGCGAGCGATTCCACAGGTTCGGGGGCATCAAGTGTTGTATTTTGGCCTTCCCTTCTCCCAGTTGCCCAGTGGTACCCTTTTTTCCCCCTTTTTGGGGGAAGGGTTCCCCTTTAAAGTGCAGCAACCAAGAAAAGGTGCCCTTCTTTTCCCGTCAAAATCCACTGGGCATCTGAGTTATTCGACAAACCCACCGCTGGGCTCTTGCCCCGCCGCCACTTGAGCATGGCAAAACGATGGCCGGTCAAAATCACCCCCGTTGAAGTTCAATGGATCCCTAGTCGGTTTGTCACACTCTCCAAGCCCAAAAGGCTTCTGTTTGTTGGCCGGGACCCACTTTTCATTGGGCGGGTTGCCCGCCGAACTGAAAAAAGGAAAACGCACTGGGGTTGGTTCTACCAAAAAAAGAACACGCCCTGGGCTTTGCTCTACCAGGATTGAACTGCACCCTTTGCTTGTGGAGCCTGGGGCCACCCCCAGGGGGGGCTGAAGCCAGCTGAAACCTCGCAGATTGGGACGCCGGGTCTCTCCAGACCTGGTTTGCTTCACCATTCCGATTTACCAGAGTCCGAGAAGAAAAAAAAACACAAAACGATAAGCTCAGGTGATAACCCCCAACAGCATGCGGTGCTCGTTTTAGTGCTCGCCCCACGCCGCAGTCCTTGCAGAACCTCGTGGAACTCTCGTGGAACCGTGGTGGAACCCTTGTGGAACCCTCGTGGAACCTTACCTCAGGGCCGCCCCAGACCACCCCGGAGCCTATCTGGGCTGAGACCCCAAAGCTTTCAGCTGTTGGGGAAAAAACAAAAAAGAAAAAAAGGAAGAAGCAAAGTACCGTGGCGCGAAAATTCGGGAAGGGCCAGCTCTGCAAGAAAAGGTTGGTAGCCAGCCACTCGTGTGCGACGTCAGGAGACGCTCTTCGAGAATGTGGAGCTTCTGGAAAACAGGCGCCTGGCCGAGGTGTTATTCCCCAAAAGATGCCTGAGCGGTTCAACAGATATGGCTGTGGTGGTGAAAACCGGCAAAAACGGGATCCCACTTTGGATGGGATTAATTCACCACCCATGTTAGAACCTATTTTAGTGGGGATTGGGATGTTCACTGGGGTACGATTTGGATTTTGACCCATGGCCATATCCGCAAGGTCCTTTTGATGGTAGTGGCTTCCCTCTGTAGTGTCCCACCCCCCCCAAAAAAAATACATAGAAATATGGGGAGTGGAATAAATGGGAGCGGCCCCATTTTGAAGATTCGGGAGGTTCCGGGACGCTGAAGAGTCACCAGCAACCAAAAGGAGCAATCCTTCCACGTGATGGGAACCGGCGGTAACCAGCCCATAAATGGCAAGGAAGTACAATTCCAACACCAGTACATATGTGTTTTTTTCAATAGGGGAGTCCCTGTGTAAGCCAAAAAAAATCAAGGTGAATTCGCTTTCCTCTAACCCATCTATGGTTTTCCTTTATTCGGGAATCCCCAAATTCGGTTCATTCCAACCCCCCATGACTCATGACATTCTCTATCGCGATCGCAAGACCTGGTTGTGGCTCAAAATTGAACCGCCAGGGCCAACCGCAGGCTTTAGTCTACGGCTTCCTGTAAGTGAATCCCCTAAACCCTAAACCCTAAAATCCTAAACCCCAAGCCCTAAGCCCCAAGTTCGGTTCATTCCCAACACATGGACTCCTTCCATCCCCCATCGCAAGACCTGGGGAGACGCCAAAAATCCCGCGACGCCAAATCGAGCCGGCGCGCCGAATCCAGCGACGCAGCGAGGGCCAAGCTCGGGGCCGGGGTCTTCTTCAGCTACGCGGATCCCAGCTGCGCGGTGCCCACCCAGGCGACCGAACTCCGCCGAGCGGGTTGGTCCACCGAACGCGACGGCTTGAAGTCGACCCGTTTTTCTTGGTCCCCCCAGCAATTGCTGCTAACTTTCTCACCCAACTTTTTTGGTTGGGTTTTTTTTGGGTTCCCCTAAGATAGACGAAACCGGACAAAAAATAGGGTACCAACTTATCCTGACCTCCAGCTACTGGAGGACCTAGGTTTGGTTTTTTGCGCCGCCGGGGCCGGTTTCGAGCGGTGGCGAAACGCGAAACGTGGGGCCTTGTCATCCGGCGCCTGCAGCTTCTTGAACTTAACCGCAAGTTTCCAGGAACCCTCCAACATACCTTCCTTTTGAGCATACCCCAACCCTCCCATGATGATAGTTGCTTTCATGGAAAAATCCGGGGTATGCTCAAAAGGTATGTTGGAGGGTTCTTGGAAAGTTAGACTCGCTTCTTGCAGCCGGAGGCGTCCGGCTTTCAGTTGCTTCTTAGCTGGCTTGGTGGTGGTTTCCATTTCGCCCACAAGGCTTGTCGCAGGGGATCTGAGGTCCCAGCAAAGGTGATTCGCTGAACGGAAAATGGTCATGAGTCGCAATATGTAGCAACCTTCGCGAGGTTGATTGGATGGATGAGTTGGATTGGTTTGGGTTTGGCTTGTCTTGATTTGACTGGATTTGTTTGATGCAGTTGATTTGCAAGATGTTGAATTGATTTGATTGAGTTGACTGAGTTTCACTGGTTTGATTGGGTTGATCCATTTGACTGATGTGATTGATTTACTGTTCTGATTGTTCTGATTGTTCTGATTGTTTTGTTTGATCTGTTTGATTTGTTTGATTTGATTGGTTTGGTCGGTTTTGCTGGCTTGATAGGTTTGTTGGTTGGATGCATGGTTGGGTTTGTTGACTCTGTTTGGTGGGTGGGTTTGGTTTGGTTGAGTTTGGTTGGTTGGGTTTGTGGTTGCCGCGGTTGGTTGCCTGTTTGTTTGTTTGTTTGTTTGTTTGTTTGTTGGGATGGGTTGGGTTGGGTTGGGTTGGGTTGGTCGGTCGGTTGGTTGGTTGGTTGGTTGGTTGCAGATTTTTCCCTTCAAGCCTCAACCACCCTTTTGGCTTCCTCACCCTTCCCGGACATTCCTGGCAAAAGCCCGAGGGTTCCCCCCAACCCGACCGACCCCAACCCGACCCGATCCAAGCTCGAGGGTCCGGACGGCGCCTGGGCCACCTCCGTCCCCTCGGCCTGGCGCTGGGCCGACTTCCCCGGCGCCGTGCGCGGCAACGCGGCCACGCTGCAGGGGGACCTCCAGGCGCGAAGCTGGCGCGAGCTTTCGCGCGGGCCGGCTGGCGCTTTCGGCCTTCGGCCTTCGCGGCCCTGAGTGGCTTTTTTTTTTTTTTTCTTCGGAGGTGTTGCACTACTTTTCGGAGGTGTTTTTTCGGAGGTGTTTCGGAGGTTTTTCCGGCCCCCCCAGCCCACTTGCGCATATTCCATGTCCATCATATAAGCCCCTGGGCTTGGTGGTCGCTGCAAACCTGGGAGCGGATCGATCGGCTTGTCCTTGGAGTTTGCCTTTGGGGCGTCGGGGAGTTTCAGTGGGTTTCCTTGGTGGCTCCCAGCCATCCGGTTCAACTTAGCTTTTTGGCTTATTAGTCTTTAGTGGAAAACTCCTCCATTTAGCTCACTAAAAGTCAAGCTTTTAGTGGGGGATCTGAGGACAGCTCAGTTTCATCGTCGGCTAGTCATAAGTTTGATCAAAAGGTCCCTTCGTTGGAAAACCGCAAAAGAGAAAAAGAGGATCGACTTTCCCACATGGGTGTGGCTCAAAATTACACAGGAGGGGTTACGCGGGTTTTGGTCCATGTTTCCACTTACCAGGGTGCCATTTTGGAATTCCGGTTTTTTGAGCCACGGCCACATGCGAAGGAAGTCCGCCATGGTCACGTGGCCCAAGGAACTAGGCCCCTGAGTAGTGCGTTTGCCATGGCCAAGTTTCTTCCGGCCGAAAACTCTGAGAGGACCTAGAATGATTGATCAACCCCCATCTGATTCAGACCTCGGGGCGAAGGCCATGAGCATGGTCCATCCCCCACATCGGCGCTGGGTCTTGGTTCCCGAGTTGGCCGCCCGGTTCCTTTGGTTTTTAAGTTGTGTTTTTTTGAGGTTTGGTTTAGTGACGGGGTGTCCATTCAACTGTAATCCACAACTTGCGAGATGTATTCGCAGAAAATCAGCCCAGCTTATGGACTTGCGATCAACCATGAAACACTTTTTTTGTGTGTGTTTTCGCCCAGTGGCCAGCCAACTAGCTGACTATCGAAGTAGACAAGTAGCAATCCCATCCAAGTAGCGGAGCTGGCTCGCGTTTGCTCGCGAGCAAACTTGCTGGCCTAGCCAGCTACCTTGTCTGCCTCGCTAACATGCGTAGCCGATCAAATGGCATGACGATCCAAGCAGCTAGCCAACCAGCCAATTCGCCAAACGGCTTAGTCTTGAACTAGCTACCCAAGCGGAGCTAGCTGGAAGACAACTGTGCTTGGGTTGTGACCTAGTTGGTTGGGTAGCCAACTAGCGAACTACCTAGGCTATACAGCTCGAAAAGGCTAATCGCTGAAGTGGCAAACTAGCTAGCTAGGAAGCCAGCCAGTATCTGGCTAACTAGCTTGCCAATTACAGCTACCATATAAATTAGCTTTTTGCCGTGCAAATTAACTATCTAGCTAGCCAAGCAAACCAGCAAGTTAGCTTAGATCTCGAGCTATCCAACTTTTTCACCAGCTAGGTAGCTGGCAAGCGAGTTAACTATTCATCTTGACATCACACCCGGGCAGTGCGGGCTGCCACGGGCCTTGCGCGAGCGCAGTCAGCAAGCAGCGTGGGCACCGATGCACAAAGGCAATTGGCACGCTTGCAAGCATTGGCAGTTCACGGGAAGCACCTGCCAAACTATATAGTGCTATTAATCAACGCTAATGAAGCTTCCGTTCGCTAGCTTCATTATAAGGCACATGTTGAAATCCGTATTGCGTCATTTTCGATTTCTTGTTCACAATCATCAGACAGTCAGTCTTCTGGACAACCAGCTTGTGCTAAAGGAGGTGCCATGTCACTGATAGAGACTCAAATAGAGAGTGGCAAATGATCTTGCTGGTGCTCAGCTGGGAATGAGGGAATGACCCCGACAAACCATCCAACTGGTGGTTTCCCTTTTTATTGAATCCAACCAGAAACGGTTCATTCAACCACATCCCCTAGTTCTCGCACCAGCAAATCATTCCACGGAGCTGCGGACGGCTTTTGGAATGTCTCAGGCCACCATGCCCGAGAGAATCGAGCTCGCCTGCGGCAAAGGTGCGCCTGGAAGCCTTAGGCTTCGCACTGCATCTTCACTAAACCGAATTTCTTGCGAAGTCAACTCTGCGGTTCTGCGTCCTCACTGAGTGGGGGTCTGTCCTTTTTTTAGGCACCCCCCCCCAAAAAAAAAAGAAAGGAAGAATTGAGCGGTCTTCCTTTTGGCCCTCAGTTCTTGAAAAGGAACAGCTCCACCGGGCCAGTGCGGAAGTGGGGCCGCAGCAGTCGTCCCCAGATGGCCCCCGGCCTCGTAGCGCAATTCGCTCGCCAGGCAACTGCACCGAGCTGGGCCTGATCGGCACGGAGCTGGGCCAGATCGAGATCGCCGGCTTCCCAGGGGTCCTCCTGTACTTCACCGCCAGCCTCAGGGCCGCGCGGCCGGGAAAAATGCGAACCTTCTGGTTGCGGGGGGTTGGGCCCTGAGGCTGAGGGGTTTTCCGGGGAGGAATTTTAGAAAAGATGGCCTCAGGTCGAAATGGGCCTTTGGAGCTTTTGGTTTTTTTTTCAGGTTGGGGTCGTGTTCAGTCATGGCCCCTGAGTTTTTTCGACAGATCAATGTTGAAGGGGAACCACTGGGGGCTTGGCTTGGGCTTGGTCCGGAATCCGAATGGGAGGGAAGTGGAGAGGTTTGGGCTGCACAAAGGCGCTTAAGGCCCCACTTTTCCCTTTGCAGTGGCTTCCCTTTTGTAGCGGTCTCCTGAGCTGTCCAGCTGACCCACGGGGAACAGTCCGGGGAACTGCGGGTGTGGTGGCGATTTGTTTTTCTCCGCGCGAGTATGCGTGCCAGACACGTCCATTTGGGCGACTGGGAGACGGCCAGAGCTAGCAGAAGTGCCATTGTGCAGGGGGAATCCTAACAACCTCACACGACCGAATTCACCCCAAATGGTGGTTTATATGGGGAATGGCCCCGCAACCACCTTATTTCAGGCAGATTGTGGCACCAGCAAGATGGGCGCATTGTGGAGATATTCATTGCTTTTAGTTTCAAGCGCGGCATGAGAAAAGAGAGGCCGGGATTTTTAGGGAAGAGAGATAAAGGAAGAGATCCGCCGGTCGCGTCATTTCAAGACAGGCCGCACACCTTGGAAGTCGAAGATGTGGCCACTTTTGCAAATTGGCACTGCCCCCCCCCCCTCTCCCGGGCTCGCCCGATCCATGCTAACTGGCTTGGATCCAGCAGGATAGTTTCGGGCAAATCTACGTGGATGACACCCTCACTTTGGAGCTCGAAGTGTCCAAGACGCTGCCTTGCGTGCTGAAAGGCTGGCATTGGATTCGCCTGATTTGTTTTTGTTCCCGTTGGGCCGGCAAACCTCTGTGCCTGGGTTTACTTGTAATTCTGTGTTTCGGTCGCCTTGGTATCTAGCTGGCAGGTTTGAGCTGTGCGTCGTATATTTTCATGGCAGCCGCAGAATTGGATCTGAATGATCTGACCGGATGAGCTTGTCAGTTTCGGCATTTGCCTTGTTGCTGTCCATCCTGTTCTCCAGGTGCGGTGAAGCATCGCTTCACGGAAGGCGTTGCAGCAGTGCAATCCGCGACCTCGGCATGTTGTGATCACCCGTCTTGCGCGTGACCCTCCAGCTTTCAAAGGCTTTCAGACTTTGTCCATTGCAGTCCTTCACGCCAGCTGCAGGGAGGAAATTTGAAAGTTGGGCCACTTCAAGACTCAAGTTCGTCCCAGGTACGAGTCGTGGCCTCCGAAGAAGGGGCTTGGAGTCCCTTCTGCAGCATCTTGGTGCGGCTTCCCTTGTCCATCTACGAGCTCCAGAAGGCCGTTGTGTGTCGTGTTGTGTGTGCAGTGCCTTTGACCTATTGTGCTCGTCTGTGCGCTGTGTAACGTGTATGTGTGTACGCGTGTCTATGCATGCGTGTGAGCATTGATAATTGTAAACGCTTCGCGCTCCAATAAGTTGGTTGTAGAGCGTGCGTGTGCGAGTGCATGCATGTGCGCGTGCCTGTGTGTGTGTGTGTGCCGGCGTGTGCTGTGTTCGTGTGGTGTGGTGTGGTGTGGTGTGGTGTGTGGTGTGGTGTGGTGTGGTGTGGTGTGGGTGTGTGGGTGTGTGTGTGTGTGTGTCCAACCCTGTAGCTAAGGGAAGCGACCTGCGGTTTCCATTTCTACTTTGCCAGTTGCAACCACCAGCAATTTTGAATTCACTGCAACCCGTTGAAGTCAAGCTCATGATGATGTACAACCATTTGAGTTTCTGTGCCTGGAATTCGCTGGAACCCGTTGGAGTCATGCCAGCCCGGAGAGTTCCTGCAGTGGTCAAGAGCTGGCGTCTGATGAGTATGACTTTTAGAGGCCACGAGCAGCGAACCTCTGACGAAACTCCAATTTCGCATCGTGCATGTCCTCCCAGATCAGCCTTTGTGGCGTACTATCTTCCTCCATAGAAAATGGAAAAAGAGAGGAGCCGGAACAACTTGCTATGTCAGGAGGGGATAGAGCACAAGTGTGTTCATGCCGGTTGTTGGTGTATGTTGATGTTGCCCTTCCACGGAGGGTCACCCTGATGCTGAGTCCCATGATGTTTTCTGAACAATGCATGCCTCCGGCCCTCTGAGAATCTACCTCTCCTGGCCCACTGAATTTTTGCCTTGTTGGAGCTGACTTGATGTCGTATTCGATGTCTGTGAGCTCTTCAGTGCTCGAGCTCAGATCCGACAAACTCCAAACGAACTTTCTGCCATGTCTCGCTGGCAAGAGTGTTCTTGGCGGAGTTCGTCAAAGAATTGGGATCAGTCTTGGTCCAATGACGATTGGCGCGGTGATGGCCACCCGGCCCGCGCCACCCCAGGTTCAAGCTGGCACGCCAGACCCTCCAGCTGGCAGACCAGGGCAAAGCCCGCAACCCCTGTACAGATTTCGAGCGAGCCCCGATTTCCGACAGTAGTCTTCGTGTGTGTTTCGCCTCGGGCGGTTCTTCACATTGGTCCACCGGTGATGCCTTTTGGGATTCTAAAGTGTTGGGAGGCCACCACACAGCACTGTTCAGCCGACTGCATGAAGCCAAAAGGCAGGCATTGCAGGAAGGCAGGTCGATGACCTCAAGTTGCATGAGCTTAGCTACCATGGAATTCAAGAGTATTCGCTGAGGTTGTTAAGCGAAGGACGATTCCAAGGTTTGGTGTACACAAAAAGTGTGGCCGAAACGATTTTTGTTCAGGCTTTGCTTCAGGCCACCAGGGAGGCAGCTGTAGATTTGGATCTCTTGGCTGCCGCCCTGCACAGTGATGGCCCACCCGACAAACACAAGGAAGCTGTTCGTTTTGTGACGCCATTAGTGGCTCGGCTGGTGTCATTGATGCAAGAGCTTTCTCCTTCCACCGGCTCGTCTGGCGAAGCCCACGAGTTAAAGCGACGCCGGGAGAAGATGCAGTCATTAGGCATTATTTGACACCTCGAAAAAGGTCAGCCGAGGAGCTGGACCCTTCTGATCCAGCATCTGCAAAGCAGCCTCGCACAGAACCACCCACCCTCCCTGAATGTTTGCTTGCACCGTACCGGCCCGGAGGGGCACACAGAGACCTTTCTAACCCAATGGGTCGAGAAAGTGACCGGCAAAATGACCAAGGCCAAAGCCTCTCAGTTTACCAGTTACACGCCTGCTTCGAAAGCAGGACCGGGCGACCTTGCAACAGGCTGCCACCCAGTACGGCCTTGACCCTTCCCTGGTTCACAAAATGGCCAACCGCAACCTGACCACCAGTCAGTACCTCGCAGCTTGACTAGCTGCAGAGGCCGAACTAAACCGCACGGGCTGAGAGAGGGACTTTTTAATGCATGACCTTTGTGAATTAAGGGCTGCCGTGTCTTTTTTTCTGCATGAGCTTACTGACGTGTCTAAGGCCAATCTTTTATGGGCACAAGGCCTGCTGCATCTTTCTCTCCTGTTTCATTTTGCAAGTGGAGACCCCAACAGTCAGACCCAGTGTCTTCGCCAGAAGTGTCTCGAGATGAATGTCGCTCCTGCCAGTTATCGATGGGACACTTTTCCTGTCCCTTGCGCTGTTTATTGTACAGCACCAGTTGAGCCTGGAAGCCGCGGCGGTATTACAAGCAACCCAGTCAGATGATCTATGTCGGCAGCACTTCCGTCTCTGTTGCAAGAAGAGAGTGTGATCGCCATGCGGTGCTGCGCCGCCTGGAGCACACCCCTTGTACACAAGCTGAATTCTCGTTGCGGTATTGGAAAAGTAAGTAGAGCTTTCACAATTACACACTTTTCAAGCTGTCATCTCATGAGAACTACCGGCAGGCTTGGGTCCCTGAAGATCAGTTGATTGCAAAATGGCAGCCTCGCCTAAATTACCCTTTTGTCACCCGGTTTCTACAATGACAAAGAAAAGCACTGGGATTTCGAGCGGCACCTAGAACGCGACAAAGCGTCTCTTTTTGCTTTGGACGAAGACTATGGCTGAAGTTGCGACGTCGCCTGTTCTGTCGCACAGCTCCTGTCCCTTCCCATGTGACTCGTAAACAAGCTTGGGAACTCCTTTTCGGCCTCACGAGCTGCCTCAAGTTATTCGGTCTACGCGATTTACCGATGATGAATTTTTTCACTCATCAAACTGACGCACGCTCTAGAACAGCCAGCCCGCGGCCGAACCCTGGGCATACTACGGTCTGCCTGCAGGTTTCGACAGATGACATGGTCTACCTGCTCTTCGTCTTCTCTCCGGCTTCCTTTTCTTGCTCACGCCAGTTTCCAGCGCAATGTCGAAACTTTGTTGAGACAGCACGCCATTCTCCCTTTCAAGCATGTCCTCATTCCTTTTCATCTTCCTTCACACCGACTCCGAGAACAAGCTCAGGACAACGTTGCGGAACTACTTTTCAATTTTAGATGGTGGGAGGATAAGCTGGACCACTCAATGCCAGCTCCCTGCACTTGTCAAGAACTCATCAGACGGTTTCCATCCTTGGCCGAGTATCGTGCAGGACCGGAGAACCACGTCGTCGCGGGTCTTGACCAGCTCAACACGCATGAGCACGGTTTTTCCGTTACCTTGGGCTCCAACTCATGCTTTCCCAGCAAGTCCCGTCTCTTTGACACAGTTCTCCCCCACTTTGAAAAATGGAGGAAGCGCCATTGCATCCCGAATCAGGTCAGCCCAGGTAGCTGAACCAGCTACCGCGCACCAGTTGGAGAACAGTCCAGCGTATCAAGCACCTCCTCCAGCATGTCAGTGCTGCATTGTGAAGATCATGCCCCCAAACGTGTTGTGCTCTTTTGTCCTCGTCTATACTTCTGCACTGCGCGCCAAACATGGAGTGACCCCTCTGTTTTTCAGTCCCTTCCAGGCACAACCCAGTCGTGGCAACACACCGTGTCAAGATTAGTGGGACCAAACTTACGAAAGGGCTACGCATGGGGCATTCGGTCAAGCAGAAGCAGCCCTCTTCCCCGCGGCCTCACCTTGCTGAAGAGGAAGAAGCCTTTCCAAGTTGCACGAACCATCAACTGAGTCAGGCAACTGATCTCAAAGGCCTTCTGGGCATGATGTCCGTTGGGAAAGTACTCAGGTCTGCCACGGATCAAGTTGGCCTAGATCCATCCTCAGGCCAGTACTCGTTCAGTTTTTTCGCCAAGGTTTGTGACAAGCAACCTTGGTCGGATGACTGGAAACATTGGGTTTCTGGCACTTCCCACTCCACCAAGAACCAGGATGACGTGTTGCTGCTGGGGTTCTTGGAAACGGTCCACCATAAGGCCAACACATCCCACGAAAACAACCTGACTAGGTTGTATCCCTTGGTGCATTCGCCGGCTGCAGACAGGCGTTGGGCCGTCAGAGAGGCAGCCGCACGTTTGGACTGTGTGGCAATTTGCAGCAAGTCCCAGTTCAGTTATTTCAGCAGAGCTGACTCGCAACCAAGCTTTGGGACCTCCGCGCTCCCAATTCAGAACGATGACAACTGGGGCCGGTGGACCCCCGCCGGCCCGCGCCACCGCCAGCTCCAGAATCGGTGATGCACCTGCTTTTTGTCTTGTTCTTCTTGTTCGGGCTCGTTTCTTTGGTTTGTGTGTCTCTTTGTTTCTTTTATGGGTTGCATTGCTGCGGCGTCCGCCCTTGGGCCAAAATCCATTTGAGCAGTCCATAATTCGATGTCATTGCCTTTTGACTCCGACACTTTCAGTGTAGAAAACCATTACGCATGCTGCCGACTACCTTGAGCTTCGAACTTGAGCTCCGAACGCGCGGTGCTGATATGGTCCACGGTAGTTTCTGATATGCCGTGTGCAGTTTTCTTGTCTGCGGGACCTTTGTTTTCCTGTTTTGGTTAGCTTTTCACTAATGATATGGAGCATCTTACGCCGATTGCCATGATGTCATTCAATGACTTGTGTTTAATTTGGGCAAACATTGTGCCCTTCAACAGGATTTGTTAAATCCGGCCTCGCTTGTGTTTCCTTGTTCGGTCAGGCGACCGATTCCACCGCACAATAAGATGGTGCATGAGCCACGGAGTGTATTGGAGATGGCCCATATGTTTCTCTTGGTTCCCTTTCTTCTTGGTTGCTGGATTCCCTGTGCGTTTGCCCAAATGTTAGCTTTGAAACTAAGGGCCGGATGCTGACCACATGGATACCACCGGCAGCTTTAGCCTTCCGAGCTACAGTCACCAGTGCGCCCGGGTCCATTGATTTTGTGCTTTATGGGTTCCCTCTCTTCTTGACGACTTGGATTCCCTGCGGACCTCCGTTCATGTTACTGTTCTTGATTTATGTCACGACTAGCCAGAAGAGGCTGCAAGCCAGATGGCGGCCATGCTGAGACATTGCTAGATCTTTTAATGCGGTTGATGTCCTGACCAATACCAGGATAGCTTATTGTGTTGTCTGTTCTTGTGCGTATGTGTGTGTGTGAGTGTGCGTGTGTGTCCAACCCTGCGGCCCAGAGGCGCAAGCGCCTGCGGGTTTCGCCCTCCGATTTGCAGTCGCTGGCACGTCCGAAAGCATTGGAATCCTGACCTATTTCTTGCCCAGGTCCCCCTCTCTTCCTCTTTTTTTCTTTTTTTTCTTCTTCCTTGGTTGCTGGATTCCCTGTGCGCTGGTCCAAATGTTAAGTTTTTGGTTGCGGCTATATGAAAGCAAGAGCCAGGTGAAGCTGAGAGCCAGATGGCGGCCACGTTGATTTACCTACCGGCCCCTTCAAAGCAAAGCATTGTATGCCCTAACCAATGCCATAATGGCGGATTGTGTGTGTCCAACCCTGTAGCTAAGGGGAGCGACCTGCGGTTTCCATTTCTACTGTGCCAGTTGCAACCACCAGCAATTTTGAATTCGCTGGAACCCGTTGAAGTCAAGCTCATGATGATGTACAACCATTTGAGTTTCTGTGCCTGGAATTCGCTGGAACCCGTTGGAGTCATGCCAGCCCGGAGAGTTCCTGCAGTGGTCAAGAGCTGGCGTCTGATGAGTATGACTTTTAGAGGCCACGAGCAGCGAACCTCTGACGAAACTCCAATTTCGCATCGTGCATGTCCTCCCAGATCAGCCTTTGTGGCGTACTATCTTCCTCCATAGAAAATGGGAAAAAGAGAGGGGCCGGAACAACTTGCTAGGTCAGGAGGGGATAGAGCACAAGTGTGTGTGTGTCTCTGTGTCTCTGTGTCTCTGTGTCTCTGTGTCTCTGTGTCTCTGTGTCTCTGTGTCTCTGTGTCTCTGTGTCTCTGTGTGTCTGTGTGTGTGTGTGTTTGCGTGTGTGTGTGTGTGTGTGTGTGTGTGTGTGTGTGTGTGTGTGTGTGTGTGTGTGTGTGTGTGTGTGTCTGCGTGCGTGCGCGTGCGCGTGCGCGTGCGCGTGCGCGCGCGCGTGTGCGTGTGTGTGTGTGTGTGTGTGTGTGTGTGTGTGTGTGTGTGTGTGTGTGTGTGTGTGTGTGTGTGGGTGCGTCGGTGTGCGTGTGCGTGTGGGGCGCGCGTGCGCGCAACGCTCCTTGCAACTTCGGAGCACGAGCCGCGCCTTACGCCGGCGCAGGGCTATCTGTTTGGACTCTCGCAGGTCAGCACTGCAGAGGTGCGAGTGGCCATGGGCAATTCTTACTTGGACTGCCCCGAAGGCCACATCTCAGAGAAGAAGGTGAAGGCAGGGGCCCTCTCAGGACTTGGAGGTTCCCCATTCTTCCCTCCCCGCCGCCGCAGCACTTTTGCGTCCATGACGCTGTTCTGGAGCCCCTCTTGCGTGCCTGTTGTTTTTGGGAGCTGGGCTAGCTCGAGTTTGGTTCTCTCAGGTGAAGTTTTGTGTTCATATCTACATGTTTCTACCAAGTTGTTTCCTGTTATGTGCAGCACTTTTGAGTCATGGTCGCGTTTCCTTCATTTTCTGCGCTTGCTGGACTCAAGACTCAATGGCCTCAGGCCCAAACGCCAGTTTTGGATCTCAGACGCACGATTTCCGGGACTCTCGGCCTTCATCCAGGGCAGGCAACATGCTTCAAGCGTGGAATTGTCACCCTTGAGGGGGGGCGGGCGCTTGGTGCTTTAAAACGTCTTTGGGTTCTCAGGACTCGTTGGAATTTTGGTCCAACCCTTCCGCAAAAACGCTTGTAACTGTTTTCAACCGTTTGATTAGAAGCCTTGGACTCAAGATTCGGCCTCGGACAATTTGGACAGAGTACTGAGGCTCTTGAAACCAAGCATGCATTCAAGCGCTTTAAGGCATTGCATGTGAAGCGTTTGCTGGATTGCTTCTCTCTTGAACCTACCAACGCAGTAAAGTCTTTTCAAGCATAAAGATCGGAACTTTGAAGCCATTTGCGCAATGAATGGACTGTGACTCAACCGTTTTGAGAGGTCTGGGAAAAGGATGGACATAACCCTCAAAGTACAAGTAGACTGTTTGCAGTCAAGTGCAGATGGTTTATGCGGGATGGTCCCCTCAACACGCTTTAAAACGCATAAAGCTCACTTTAGAATCCAAGATTCCAGGTTCATGACTCCCAGCGCTCTAGCCCTTGAATCTTGAATCCAGCACGGCCCCCTGAACCCTCAATGAACGCAACACCATATCTGTATTGTTGCTTGCGTGTTCGGATATTTAGAATATTTAGATATTTGGTTAATGTTTGGTAAGTGCGAAGGTACCCCCAACAAAACACCAGGGTCTTGGTTCCGGCCTGGATTCGTTCCCGGAAAAACTTGGGGCTTGGCCGTTTGAAGTTTGGTTTCGGCGCAGGGCCTGTGGCAGTGCAAGCCCTGCCCGGCGGGGACCTTTGAAGCTCTGGGCCAGTGCCGGGCCTGCGGCGTTGGGACCTTCTCCATGGAGGCGGCGGCGGTCGTCGGTCCCCCAGCCAGTCGGTGCACGACTTCTCTCCTACTAAAGTAGACCTTCCTGAAAAAAAAGACAGAAACAAAACCGTAGACAACGGTACCAACTTATTCTAAGCTCTCAAATCCGGGTCCGGACCTAGTTATTTTTCCCCGAAAGCAGCTAAGCATTGCGAAATCGCCAGCCTGATCGCGCTGCCAAACTTGCGCGAGCCAACTTGCACGAGAACAGTTTGCACGAGGCCAAACTTGCACGAGCCAACTTGCACGAGCCAACTTGCGCGCAGCCAAACTTACACGAGTCAACTTGCACGAGAACAACTTGCACAAGAAATCACACAGCCAATCTTGCACGAGACATGTGGACACGAAAGTAGTTAGTTGGTTTCTTAAGGCGGCGCGGTGGAACCGAACCCATCCTGCGAAATGACAGGGGTTGGCGTGGTCAATGTCCAAGAACTGAGGTCGTTTTACGATTTGTGATCTGTGCGGGGGGATTGGCGTGGCCGATGTCCAAAAGCAACTTTTACGATTTTTTTGGGGGGGAGTTGGGGGGGGGGGGTCGGCGGCTTGAACAGCTCACTGCCTGAGTTCCATTTCGGACTTTAAGCTTTTTGGGAGTTGGACGACTTTTTTTGGCCAGCCCACTCAAGTGAGATAGGGTTTTCCAGTAAACTCCAGTAAATGCTCCGTTTTCACTCGAATCCAGTGACCCAACTGTTGAACTTCTCTGCGTACAGGAGCCGGAAAGCTGGGAGACTGGATCTTACCCGCTGTTGGCACCGCCAAATTGAGAAAAGAGCTTGAATTTGGCTGGACCTTTCTGGAGAGCTAGTTGGCGAGCTGCTTGGATTTTCAATCTTTGTTGACCAGGTGTTTGAATTTGGAAAATGTTGTTGGAGTTTGATCCCGAAAGCATTGCGAAGGGTTCTTCCGTGCAGAGCTCTTGGCCAACTTGCGCAGAGTAGCTTGCACAGAGTCACCAGCATGGAGATATCAGGAGCTCTTGGTCAACTTGCGCAGAGTAGCTTGCACAGAGTCACCAGCATGGAGATACCAGCATGGAGATACTCGCGCAGAGTTACTAGCACAGAGTAGCTTGCACAGAGTTACCAGCATGGAGATACTTGCGCAGAGTCACCAGCATGGAGATACCAGCATGGAGATACTTGCGCAGAGTCACCAGCATGGAGTCACCAGGAGTCGCTTGCGCAGAGCCAAGTGCAAAGAGCCAAGCGCATAGAGCCAAGTGCTCAGAGCGAAGTGCAAAGAGCGAGGTGCAAGGAGCCAAGTGGCCAAGTGCACAGAGCTAAGTGCACAGAGCCAATGTGTGTCTGTCTGGCTCTCTCCCTCTCTCTCTCTCTCTCTCTCTCTCTCTCTCTCTCTCTCTCTCTCTCTGTTTCTCTCTCTCTCTCTCGCTGTCTCTGTCTCTGTCTCTGTTTGCCTTTGCGTCCGTGTCGGTGTCTGCGTCTGTGTCTCTGTGTGTGCGTGTGTGTGTGTGCATTGTCTCTGTGTGTGCATGTGTCGCTGTGGGATGCTGTGGGTTTGTGCTTCTCTCGCTCTCTCTGTGTTTATGCGTGTTTGGTCTCTTTTTTGCCTGTTTTTCCCTTTGCCGTTGTCGTCTGTCTCCGTCCGCTTATTTGTGTTCGTTCCCGTGATTTTTTGTTTGTCTTTTTGTGTACGTAGTTATGCGTGTGTCTGCCCGCTTGCTTGTCAGCCAGTTTCTCTGTCCGCTTGTCCGTGTTTGTCCATCGGTTCTTCGGTTTGCCCGCGGTTGCTGTTTTGGCGTGCCAATTGCAACTTGAGCCACGGTCAAAACCCGGGTAGATGGAGGTTAGTAAGGGAGAGTCGCAACCACAAATGGATGCTGATATGCGGCCGCCTTTTTTCCTTTGCATGGTCCTGGGCAGGCCACTTTGATAATGTTGACCCCAGGTAAATAAACCCCTGTTTATGAATAACAGTGTAGTGGGGCATCATCACTTTTGGAGGGGGGGAACACCAGCATGTTAAATAAACTAACTCCTTTACATCTAGTGCCTGAATTGCATTTCTTATGCCAACATGCTATGTTAAAAGTGGTGCCGAATCAAAACGCAGGACAGGGGTTGGTTAATTCGGGGTCAACATGACCAGGTTTTGTTTTGTGACTCACTTGGGGCTACACTCCCTCCACAAGGGGTCCTGGGAGCTTCCTAGTCTGCGGGAGGGTACCGAGTCGGCCATTCGTCAGGAGGGCAGCAGCAGCTGCGACGACTGCCCAGTGGGGCATGGCTGCCCTCGCGGCGCCAGCATCCCGGCGGCTTGCGTGCCAGGCTTCTTCCAAGACCAGCGAGGCGCGCAGCAACTTGGCGCAAGCCGGTGATGGTTGAAGCACCGACCGAGCTTGTTGGAATCTGGAGATGTGTACAGCTGTTTGAAACATAGACTTCACATGAGCCACGATCAAACCCTGGGTAGATGAAGGTTAGAAAGGGATACTCCCAACCATAAGCAGCTTCGGATTTCCGCCTTCTTAATTATTGAAGCATGGTTTTGGGATTACGACCATTTCAATGCCGGTTTTGAAATTCTGCCTCACATGTCCACGAGGGGGTGTCGACCCTCAAAATGGCCCGAAGCCCTCTTTTTTTCTCTCCGGTGGGACAGGCTGTGACACGTCGATCGGATCTGCGAGGGTAGATTCCTTCTGGCGAGGGTAGATTCCTTCTTCCTTCTGGGTTGCTTCTGATCACGCAGTGCGTTCTTCCTTGGCATCATCTTTGTTTTTGTTGTTTTGTTGTTTGTGGATTCCTAGCATCACCTTTTAGCCTCCTGCAAAGTCATGTTACAAGGGCATCCGAGTTTCCATGCCTCAAGGCGCATGCAAAATATGTCAGGCGCCTTCTCCTCCCTTTTGCTGGTTAGCACGATGCAGTGGCATGGTCCAAGGGAGAAACTGTTTACTTGGGCTTGGGGACGGTCATGGACCCCTTAGACACTTTTAGCCCAAAGCCTTGTAATCAAATCAGGACTTCCTAAAAGATACAGTTTGCCCATTTGAAACATGGCTTTTTCCACACCAAAATAGAGTTGGACACCACCATTGACAAGGCTATGTTCAGGTGTATAATGTGAAGGATTCCTGCAAAAGTTAGGCAGCCACCATACTCCAGGGAGTTCTTCGAATTCGGCCGGCCTAGGAATTGCTTACGTTGCCCCATCGGCAGCTTCAGCAGCGAGTACGGCTCCAGCCTCTGCGAGGCCTGCGGCCTGGGCATGGTGACCGGGGAGTCGGGCGGTAGCAGCTTTGCGGCCTGCGTCTGCGCGGAGGGCAAGTTCATGGTGAGCCTCGGCGCGCGAAAAAAAAGAAGCCGGAAAGTGGTGAGGGAGAATGTTTTTTTCAGAACTGGGCATGGCAACCAGATGGTTGCCTTCATGTAAATGGTTATGGGCTAAGAATGGTAAGTAAGGGTTATGGCAACCAGATGGTTGCCTTCGTGTAAATGGTTATGGGCTGATAATCGTAAGTAAGGGTCATGGCAACCAGATGGTTGCCTTCATGTAAATGGTTATGGGCTAAGAATGGTAAGTAAGGGTCATGGCAACCAGATGGTTGCCTTCATGTAAATGGTTATGGGCTAAGAATGGTAAGTAAGGGCCATGGCAACCAGATGGTTGCCTTCATGTAAATGGTTATGGGCTAAGAATGGTAAGTAAGGGTAAGATGGTTGCCTTCATGTAAATGGTTATGGGCTAAGAATGGTAAGTAAGGTCATGGCAACCAGATGGTTGCCTTCATGTAAATGGTTATGGGCTAAGAATGGTAAGTAAGGGTCATGGCAACCAGATGGTTGCCTTCATGTAAATGGTTATGGGCTAAGAATGGTAAGTAAGGGTCATGGCAACCAGATGGTTGCCTTCATGTAAATGGTTATGGGCTAAGAATGGTAAGTAAGGGTCATGGCAACCAGATGGTTGCCTTCATGTAAATGGTTATGGGCTAAGAATGGTAAGTAAGGTCCATGGCAACCAGATGGTTGCCTTCATGTAAATGGTTATGGGCTAAGAATGGTAAGTAAGGGTCATGGCAACCAGATGGTTGCCTTCATGTAAATGGTTATGGGCTAAGAATGGTAAGTAAGGGTCATGGCAACCAGATGGTTGCCTTCATGTAAATGGTTATGGGCTAAGAATGGTAAGTAAGGGTCATGGCAACCAGATGGTTGCCTTCATGTAAATGGTTATGGGCTAAGAATGGTAAGTAAGGGTCATGGCAACCAGATGGTTGCCTTCATGTAAATGGTTATGGGCTAAGAATGGTAAGTAAGGGTCATGGCAACCAGATGGTTGCCTTCATGTAAATGGTTATGGGCTAAGAATGGTAAGTAAGGGTCATGGCAACCAGATGGTTGCCTTCATGTAAATGGTTATGGGCTAAGAATGGTAAGTAGGTCATGGCAACCAGATGGTTGCCTTCATGTAAATGGTTATGGGCTAAGAATGGTAAGTAAGGCTCATGGCAACCAGATGGTTGCCTTCATGTAAATGGTTATGGGCTAAGAATGGTAAGTAAGGGTCATGGCAACCAGATGGTTGCCTTCATGTAAATGGTTATGGGCTAAGAATGGTAAGTAAGGGTCATGGCAACCAGATGGTTGCCTTCATGTAAATGGTTATGGGCTAATAAGCCCCTTGATTCGATTGCTTTGAGTCACTGGATGGGTTCTTTATAACAACCATAAAACAGGATCCATCTAGAAAGAGAAGTTGATGCATATCCTGCAAGATCCATGTTGAGGATTGAGGGCTGCGTTTCAGACAAATCGGCCATCGTGGCTCTTGCAAGCCATCAGCTTCATTCGATTCCTTCCATTGACTTGGAAGGAGGGGGGGGCTGAGGACGCGTATTCACTGTCATTTGCTGATGGCCGTTTTTTGTTTCTGAAGAACCCAGTGATACCCAGTGATACCCATGTCGATTTGTGGAGCAAAGCTGCAGGGCATCTGCATGAAAAAAGGCTTCCGACCGTGACACGGGACATTGCAGCACTCTTGCTGGTGTGCTGGCTTGCTTGCTACCACACAGTTGAGATTTGCCACCCGCGGCTGAGAAGGAGTACTTCACTCGCTTATTGCGCCCGCCAAAAATGCGCTGCAGGAGCTAATTCGGGTTCCCCACCGGGGGAGGGTTGCAGCTGCCAAAAAATCCTTTGCGTACATTTGTTTTCAAACGTTTGGATGTTTGAGCTGGAGCTGCCAAGGTGCACAAAGTTGAACGATGGCCAATGACTAACCCTTTGCCGCAAGGTTGCGATCTTGATCGCTATAGAATGCTTCGCTTACAGTTGCGATGTGCAAGCTGGAGCCGACAAAAGGTATATGTTGCGTGCTGGAGCGCTGCCAAAGTGAGCTTTTCTTGCTGCACTTAAAGGCTGCGTGCTGTAGGTGGTTTGTGGGAAAACGCGAGGTGTCATGCCCGCGGAGGGCAAGCATGGGGTCGCGTTGATACTCATATAACGAAGCGGTCACGTTTCTCCCGGAATGCACCTGGTAGGCTAGCTGTTTTGTTTGGGGGAAAGAGATGGCGCATCCGGCGGCGACGTTGGTCGATGCACCATTGGACCTGGGGGGGGGGGGGAAACCGAGGGGTGGTAGTCCAAATAACTATCCCGAGATGTCAAAAGTACACCGAAAAATGCATTTCTTAGTCCTCCCCGACGGTGTATCATGTTGCACCCGCGGCATGGACTGGTCCGCGGCCAAAGCAGCCGGCCCGCTGCTTGAAAATTTCGGGATTTGAGCCGCTGGGACCTGGGCCAAATCCGTCGTGGGCGACCGAGGTCGGGGATCCCAAAAGAACAGTGGCACCGGATCTAACCACTTCCGTAATATCTTCGGGAAGCTCTCCCTGGGGGTTGAACGTCTTTGGGGTTGGGCCCTTTCGGTTGCTTCTCCGCAGAAGCTCTACTGCTATTGGGTTGGATCTTTAGACTTTACATGTTTTGTTGAAATCAAGTTGGGTTTCAATGAAAGACGCCAAAAGTGAAGCTCACTTGCAGAGGGGTCAACCACAGCAACCCAGGAAGTGGATTCCATGCCCGATTCGGAGGCGCTTTGGGTTTCGCGAAGCCGCGATTTTTTTTCCGCGAAACGAAGCGGACAACTCGGAGTGAGGAACGGCACCGGCTGCGCGGACTGCTTCAGCGGCATGATCTGCCCCCAGGGCCTGGGCGAGCCGCTGCAGGCGGCAGGCTACTGGGCCCAGGTGCTGCGGCTTGGCGGGAAGAAGCCGAACAATGGATGGCCGTTTTTCCTTTTTTTGGGAAGGGTGTCCCTTTAACGTCAACCAACCAAAAAAGCGTGCCCTTTTCTTGCCATGGCCACTGGGCATCTGAGTAGGTGTCTTTTTTGTGGTTTTGGCAGAAAAATAGAGGGCGATCCCTGGTTGACCAGGTGGTTTTCTCTCAGCTACCGGGGCCATCCATTTCCCCTAAGAGGACAATGGCATGCCAACCGGGTAACCCTGAACTACTGGGGACGTGTGTTGCCAGGTGGTTTTTTCTCATCTACCAGGGCCATCCATTTCCCCCTAAAAGGACACCTATGGCCGCAAGTCTCAGTATCGACATCATGTTGACCCCACCTGGAGATTCAAACGCCCAGAAATTTCTGGGCGTTTTGGGTAATGGGTACGATTGGAGGAAACCTGGGGGTTCTAGTACGAACCGCTGGAAAACTAGTACGAAGGCCGGCGTCTACCGTGCTGCTGGCCGTTTGGGAGGATATTTGAGCCAACAAGATCTGACCTCATATCAATATAGTTTCCTTTCTCGGTGCTTGCATTTCCGGTTGCAAGCATGACCCTACATCGGTGCCCAATCAGGGCATGCTTTTGAGCGGGCAGTGCATGAAACAACCCCAATTGACCCACTTTTTGGGATTTGCGCTCGTTTGCGGGTTTTTGCGGGCGTTTTGCGGGTTTTTGCGCTCGTTTTGCGGCCAAAAGTGGTACGAACAAAGTGCGTTTCTCACTCGAAGCATGTTTAGACTAAACTTGCTCCGATTTGCGCACCACTGCCCCGCACAGCTAGGATTGAAGGGTGTTGATGGAGGGAAGGATTCGAAGTGTTTAGAAGTTTCCGAAGATTCGAGCATCTGGTGTAGTGGGCAATATCAAGCTGAATGAGAGAGAAAGCCCTGTGCAAGAAGGAAACACCCAATAATTCAAATTTCTAGGCGTCTTAGTCGTTTTGCGGTAAAAGCGATACGAAACAGGCAAAAGCAATACAATGACCAAACCACCTACTTTTTTCTAGTCGTTTGAAGCTGCAGGCATGGGAATTTCAACCTACCGATTTAGGGATAGGCGGGTGCTTCTATTCTGGCTGGGTGTGAGGAATCAGACCACTTTTGGAGGGGCCAAAACCACCCCCCGATTCATAAACTGGGGTTGACTAAATATGGGCCAACATTACTCCAAGACCATGATGCCAACCTAGCAACCCTGAACCACCTGGCTGGTTCTTGGGGACGGGCAAATGAGGTATCTATGTCACAGCAAAACCCCACCTGGGAACTGGAACAATTCCTGTCTCGTTCTCGGCCGTTCTTATCCACAGCCGTAGGCGTGCCTTGTTTCAGGGGCCCGCCAAAATTGCTGGTTGTCCTGTTCTTTAAACTCCGCAAAATGGGGCATTCACTTTTTGCAGGGGGGTCGTTGCAGCAACCAAGAAGTTGCAGGGCATCCTTCAAGAGAACTGCCTCGAGCGCGTCCGAGCGCGGCGAGTTCGCGAGCTCAGGGACCAGCAGCAAGGGGAGTATTCCGTGCTGAGATGCCGGAGCACCTTGGAGTGCCCGGAAGGGCCGCCGGAGCTACTGGGCGCGGAGAACCAAAAAACAAACGAGCCCCAACTGATGGAGTGCTGGGCGCCCCCCAAGTTGGGGGGGGGCGAACTCAGGTAGGGAGTGCACAGGTTTGGGGTCAGGAACTTGTGTCAAGCTGCTCAAGGGCCCTTGTCAGTGAACTTGTTGCTTGTTGCGGGGCTCAAAGCCACGGCGAGGCTTTGCGCGGACAATCGCGAGGGCCCCGCGTGCAACAACTGCAAGTCCACTTTCTATCCCACCCACGAAGGCGCGCCAGAGGTGTTTTTGTTGCTGGCTTTTGGGTGGGGAAGCAGGGTGACATGAGGGGCGTGCGCCTTCTCAATAGTGCAACCGTGTTCGCTACCAGTTTTCCCAACATCACCGATCAAGATAAAGCAAGAAAGGGATGTCCTGAGCAGTGGGTTTGGGGGCCAAACAGTCAAAGGACACGGTTGGGTCTTGCTGGCTTACAAAAATCTGCAACCGGATTAACAAAAAAAACATCGAACAATCGGAACGACACAATCAAAGAAAAATCAAATGTTTGGAACTTACCCACTTGCAAGTCTGAAACTGAACAAGTAAATATACATTTATGAATACTCAGTTGTTCAGTGTCTCCCTTTTTCCCCTTTTTTTTGGTGGCTGCCCCACTAAAATGGTCTTCCCAAAAAAGGGTTCCCGTTTTGTCCAGGGTCACTGAACAACTGAGAATATGTTGTTGTTTAATGATCAATCAAAACTACGTCTGATAAAGGAAATGTTTGGATCTTACTCACTTACAATTCTGAAACCGAAATAACATTGAGATCACACACAAACAAAGGAGATGTGTTGACCTTAGTTACAAGTCTGAAACTATAGAAGCAAAGATGCATCAAACAAAACACACACACGTTTCTAGTAGAGATGATGGGTATGCCAAACAATTCCCCTGCCAGATGGTGTGTTTGTGTTGTTTGAGGCTTCTTTCTTTCTTTTTTTGAAATGTTTTTGCCCGGACCCACACTTGCTGGCTGCCAGTGTTGCTTTCTCTTGGGTATGACACAATAATTTCGAGCCAGATTGTTTGCGATTGAACATGTCTTGCAAACTCGATGTTTTATTTTGTGGTTGTCCACTTAAAGTGTGCCAATCAGTTCCTCTACTTGGATGTTATTTGTTTGTGTTTTTTCTCTTCTCGATGTTTGTCCACCAACCATATATATATATATATGTGTATATACACACATGTAAACTCCAGAAACGTACAGTTTCAAGATGAACATTAGGTCCTTATTAAAGCATATGCAAATTATAATTAAGATGAACCGACGTCTGAGATGCAAAGAAGTTCCTGTTTAGATCCTAGCTTAAGATAGACATGCTAGGTGACGTCTTTCCCCCTTAAACTCTGTAAATCCTTTGTTGCCGCAGAGTTGCTTTGCTGTAAAGTGACTTGTTTTTCTATTTTCGCCAATGATTCACACTGAAAAGCACACCACTCACAGCATCTCGATATAAATGGTGAACGAATTTCATTGTAGGGGGGGGGGTTGGGGGGAGTTGGGGGGGGACTCTTGAAAGTCTGCGGGGGAGGCCGGATCTTTGGACTTTCACTGTTTGGTTTAATTTTTGTTCCTGCTGAACATGGCCAATCAAAAGCGAGATTGCCGCTTTCCGAAACTGGAGGGTTCTCCAAAAGTGGTTTGTTCCCATGGGGCACTTGTGGCCACTTTGATCCTTGACTTAACAAAATGCGGGTGGGTCTTTTTTTCGGGATCCCCCAAAATGGTGGTTTTCATGTTGGTTTCCATGTAAAGCCATGCCAACATAGATGCCCTTGAACACAAAAACCTGTGTTGTTTTCAGTCAGCAAAATGCAGGACTTTTGGCGCAGGCAAATGTCACATAGACGAGCATCAGGGACTCTATGCCACTGAACTCCCTGGTCCCTTTGAAGAAGAATGGCATCTCCAATTCGATCTGTTTCAAGTTGATCTTGAAATGGGTTGCCCTTCCTCCCACTAACATAGCATTTGTGGGAGGGAACCTCAAAGATCAATTTCCTCTAGAAACGGCCCTTGGAGGGAGGGTACCTTACCACTTTTCGCGGATGCACCATGTCAGTCTTGCCGGTGCGATAGGGAATGAACTTCCGGGTTTTGGAAATGAACCGGAAGCTTTGGTGCATTTTGCCAAGGGATGTTAGGACTGAATCACTTTTTGCCCACTAATGGGTTTTCCATTAAACCACCAAAAGTTAAACTTTTAGCAGGGGGAGCAGAAAGCAACAGAGGGAAGTTGGGGGAAGGAAGGGTTCTCATGGGACCTCACCTCCCCGTTCTGTAACCCCCAAGACTCGCTGGTGCTCAGAAGGGAGTCATTCTTTTTGGGGTGTTGGGCATGGGCCTAGGGATTCCGGGAAAGAAAACCGCAGGAAATGAAGCGGCCCCCAAGCACTTGGCTGGTGCGATAGGTAAACCATAGGAATGAGTTGGAGTGAACCGCTTTGGGATTCCCTTGAAGGAATCATAATAGGTAGGGATTCCCTGAAAGAACGCCATAGGAAATGGATGGGCCTAGGGATTCCCTGAAAGAAAACCATAAGGTTTGCATGGGCCTAGGGATTCCTTGAAAGATCGTCATAGGAACCGGATTCCATGTCTCATTTCTTGGTGCAGGTCATTGCCTCGCCTGCGGGTCCTTAGATGCGCTGCCGGTCTATGTCTTGCTGATGTTCGCCTGGCACCTTCGCCAAATAAATTTCGAAGCCGAAAGGGGGTGAGGTGGACTTTTTGCGTAACTGCAGGGAGTTGGGGGGGGGGGTTGGAGGGAGTTGGGAGTTGGGGAGGAGGGGAGTTGCGGGGGGTTGGAGGGAGTTGGGGGGGGGGGGTTGGCGGGAGTTGGAGGGAGTTAGGGGGAGTTGGGGGGAGTTGGGAGGGCCTTGAAAGTCTGCGGGAGAGGCCGGATCTTTGGACTTTGACTGTTTGGTTTAAGTCATGGGTTTTCCGAATTGGACCATCAACTTAAGTTATTCACTTTTTGCGGAGTGGTCGTTACGGCAACGAAGCAACCAGGAAAGGGGGGGGAGGGGAGTTGGACTTTCGCTATTTACAAGAATGTTTCTGACTGTGGCCAACCTGCTCAGGAAGTATTTCACTTGGTACGGAACAAAATTCTGCCCTTTTAATTCTTTACCATTGCCATGGGTTTTGTGCAATTGGCTGTGCCAACAAGTGCAGGGCTTTCTGTGGGAAGCAGGCTGAAATGTTCAACCACTTCTGTGAAACCTGGAAACCTCCAGTTTTAAGCTCAAACAGCCTCATTGGAAGGCTTCCTTCAATGGTGTCAATGTTTGAAGGAGTGCCTAGGTTTGGGCCGTTGCCAACGGTTTGAACATACACCCCTTTGTAAACATCCACTAATTTAAGCCTTCCCTTTCTCTCGCGTGCGCCAGGCTTGGCAACGGAACGTCTGAAAGGGACCCTGCTAGAACCCCCATCCTGCATCTCCTTCCCCAAGAGTGGCCTCGACAAGGGCGACGCCCGTGGAGATTCGGCGAGTTTGTTTTCGATTCGAACAGCTGGCCTTGACGTCATAGGCGTCCTTTTTAGGTGAGCCTGGTTAAAAATAGATGGTACTGGTTTAGATGGGTTTTGTTCCATTTTGCAGGGAAACCCATCCATTTTTCCAGAAGGCCACCTATGTTTGACGTGTTGTCCGATTTCCCGAGCTTAGGCTACTGCTGGCTGGCCTGATGAATTGGGTGAACATGGACCTCAGCCAGTCCAGCTTGAACAAGCTCACCATTGCTGCGGTGGCCAATCAGCTTTGCTTCGCCATTCAGGCCCAGGAATTACACCCTTTGTGCACTCGGGACATGGTGTTGGCCCCAAATGTCTGGGAAATCTATGAGGTGATTTCTTCACCTAACATGTAGGGGTGCACTGCAATATAGGTCAGGCCGAAGAGTGCCTCATGTTGCTTGAGTTGCTCTATGAGCATGAGTCGTTGACTTGTTTTCGACATTGCAAGCGGTGTGTCATACCATACTTATGGTTCATGTGCAGCGACAGAGTGGGGACCGGCTCCCAAGCATCATGTATCATCAAACACGCAAATAAAGTGACACTACAAATTTCTTAGGAACATGGAGAGAGACACACACACAATCACACGCATGCACACAAAAGAAAGGCAGATCCAACCACGAACGTGCACAGAAACGCGCAAACAAACTGACACACAGACAAACATAAACACCCACACCCGCACAAACACGAAACACACCACGCACACACACAAAACATATAAACACAAACGCACACAACGCGAAGCAGCGCAAACAGAGAGAGATATACAAATATATATATATATATATATATGCATACACACGCAGACACAGAGACACAGACTCACACACACACAGACACACACGAGAGGCACACACACACACAGGCGCACTCAGACACACACACACACACACACACACACACACACACACACACACACACACACACACACACACACACACACACACACACACACACACACACACACACACACACAGAGACGCACACACAGACAGACACACACACACAGAGACACACGCACGCAAACACAAACACCACACACACACACAAAGAGACAAACACAGACTCAGACACAGACAGACGCAGACGCAGACGCAGACGCAGACACAGCCACAGCCACAGCCACAGACACACACACACACAACTCAACACAACACAAAACAGCACAGCACAGCGCAACACACGCACACAAGATGGTAGCATTTGCACGTAACCTTTGCATGATACGTGTTCACTGTTGTTGGCTGTGTCTTTGTTTGTTTGGCTGTTTGTCTATCTACTGCTATCTTGCCGGTTTTCGACATGTTGCTACATATTGAACATCAGTCAACCATTACTTGCAAGGAAAACTCCTGCACGTGATGCGTTCGGCGCCAGGCCCTTTCCACCATTCGCCAGCTTCAACTGACTTGGCCGGAGCCGGTGGCAACCCTCATGGACCTGGCCAATTTGAGCCTCGAGGGAAAATACTTCCGGGGTCGCAGGTTTGCGCTCACGGCTCGCCGTTTTTTTTCTTCCTCAGATGGCTGCTGCGCAATCGATGGGCATGTTTTTCGCCATTTGGGGTCTATGCAGAGGAATTTATTTGTTTTCTTCTTTTAACCGACGCAGGTCTCTTGTTTGGTCCCTGGCTTCAGGATTTGGCACCAAAAAAAACATGCAGATGTTGTAATCATCCATCCGGGTGGATACTCATTTGTACTCCCTGCGTCCGATTTCAAGTGAGCTTGGTGCAGGTGGGGTGTGCAAGAAAGGGAGAGATGGGAATGTGTCAACACCTCCCTGAAGCTAAACGGCGGCCAGATCAAGGTGAGAAAGCACCCCTCGCACACCACCAAAAACACGTGATGGTTTTCAGGCTGCCAAAACCTACGCAAGGCTTGGGTAAGAACCACTGGAGAAGTAGTCACTGCCCTTTGCTTTCGCCTTGCCCTTCCAGTATCCGTCCTATCTGTGCAAGTTTTCTTTAAGGGGCGGGGCTTCTCACCTTCGACTGTTTGACAACCAACCGATCGGATAGTTGCTTGATTGCTATTGGCTATTGGGCAACTGATCTTTAGACTTTAACTTTTTGGGGAGTCAAGGGTTTTCCACTAAACCCACAAAAAGTTAAACCTTTTGCAGAGGGTTCAACTGCAACCAAGAGTTTGTTTCTTTTCTCTTCACAACTTTTTGTACTCGCTGCAGCTCCAACTGGCGAAGCCACTTCGCCGCTTCGATCAACGAGGTTTGTTTACTAGAAAGTCTCAGGAAGTACTTTGTTTGCGCACAGGGAAGCCGAGCTTGCTAGGTGTCCTTAAAGACCAATCCTTTGGTTGACGGATTGCTATGATATCAGCCCTCAGTTTGTGTGCGGAATCTCCCTTTCAGTGACCCCCAACTAGAACTCCTTTGGTGAACTTGCGGGGGTTGTCGCACACCCTCCAAGAGCCGGCATGGAAACAGACAGGGCTCAGCGCCTCGGCTCCCAAAAACAGCAGGGACGGTAGCGTTTGTGTGAAAAACCAACGAAGCCTTTGGTTGCCCTGTAAACCAACCCCAGAAAGGAAACCACCGGAAAAACCAAGAGGAGAAACAAATCTGCAAACCAACCCCAGAAAGGGTACCCCCGGAAAAACAAAGAGGAAAAACAAATCTGCAAACCAACCCCAGAAAGGGTACCATCGGAAAAACAAAGAGGAAAAACAAGACTGCAAACCAACCCCAGAAAGGGTACCATCGGGAAAAAGAGAGGAACAAACAAAACTGCAAACAAACCTCACAAAGGGTGACACCGGAAAAAAAGAAAGAAAAGAGGAACAACAAAACTGCAAACCAACCCCAGAAAGGGTACCATCGGAAAAAAAAGAAGAGGAAACACAAAACTGCAAACCAACCCCAAAAAAGGTTTTAAAAAAACACAACAACAACAAACTGCAAACCAACCCCAGAAACGGTACCATAGGAAAAAAAGAGGAACAACAAAACTGCAAACCAACCCCAGAAAGGGTACCATCGGAAGAAAAAAGAGGAACAACACAACTGCAAACCAACCCCAGAAAGGGTACCATCGGAAAAAAGGAGGAGCAACAACATTGCGAACCAACCCCAAAAAGGGTACCATCGGAAAAAAACAAAAAAAAGAAACAGCAAAACTGCAAACCAACCCCAGAAAGGGTACCATCAGGAAAAAAAAGGAGGAACAGCAAAACTGCAAACCAACCCCAGAAAGGGTACCGTCGGAGAAAAAAAAGAGGAACATCAAAACTTCAAACCAACCCCAGAAAGGGTACCATCGGAAAAAAAAGGAGGAACAGCAAAACTGCAAGCCAACCCCAGAAACGGTACCATCGGAAAAAAAGAGGAACAACAAAACTGCAAACCAACCCCAAAAAATGTGTTTTTCTAAAAAAAAACAACAACAACAACAACAACAACAACAACAAACTGCAAACCAACCCCCAGAAACGGTACCATCGGAAGAAAAAAGAGGAACAACACAACTGCAAACCAACCCCAGAAAGGGTACCATCGGAAAAAAAGGAGGAGCAACAACATTGCGAACCAACCCCAAAAAGGGTACCATCGGAAAAAAATGAAAAAAAAGAAACAGCAAAACTGCAAACCAACCCCAGAAAGGGTACCATCGGGAAAAAGAAGAGGAACAGCAAAACTGCAAACCAACCCCAGAAAGGGTACCGTCGGAGAAAAAAAAGGAGGAACAACAAAACTGCAAACCAACCCCAGAAAGGGTACCACCGGAAAAAAGAAAGAGGAAAAACAAGACTGCAAATCAACCCCAGAAAGGGTCCCACTGGAAGAACACAGGAAGAGCAGAAAGAAAGAACATGGAGCCGCCCCATTCCCGCGGTGAGGATCACCATGTTCGACCTGGACTTCCTGAAGATCGCCTGCGCCTCCCAGCGTGACCACCCGGCGGTGAAGCTGCTGGGCCAGCTGCTGGCCATCCCTCTGCTGGCGCTGGGGGTGGCCTCGCAGCGCGGCGAAAAGTAGAGTGCATCACCCAGTGCTGCCAACTTGTTAAAGCTCTTTTTTTTTAACAAAAAAAGTCAACCAACCCAAAGAAGGATAGCACAATGCCTCTTTGTTTTCCCATGGCCACTCAAGAATCAGTTGGGAGGGGGGACCCGCACTATGGCGGATTTGTTTTCCCTTGTTTCCCTTCAAGACCAAACAAAAGGGGGTACCAACTCCAAAAAGACAGACCCAAATTGTACCAGAACCAAACCAAGCCAACCTAAGGCTTTAACTTTTTTTTGGGAAGGGTTCCCCTTTAAAGTCAACCAACCAAAGAAGGATGCCAAAACGTTTGGGGCAGCAATCCATGAGTTGTGTTTGGCAGCCAAAGACTCACTTGCCTTTTAAGCGAGTCGTTGGTTTTTCCATGTTTTGTCCGTGTTGGTCCATTTTGGTCCTTTGGTCATGACTCAGTTGCCCAGTGGTGCCAACTTGTTAAAACTTTATTCTGGGCAAGGGTTCCCTTTAAATTCAACCAAAGAAAAAATGCCAATGGAAATCCACTGGGCATTTGAGATGAGTTTTTGGGCCATTTCGCGTCACGTCTCTATGCTGGCAAAGGCTCCCAGCCATGCGATTTAAACTTATTTTGTTTTTTTGCTGTTTTTTGCGGGTTTAGATGGGGATTTCTGAATTTAACCCGCTAGAAGTTAAGCTTTTAGTGGGGAATCTGAGGACGGCCCAGTAAGAATAGTGAACGCTCCGTTTGGGATTTTGGGAGGTTTCTCAAAATGGATCTCGGAGCCCGTTAAGCCAAATGGAAACCAAGATATCAACAATGAAATGTGACCCGTATTCTGAGAAGCGCCCAGCAGTAGCAGTAGCTATGGTTCATTTGGGGTTTGGGACGTAGGGGAACAAGCTCCAAATTTCCAAAAACCAGTGTCCTTTTTAATTTCAACCGGGCGAGGGCCCCCCAACAAACAGGCCCTTCATGCTTTCTAACGCATAGGAGGCGGGAGAATGTCGGGTTCAGATGTGACGTCAGATCATCGAACAACCGGATGTCACAGGAAATATCTACGTGCCCCTGGACATGTGCCCAAAAACATAGGCCCCTCATACACTGTCAACTTCGGAGCACACCGGAGAACCATACTAATCAGGGGTGGTTCCTAGTAAGGAAATTATTTGTATCCTTCATACATTGTGTATACCCTATACATGGGTTAGACACGCCCAGCTTAAAATATCTTAAAGGATTGGGCACGTGTCTAGGGGCAGGTCCCCCCTTAGGGTCATGTACCTCCCACCAATTAACATGGAACCGGACAGAGGGTCCTTTTAAAAGGACCATGGTCTAAATCAGGACCCCCGAACGTCGAACGGTTCCATGTTAATTGGTGGTAGTTCCATTTCAGATCTGAGTCGTTGAAGCCATGTTTTCGCTTCATGGACACCAGATTGCTATTTGGTCACCTATCTGAGTCATCAAAGCTTGGTTGTCAAGTTGGCTTCCCCAAAAACAGGCCCACCCCTTTGGCAAATGTACGAGTGGGGGGGGGTACCCTAATGTCCAAAAACTACGGTTGAAAAGGAAAAAAAGGCACGGCTACTGCTGGTTGGGACTGTCACCTGTACTTCATGTACCCAAGTTTCAATCTGGCGCATCACATTAACCATGTGTGTGTCTTTGCGTGTGCATGTTTGTCGCCATGTGTCTACTTGATTTTCGTTTGTCTCTGGTTTATCTCTAGGCCGCTCTTTCTCCCTCTCTCTCTCTCTTTGTGGCTTTCTTTCCCTCTCTGTGTTCGTGTACGTGTGCGTGCTGTTGTGCCAGACATCATTCAAGCAACTGTTTGCTGAATCAAGTTGATCAATTGCATTGCAGAGCGTGAGCCAGTGTATGAGGCCGTGCCAGCCATTCGCTAGTGGGTTCAATTGAACTGCCAATTGAACTGCCCAAGCAAAAGGAATGTCGGAAAATCCAACTAAACAGCAAAACACTACGGGCCGACATTTTGTTTGAAGTCCACAAAAGGTAAACAAGCAACGAAACTACGACCAACCAGAATGTGGAACGTTCACGTGGGTCTCCAAAATTCTCCAAATATCCAGGTGATTTGTGAATTGATGGACATAGATCCCCATGTGAATGAGGTCCACCTAGCCTGCCACAAAAGGCGAGCACACAGCCGAAATTGAAAAGCAACTGCTAGCCCAAAGTTGAGTCCGAGGATTTGCATCCTGCAGCGGGCGCTCGGAAGGCGGAACATGCCCTATGACCACTTCTTCAACATCATAGGCATCATCCTGTCCCTTGCCCAAGCTTGCCCAACCCCTTATTCAGCGATTTTCGTAGGCGGTGCGCTACGTCTTCTTGCAGGGATGGTAGACGCGCCGGACTGGTGCTGACCTTCGTGTTTTCATGACGCCAGATGATATACGGCCGTCACTGCTAACTCATTGTATCTTGGGGTTGTGGCATGTGCTCTGGAGCGGAGGCATGTGTGCAGTCTGGCTCTTGAGCACTTGTGCTTGTCATTGGGCAGGCATGTGTGCAGTACTGAGCGTGTGCTCTTGAGCGGGTGTGCTTATTATTAACCAGGCTCCCGCCTGCTGCCGCCGACCCTCGGCGCATTAAGGGAAAAGTCACAAGGACCGGTCCTGAAACACGTCCGCAAACCCAGGGACCACTTATAAGATTTTCTACGACCACAAACAAGGATTAACGGAAAAGTCAGAAATATGGCAGCTAGTCCGTTAATTGCCGCTTGGGCCGGCTTGCGCCCAAGTCACTTCGAGTTGGCCCGGGAGCAGTCGCCTGTCCCGGGTCGCCCTGAAACTGGCCCTCCCGAAACTGCCCCGGCGACAGTGGCCCTAGTGGCCCTGGACCGGTCGCCGGCAGTAGATCCAGGGATCCTCTACTACCACAAGGATTAGCGGAAAAGTCAGACAGGCGGCAGCTCGTCCGTCAATGACCGCACGGGCCGGCTCGCGCCCAAGTCACGTTGAGCTGGTCCTAGAAACAAGGCCGTCGGTGCAACCGGTCGCAGGGAGGGACTGGGACTTGGGACCCTGTCCGGTCCTGAAACACGGGTGCCAGTCCGGAAACAGCGACACTGAAAAAACAGGTGTCTGGAGCTGTTTGAGGTGGCACCGGGTTTCTGCAGCGGTTTGAAGTGGGATCCGATACTAGCGGCTGGGACCGGACCAGTCCTGAAAGCGGTCCTGGCCGGGACCAGTCCCAGGACCGGTTTTGGGACCGGTCCCAGGACCTGGCCCAGGACCGGTCCTGGGACTGGTCCTGGGACCGGTCCCGGGACCGGCACTGACTGAAAGTAATCCGAAGCGGTCCCAGGACCAGGCCCAGGACCGCAGGACTGGTCCCAGGACTGGTCCTCGCGGGACCGGTCCTGGGATCCACTTTTTGTACTTTCGGGTGTGCCCCCCAGGGACCATCATTGATTCCAATCACTTCCAGTTGCGTCCCACGCCGGTCCCCTCTGCAGGAGGCTGGGACGGGAGGCAGAGGGTCGGCGGATTTGGCAGGCACGTGTGCGGTGCTGAGCGTGTGCTGTGCTGAGCGTGTGCTGTGCTGAGCATGTGCTCTTGGCAGGCATGCGTGTGCGCGCTGAGCATGTTGCGCTTGTCATCTGGCAGGCATGTGTGCAGTCTCCGAGCGTGTGCTCTTGAGCTGGAATGCTTCTCATTTGACATGCATGCGTGCTGCGCTGAGTGTGTGTGCTCTTGAGTGGGCGTGCTTATCATGTGGCAGGAATGCGTAAAGTGGTGAGCATTTGCCCTTGAGCGGTGTGCCTATCATTTGGCTGGCGTGCGCGCAGTGCTGAGCGTGTGCTCTTGAGTACGCGCCCCAGTAGCGTCAGCGAAGCCAAAAAAACAACAAAATAAGTAGCAATCCCTTAGTTAAACCGTCACCAGGATTGTAGCACCGGCTCCAAGAAAGGACTATTTGCGAATTCCTGCTAGTTTGGTTTAGCGGATCAGCCGTGTGCTTTTCCTTGGGTAGATACCCCTGGTATCCCCCTTGTAAATATGCGTTTATCTCCAGATCCAAATTGCGTGCCTTCTTTAAAGCAACCCTCAAAAACGAAGATGCCAAGATGGCAATGTGCAGATGTTCCCTTCACGTACCCAATTTGTAGGAGCCCCAGGCGGGCACTTCCGTAGCGCAGTTTGGTTGCAAGGGGCCGGGATCTCCCAGCTAACTTCTTTTGGTGGTTTGTAGCGACCTCACGCAGCGATGCTGCTGCCTGTCCCGTCCCCTTCTTTTCCAACAGGCTCCCTTTACTTGGCTTTTCAACACTTCCTTGAATCAAAGCTTGCAGTTTGATGTCCCCATGGCAGCCTTTACTCCGCCTTAGCTGTTTTTGTCAAAGATTTCAATTTTGTCCAATGGGCTGGAGAATGCATCGTCTTCAGCAAATCTTCGCATCCAAAGCTTTTACAATGGCGCTTTGAACGCGAACTCTGAACCACAACCCGGCTTGCTTCTCCAAATGCAACTTCGAAGTTGGGGCATCCTGGGAAGACTCGTCTAAAGGGGCCCAGACAGCTTAGGTTTTCGCTCCAAATTCCTTGCTCCAAGGAATTTGGAGGAGACAACTGAAGCCACGACTTGAGCGCGGCTGAGGGAGCCCAATGTTGTATGCAAGGGCTAGCTCTCACCGTATTGAACGCCAGGACCACACATATGGATTCCTCAAAAAAAAAATGTCATCGCCTCTCCATCCACACAGGTGCCGTGTTTTTTCTTTTTTCTCGAAGCACCTGGAGTCCTAGGTATTTTCTTCCCCCCCCCCCGGAGCCACAACAACCTGGTGACTGAAAGTGCCTAACCATTTGGGGCAGGGGCCACGAATGGCCATGACCTTCCTCCGTCTCCCCTTGGCTTTGAGCCGTGGATCAGCTGCCGGCTCGTGGTGAGTGAGAGGTTCGCTTTCTCCTTGAGCCTCTCCCTCGCGGCGGTCATGCCCTTCCAGTGCCTGCCGAACCCAAATGGAACCTCCTCCGGGGCGAGGACAGGGCTTTGCGATGTGCATCTAGGTCCCCCAGCTAGGTGCCCTTGTACCAACCTTTTGGTTGGGAGATTCGGTTCCCCTACTAAAATAGACTACAGAAAAAAGAAACGGTACCCGTATTCTAACCTCTCCACTGGACCTGGGCGGCCCAGCTCACTAGACTTCCCAGGTTGCATGGTGGGTTTCTCGCTGGGAGCCCCCAAAAAAATGCCCCTTTGTCTACCAGGACCACTTTGCTGCTGGGCTACTGTAGGTGTGATATGTGGAGGTGCTGTTTGTGTTTAGCAAACTCGCCCTCGGTAGGCGTCCGAGGCAAAGATTTGGTGTGCAGGCCATGTCTTTGTTTTTCTTCTTTGCATTTGGGTTCCGCACCAGTAGCAGCAGACCTGCGCAGTTGCAACCCTCTACATGTGGCCGTTTTATGAGGAATCCGGGGGTGATTTGCTACCAGTCCACGGACCATTGGATCCTGGTGATCATCGGCATTTGCGGGATCTTGGCCTATCCCGTGGCCACTTGGCCGAGATTTGGGGTTCAGGCGATCGCCCCTCAGCGGCCAAACATCCACCCTCGTTTGGATGTTTGGGGCCGCTGCTCGGGTTGGCACTTGCAGAGAGCGGGGAGGAAATGGAGAGGTCCAAGTCCCTCAACCCCATGGATTTTCCCAGAAAAAAAAAGAACAACCAACTCCGACTTGCTTTTCTTTTTGGCTCCCCAGAAAAAAAAGAAAAGAAACACCACAACTTAAGCAGGGCTCCTTAAAAGATACATTTTGCCCATTTGAAACATGGCTTTTTCCACCAAAATAAGGGGAAACCACCATTTACAAGGCAATGTTCCGGTGTATAACGTAAGGATCCCTGTTAAGTGGCACCCCGAAAACCACTCGGAGGTTTCTCGCATGAAAGGTTCCCATGGCCCCGCTTCGTGAGGCCACGCTGAGCTGGGCGGTGTGGACCACCATCCAGTACCCCTCCCGGGCGGCCACGGGCAAAGGCTTGGCCTTGCGCCTTGACCGCAGGAGATGGCCATTGGCCACTCTCCGCAAGGGAGATGTTCGCTTTCTTGAAAAGGAGGTTAGGGAATTACACCACCATTTTTTATAGCTTCCCCGTCCACAGAGGAAGGGAAGGGAGGGTCCCATGGTTTTGGGCTTAACGGAGGGATTTGTCTCAGAAAAGGGGAACCCTGACCACCTGACTGCTATTGGGTTTGATCACACACGAACAAGAGGTGCCCGCGAGAGAAGTTGAACAAGGCCAGGTCCTTTCAACCTGCCTCAGGCCCCCCGCCAAAAAAAACGAGAGGCAGAACATGAAAAGAGGTGCCATGAGACACGCAGAGACGCACACTTGTCTGCTATTTTTGGTTGAAATCAAGTTGGGTTTTCCACTAAACCCCCAAAATTGGACTAGCGTTTTGGGAAATCAAGCTGTGTTTTCCACTACCCCCCAAAAAGTGAAGCTCACTTTTTGCAGGGGGGTGGTGACGGCAACCAAGGCTCTACCGCTACCGCTTCTTCTTCCAGCGCTTCAGGAACAAATGCTGGGCCCACAGCGGAATCCGAAAGAAACATATCACGTGCGTGAGCCCTCCAGTCCAGGTGCCCGACCTCTCACCGTTTCTTTTTTGGTTGGGAGGGTTCTACTAAAATGGACGACAGAGAAAAGAAAGGGTACCAACTTATTCTTTGGGGGGCTGACCCGTGGAATTCCCTTGGTTCCATCTTCCCTATGGGGGTATCTCTTTTTTTGAGGGTACCTGGAAGGGACACCAACAAGAAACGCCCAGATCTCTTAAGACACCCCGATCGCGAGGTTATGGCTACGGCCTGGTGATCCTGATTCGCAACTTCCTGCTGGCGCTGGTGCCGGTGCTCCTGGTGCCCTTGCCCTTTCTGCAGGTCTTGGTGGTGGGCCTCGTTCTGCTGGCCAGCCTGGTGATCCAGGTTCGTTTCTGGCCGTGGAGGAAGCCTCACATTGTTGTTGTTGTTGTTGTTGTTTTTTTCCCCCGGGCCGTTTTCGCCTTTTTGGACCGGTTTTCGGCGGACTTTGCGGCCGCAACTCGGATCCGCAGTAGGCTTGAGTCTTCCCAAGTCGTTGGCTGTGGTGGTCAAAACCGTTCAACGGGATCCCATGTTGGTAGGTGAATTCACCACCCGTTCAACGGGATCCAAACATTTTGGAATTCGGTGAATTCACCAGCCAGTTTAGAACCTATTCTAGTGGTTGGATTGAATCGGATGTTCACGGGGGGTACGATTTGGATTGTGACCCATGGCCAGTTCCCCTTTTCGATGTTTTGTCCGCTTTTTTGGTGCTCTCTTTTTGTTTTCCACGAACCAGGCAAAAAAAGAAGAATCTATTTTTTGCTGGGGTCCCTTTTTTCCAGCCAAGAAAGATGGATCCACTTTGGGTGTGGGGAACTCTCCGGTGACCGGGAGCTATTGGACCAGATTCTGAGTGAATAGGGATAGCTCGTTGATTCAAGTTTCCTTCCCTATGTGATAATCAGGATGGCTGTGGAAAAGGGGGGGGGGGTTCGGCTAAAGAACCTCTTTGAAAGGGACAAGGAAGGCAAACACATGGGCCACTTTGGCATCACACAAAAGGCGATGTCACACCGTTGCCAAAACAACAGGCCAAAATGGGCAAGCTGATGAATCCCATTTGTTCGGTGGATTACCACCCTAGTATATTTTTGGCGCCGTGCCCCACTCAAAATGAAATCCCCCCAAAAGGGTGTTCGGGGAACGGGCTGTTGGGAATGTGAACTTTCTGTTATACCAGCCGTTACTCCCATAAGTTATGCCTCCGGTTGGTATTACAGAATCTTGGCAAAGGCCAAAACGGTGGTTTCAACGAGCAAGCAAAAGCCAAGCCGCAAGCCACGCGGGCACCAGGACGCCATATGCCAACACCGTGGACCTGCTGATGACCGGGTTCTTGATCGTCACCCTGCTGGGCGTTGCGCCTTTGTTGGCTTCTCGGCTTTTGCAAAGAGGAGCTGTGGTGTTTTCCCTTTTTCCGCGGCAGCGGGACCCCCTGTCCCCAACGTATCCCAGCTGGTGTTTGGCGCGTCCTTAGTAAAGACCCTTTTCCACATCGTTCCAGGTGCCTAGCTGCAGGTTTTGCTTGTCCATACGGCCATTGGCCTACTGCTGGGGTACTGGTCGTGCAACTGCCAGTGCGGACCCAGGAAACTGGGAGGACCTTTTCCCGGGTGCAGGCTGGATGAAACACGGCCAGTTGCAAATCCCAACTCCAACGGAACCAGGGTTGTGGGATCAAGGGGTTTATCCCCACTTCTGAGATACAAGGGAATCTCCGCGTTTATATGGGGGTTGGTCTGTGGGAAGCCCTTTCTGTTGAATCACAGAAGTGGTCATTTCCCACAGCCCTGAACGGAACTGAGTGGGCCAGGTCCTTTCCTGGCAACAGGATGGGGGCTTTGAAAACCAGCTGTGGGCGGGGGGCCGTTTTGAAACGCGCGCGAGCTTTGAACTCTACTGCTGTTGGGTTGGATTTTTAGACTTTAACTCCTTTTGACCATTTTTTTTGCTGGGGGATCTACAGCACCCAAGTGAATGGAAGCTTATGGATAGTTTGTTATTTCGCCCTAAGAGGTAGAGGTATGGCCTGAAACCCAGCCTTGCCATAGAGCTCTCAATGCTTTGGCTGAGAGTGAGTGGACCGCAACAGGGCCTTGGTCATGGCTCCATGGATCCATGTTGCCTTTGCTTGTTTCCTAAACTGAAGAGATGGGAAAAACTCTTTCAACATGGCTGGGCCTTCTGAGGATGTCTCGTCTACCGATGCAACCGCGGTGCTGGGCTACCTGCTCTGCAGCTGGTCAAATCTACGGGTTGTCATTAAGACGGGCTGCTCCAACCTGAGCACAGGCTACGCAGTCAGCTCTCCAGACAGTTTTGGTGATGCGCTCCCGTGGCCCAACAAGATCCATGCTCAACGGACTTGGCTTTGTCTCCAAATCGCTCAGCCCCTCCAAAATGGCTCTGGTTTGCAACAGATATCCTTCCTCCACAAAAGGGGCGCCCTGCTTCAAAGCTGGGAACGCCCCGCGTTCCCAGACGTTGGTTATGCCCGTTGCAGCGTGGCAGCCCGAAGGGCCCTCTTTTTTTTTGGGGGGGGGGCTGGCTTCCGGACCAGCTCAAAGTTGCCCGCCCCCTCTCCCCCCCCCAAAAAAAAGAAGTCCCTGGTGTTTGCCAGGGTCACTGGGCAACTGGTTTTTTCCAGTTGGGCTTGAGCGTTTTTTTACACGAATTTTTCAGGCAAGTTGTGTCCGTGAGTTGCCAAGTGCTTGCCCTTCCGAGCTGAGCCTTGCTATGGGTGCAGGGGGTGTCCAAGTCACGTCACGGAAGTGGAGTTGATGTGGACCCCTGAGCATCGGCCAAGAAGACGTATGCAGCTCTTCAATCCCAGGTGGACAGTCAAGTGAAGATCTCGATCGGGTAGAACAAGCTCACGCCCCGTGAGGATCCTTTATATCCTTTGGGGATTTCTTGGTTCAGGGTTGGAGTGATGCGCTTCTCATGATTGGCAGTGGAAGCTTTCAGGCTTTCACAGCGTGGACAGCATTCAAGTGGAGGAAGGCCTTGCGTGCAACAAACAAAATGAACCCCTTGGCTGAGGCTGGGCCCCAAATGGGCATGGGGCAAAATTAAACCACTAGGGAACCTGCATTTGCCAGGGTTCCATTTCCGGCACACAATTTTGACCCACAGCGAAATGGACACAAACAAAGCAAATGACCTTGAAGGGCGAGCTCCACGTTACGCTGCTCCCACAACCCGGCCGGACCGACCTGAGGCATACCGGTGCTGGCTCCCATAGTCGTTGCCTTCACCATGGTGGTTTGGTCCGGGTGGCGGTCCATGGGCAGCGCGCGCAAGTTCGACATCTTCCTTTGCCACCACAAGGGCGGAGCGGGGGCGCTGGCCCGCTATGTCAAGCTGATGCCTCTCGCAGCAAACCTTCCGCAAAGTTCCCCGAAGAAAGTTCGGCCGAAGTCCAAAGGAAGCCTCCAGCCAGTTTTTTGACATGTGGCTGTGGCGCAAAAAACCGGAATTCCAAAATGGAACCCTGGTAAGAGGAAACATGGACCAACACCTGCGGTTTCCCCCTCCTGTTTAATTTTGAGCCACACCCATGTGGGATTTTGGGGCTTTGCAACTGTCGGGCCCGGATCTGCGCACCTCATTTTTGTCTGGGCAGTCACAATCAAAACCCAGGGTAAGTGAATGTTAGGGAATATCCCTGCCATAAATATGCCATATATAGCTTCGGCCGCTTTCTCAATGCTTGAATCATAGTTCTGGGTCAAGACCGGGTTTTGCTTATGACTCAGGTGAGCTCGGTTTTGCCGAGCCCTCGTCCCGCTTCCTTAATTTTCCCCCTGAAAACCTCTCCTCGGCAAGCGGGATGCGGCGAGCCTCGAGGCTCACAAGGCAAGCGCAGTGCCACGTGTTCCTGGACGCCGACTCCTTGGAGAGCTTGGACCAGCTCTTCGACACCGCCGCCCGGCCGGAAGGGTTCAAGGAACTGGGAGCTGGGAGCCGGGAGCTGCCTGCTTGGTGGTGACCCTTTCTTGCCCAGCGGCTTGCCCAGCCTTTTCTCCGTTTTTTTTTTGGGGGGGGGTTGTTTGTGGGGAAGGGTTCCCATTTAAAGTCAACCAAAAAGAAGGGTGCCGATCCTTTTTGTCCCATGGAAATCCACTGGGCATCTGAGCAGTAAAGGTTCTCCTCAGAGCAAAGGTGTATCCAAAGACCCCAAAAACATCCCAGGTCCGGGAATACTGAAGGTACCAATGCCCAAAATTGAAAACAATTTAGTAAAACTACCGCTTTAAGGGTCTCTGGATACATACTGGTGATTTCCAAAAGACTAAGGGTAAGTATTAAATCAACCTACCTAAATACAAACACCTACCAGTGATTTCCACGTCCCGTCCCCAAGCTCGACCGTTAAAATGGGGTTTCCGGAAAGCTTCCCAATTGTTCCACACAGCTTGAACTGTCGAAATCCCTGGCTTAGCCGTTTTACTCGCCCCAGCCGAATCAGAACAAAACACATGAGGAGTCTGAATTTCGTCAAAGTCCTGCATTTAAAATTGTGTATCCTGGACTTTTTTTGGTTGGCGCCATACACGCACCCAAGGACAGAGTCCGTTGTATTAGGACCAAAGCTAGACTTCTTTTTGTTTAAAAAAAGAGGTAATGTGGGCCACCTGCGCCAAGGGAGGGGCTTTCTGATCCACTTGTTTGGCTTAGGCCAAATTTGGCATGACATATGCCAGTATATGAGGGGGCTTGTCATGTCACCCAATGTTTGCATGCAAATGCGGCCAAAACGAGAAACATTTGCGGCTCCGAACATTCCCCCCAGCGCAAAGTCAGCCTCCAAACGGCGCACATGCTTCGAACAGAGCGGAAAACCGTAAGTGCGCCTGGTCCTTTCCAACTGCACACATACCTCACTCCCCGAGTTCATGGACTTTTTGAACTTTTTGGGATTGGGGACCATGTTAGTGGCAAACAAACAGTTTGTACTTTTTATAGCCAATCCACTTCGGAAGTAAGATGCTAGCCAACCTAGCATTAAACACAGCTTTCCCTGTGAGCCAAGAAGGTTGAAAGCGTAAAACCGTGCTGCAGCGGGCCGACCTGAATCTCTCACCAGCCCGGAGTTGCGAAGCATCTTAGCATCTTGTGCGAAGGTGAGAAGGGTGCTGGCTTTCAGGTGGCCATGGGTCAAAAGCCGGTACCCTCAGTGAACATCCCAATCCCCACTAAAATAGGTTCTAAAATGGGTGGTGAAATGATACCAATTTTGACCCACGGCCATGTTGGGGTGGTCCGCTTTCCCTAGACCGACTCCGTTCGAGAGGTCCGCGATCACACCAACCACTTCGTCATGCTGCTCACCCAGCAGCTGCTGAAGCGCATGTGGTGCGCCGGCGAGCGGCTCGGAGGTCGAAAGTCGGAAGTCGCTGGGCGTCGCATGCGGGAGCTTTCACGTAGCGCCATTGGAATCGGTATGGTTTGGTGGTGAGTGGTGGTTTGGGAAAAGGAACTGGTTCTCTCGGGTAAGACGAGTTGGTAGAAAAAACAATCCAAACCATCAAGTATAGAAGGGGAAGCAGAATCCCAAGAAAGGTGTTTTCCACTAGGTCGGCATGTGGCTTCGGAGCACAAACTTAAGAAAGCCTGACCTGCTGTAGGGAGTCAGGCCTAACCATCATGTCAAATGCACCGAGCGTGCCCTCAGAACTGAAGCGAACCATACCATGCGTTCGGAGACTCCGAGTAGGTCCCCCAGTAGTGCCCTTTCTCACCCCTTTTTTGGGAGATGGTTCGCCTAATAAAATATACAAAAATGAAAAAACATTGGGTACCCTTATTCTAACCTCAAACTACTGGAGGACCTAGAATCCATCTCTAAATCCATCCTGAGAATGAAATCCATCCTAGAATCCATCCTGGACCTGGGTTTTAGGATGTTATGCAGATTTATTGATATATATATATATATATATACACATATATATATATATATATACACACGAGAATTTGTCACGTCTATAACGGTCCTGGAGAAGATAGAAACGTCGCGCGCTCCCAAAGATGCATTTGGGAGGGTTGTGCCGCGCAAAGATAGAAACCTTTGCGCGCGCTCCCAAAAAACAACACTCTAAGAAGGAGAGAAGTATTCGAGGCGCCGCTTTTTGGGAGCGCGCGCAGGTGCGAGAGTTTCTGTTTTGCTGAAAGCCTGCAAAGGGTTCATTTTGCATTCGCAAGTAACATCCGGAAATGTCAGAACAGTATACTGGCAAATAAAACTAAGTACTGGCAATACTAAATTTAGTACTGGCAATACTACATTTAGTACTGGCAAAACTAAAATTAAGCACTGGCAATTCCAAATTGCAATTGGCAGTACTAAATTTACTACTGGCAATACTAAACTGAGCAAGACTAAGTTCAAAATGTGGCATTTGGCAATGCTAAGCTGAATACTGACATTGCCGTTTGGATTGAACGCCCAGTCAAAAGTTTCTATCTTGTTGCAAACCCTGTATTTTACAGGGTCTGCAGCAAGATAGAAACTCTTGCAACACCTCATGGCCGAATGGATCATCATATGTACGGAAGGCTAAACCTAGCACTTGCATTTGCCATACAAAATGCAGTGCCGGCAATACAAATTTAAAGTATTTTTAGTACTGACAATACCAATTTTATTATGTACTACCACATTTGCGACTCAATACTGGATTCAGTGCTGGTAGTAGGAAATTTAGTACTTGCAACACTAAGGGGACACACAATTAGGTACTGGCAATATTAAATTTAGTACTGGCAATACTAAATTTAGTACTGGCAATCCTCAATTTGGTACTTTCAAGCACTTTGACTTTTCTGGGCCATGGGCCGTAGCAAAAGTTTCTATCTTTCCGCAAGGCCTGAAAAACACAGGGCTTGCACAAAGATAGAAACTTTTTGGATCCTTCCCTGGAACTGCAAACGACACTCTGTCCGAAACTGTTCTACTCTTGTGCGGGACCCAAACGTCTACTGAGGGGGTGATTGTGGACTTGCAGAGCTACCCCCCCTTCTAGAAGCCCAAAATCATGTCAAAATGCATTTTTTAGTAAGGAGTTTAACCAATTCAATTCCTCGCCAAAAAATCGTACTGGCAATATATACTACATTCAGTACTGGCAATACTACATTTAGTACTGGCAATACTACATTTAGTACTGGCAAAACTAAAATTAAGCACTGGCAATTCCAAATTGCAAATTGGCAGTACTAAATTTACTACTGGCAATACTAAATTGCATAAGCACTAGCAAGACTAAGTTCAAAATGTGGCATTTGGCAATGCTAAACTGAATACTGACATTGCCGTTTTGATTGAACGCCCAGTCAAAAGTTTCTATCTTGTTGCAAACCCTGTATTTTACAGGGTCTGCAGCAAGATAGAAACTCTTGCAACACCTCATGGCCGAATGGATCATAATATGTACGGAAGGCTAAACCTAGCACTAAATGGTGCATTTGCCATACAAAATGAAGTGCCGGCAATACAAATTTAAAGTATTTTTAGTACTGACAATACCAATTTTATTATGTACTACCACATTTGCGACTCAATACTGGATTCAGTGCTGGTAGTAGGAAATTTAGTACTTGCAACACTAAGGGGACACACAATTAGGTACTGGCAATATTAAATTTAGTACTGGCAATACTAAATTTAGTACTGGCAATCCTCAATTTGGTACTTTCAAGCACTTTGACTTTTCTGGGCCATGGGCCGTAGCAAAAGTTTCTATCTTTCCGCAAGGCCTGAAAAACACAGGGCTTGCACAAAGATAGAAACTTTTTGGATCCTTCCCTGGAACTGCAAACGACACTCTGTCCGAAACTGTTCTACTCTTGTGCGGGACCCAGACGTCTACTGAGGGGGTGATTGTGGACTTGCAGAGCTACCCCCCCTTCTAGAAGCCCAAAATCATGTCAAAATGCATTTTTTTAGTAAGGAGTTTAACCAATTCAATTCCTCGCCAAAAAATCGTACTGGCAATATATACTACATTCAGTACTGGCAATACTACATTTAGTACTGGCAATACTACATTTAGTACTGGCAAAACTAAAATTAAGCACTGGCAATTCCAAATTGCAAATTGGCAGTACTAAATTTACTACTGGCAATACTAAATTGCATAAGCACTAGCAAGACTAAGTTCAAAATGTGGCATTTGGCAATGCTAAACTGAATACTGACATTGCCGTTTTGATTGAACGCCCAGTCAAAAGTTTCTATCTTGTTGCAAACCCTGTATTTTACAGGGTCTGCAGCAAGATAGAAACTCTTGCAACACCTCATGGCCGAATGGATCATAATATGTACGGAAGGCTAAACCTAGCACTAAATGGTGCATTTGCCATACAAAATGAAGTGCCGGCAATACAAATTTAAAGTATTTTTAGTACTGACAATACCAATTTTATTATGTACTACCACATTTGCGACTCAATACTGGATTCAGTGCTGGTAGTAGGAAATTTAGTACTTGCAACACTAAGGGGACACACAATTAGGTACTGGCAATATTAAATTTAGTACTGGCAATACTAAATTTAGTACTGGCAATCCTCAATTTGGTACTTTCAAGCACTTTGACTTTTCTGGGCCATGGGCCGTAGCAAAAGTTTCTATCTTTCCGCAAGGCCTGAAAAACACAGGGCTTGCACAAAGATAGAAACTTTTTGGATCCTTCCCTGGAACTGCAAACGACACTCTGTCCGAAACTGTTCTACTCTTGTGCGGGACCCAGACGTCTACTGAGGGGGTGATTGTGGACTTGCAGAGCTACCCCCCTTCTAGAAGCCCAAAATCATGTCAAAATGCATTTTTTTAGTAAGGAGTTTAACCAATTCAATTCCTCGCCAAAAAATCGTACTGGCAATATATACTACATTCAGTACTTGCAATACTACATTTAGTACTGGCAATACTACATTTAGTACTGGCAAAACTAAAATTAAGCACTGGCAATTCCAAATTGCAAATTGGCAGTACTAAATTTACTACTGGCAATACTAAATTGCATAAGCACTAGCAAGACTAAGTTCAAAATGTGGCATTTGGCAATGCTAAACTGAATACTGACATTGCCGTTTTGATTGAACGCCCAGTCAAAAGTTTCTATCTTGTTGCAAACCCTGTATTTTACAGGGTCTGCAGCAAGATAGAAACTCTTGCAACACCTCATGGCCGAATGGATCATAATATGTACGGAAGGCTAAACCTAGCACTAAATGGTGCATTTGCCATACAAAATGAAGTGCCGGCAATACAAATTTAAAGTATTTTTAGTACTGACAATACCAATTTTATTATGTACTACCACATTTGCGACTCAATACTGGATTCAGTGCTGGTAGTACTAAATTTAGTACTTGCAACACTAAGGGGACACACAATTAGGTACTGGCAATATTAAATTTAGTACTGGCAATACTAAATTTAGTACTGGCAATCCTCAATTTGGTACTTTCAAGCACTTTGACTTTTCTGGGCCATGGGCCGTAGCAAAAGTTTCTATCTTTCCGCAAGGCCTGAAAAACACAGGGCTTGCACAAAGATAGAAACTTTTTGGATCCTTCCCTGGAACTGCAAACGACACTCTGTCCGAAACTGTTCTACTCTTGTGCGGGACCCAGACGTCTACTGAGGGGGTGATTGTGGACTTGCAGAGCTACCCCCCCTTCTAGAAGCCCAAAATCATGTCAAAGCCAATTCAATTCCTCGCCAAAAAATCGTACTGGCAATATATACTACATTCAGTACTGGCAATACTAAATTTAGTACTGGCAATACTACATTTAGTACTGGCAAAACTAAAATTAAGCACTGGCAATTCCAAATTGCAATTGGCAGTACTACATTTACTACTGGCAATACTAAATTGCATAAGCACTAGCAAGACTAAGTTCAAAATGTGGCATTTGGCAATGCTAAACTGAATACTGACATTGCCGTTTTGATTGAACGCCCAGTCAAAAGTTTCTATCTTGTTGCAAACCCTGTATTTTACAGGGTCTGCAGCAAGATAGAAACTCTTGCAACACCTCATGGCCGAATGGATCATAATATGTACGGAAGGCTAAACCTAGCACTAAATGGTGCATTTGCCATACAAAATGAAGTGCCGGCAATACAAATTTAAAGTATTTTTAGTACTGACAATACCAATTTTATTATGTACTACCACATTTGCGACTCAATACTGGATTCAGTGCTGGTAGTAGGAAATTTAGCACTTGCAACACTAAGGGGACACACAATTAGGTACTGGCAATATTAAATTTAGTACTGGCAATACTAAATTTAGTACTGGCAATCCTCAATCTGGTACTTTCAAGCACTTTGACTTTTCTGGGCCATGGGCCGTAGCAAAAGTTTCTATCTTTCCGCAAGGCCTGAAAAACACAGGGCTTGCACAAAGATAGAAACTTTTTGGATCCTTCCCTGGAACTGCAAACGACACTCTGTCCGAAACTGTTCTACTCTTGTGCGGGACCCAGACGTCTACTGAGGGGGTGATTGTGGACTTGCAGAGCTACCCCCCCTTCTAGAAGCCCAAAATCATGTCAAAATGCATTTTTTAGTAAGGAGTTTAACCAATTCAATTCCTCGCCAAAAAATCGTACTGGCAATATATACTACATTCAGTACTGGCAATACTACATTTAGTACTGGCAATACTACATTTAGTACTGGCAAAACTAAAATTAAGCACTGGCAATTCCAAATTGCAAATTGGCAGTACTAAATTTACTACTGGCAATACTAAATTGCATAAGCACTAGCAAGACTAAGTTCAAAATGTGGCATTTGGCAATGCTAAACTGAATACTGACATTGCCGTTTTGATTGAACGCCCAGTCAAAAGTTTCTATCTTGTTGCAAACCCTGTATTTTACAGGGTCTGCAGCAAGATAGAAACTCTTGCAACACCTCATGGCCGAATGGATCATAATATGTACGGAAGGCTAAACCTAGCACTAAATGGTGCATTTGCCATACAAAATGAAGTGCCGGCAATACAAATTTAAAGTATTTTTAGTACTGACAATACCAATTTTATTATGTACTACCACATTTGCGACTCAATACTGGATTCAGTGCTGGTAGTAGGAAATTTAGTACTTGCAACACTAAGGGGACACACAATTAGGTACTGGCAATATTAAATTTAGTACTGGCAATACTAAATTTAGTACTGGCAATCCTCAATTTGGTACTTTCAAGCACTTTGACTTTTCTGGGCCATGGGCCGTAGCAAAAGTTTCTATCTTTCCGCAAGGCCTGAAAAACACAGGGCTTGCACAAAGATAGAAACTTTTTGGATCCTTCCCTGGAACTGCAAACGACACTCTGTCCGAAACTGTTCTACTCTTGTGCGGGACCCAGACATCTACTGAGGGGGTGATTGTGGACTTGCAGAGCTACCCCCCCTTCTAGAAGCCCAAAATCATGTCAAAATGCATTTTTTTAGTAAGGAGTTTAACCAATTCAATTCCTCGCCAAAAAATCGTACTGGCAATATATACTACATTCAGTACTGGCAATACTACATTTAGTACTGGCAATACTACATTTAGTACTGGCAAAACTAAAATTAAGCACTGGCAATTCCAAATTGCAAATTGGCAGTACTAAATTTACTACTGGCAATACTAAATTGCATAAGCACTAGCAAGACTAAGTTCAAAATGTGGCATTTGGCAATGCTAAACTGAATACTGACATTGCCGTTTTGATTGAACGCCCAGTCAAAAGTTTCTATCTTGTTGCAAACCCTGTATTTTACAGGGTCTGCAGCAAGATAGAAACTCTTGCAACACCTCATGGCCGAATGGATCATAATATGTACGGAAGGCTAAACCTAGCACTAAATGGTGCATTTGCCATACAAAATGAAGTGCCGGCAATACAAATTTAAAGTATTTTTAGTACTGACAATACCAATTTTATTATAATACTACCACATTTGCGACTCAATACTGGATTCAGTGCTGGTAGTAGGAAATTTAGTACTTGCAACACTAAGGGGACACACAATTAGGTACTGGCAATATTAAATTTAGTACTGGCAATACTAAATTTAGTACTGGCAATCCTCAATCTGGTACTTTCAAGCACTTTGACTTTTCTGGGCCATGGGCCGTAGCAAAAGTTTCTATCTTTCCGCAAGGCCTGAAAAACACAGGGCTTGCACAAAGATAGAAACTTTTTGGATCCTTCCCTGGAACTGCAAACGACACTCTGTCCGAAACTGTTCTACTCTTGTGCGGGACCCAGACGTCTACTGAGGGGGTGATTGTGGACTTGCAGAGCTACCCCCCCTTCTAGAAGCCCAAAATCATGTCAAAATGCATTTTTTAGAAAGGAGTTTAACCAATTCAATTCCTCGCCAAAAAATCGTACTGGCAATATATTCTACATTCAGTACTGGCAATACTACATTTAGTACTGGCAATACTACATTTAGTACTGGCAAAACTAAAATTAAGCACTGGCAATTCCAAATTGCAAATTGGCAGTACTAAATTTACTACTGGCAATACTAAATTGCATAAGCACTAGCAAGACTAAGTTCAAAATGTGGCACTTGGCAATGCTAAACTGAATACTGACATTGCCGTTTTGATTGAACGCCCAGTCAAAAGTTTCTATCGTGTTGCAAACCCTGTATTTACAGGGTCTGCAGCAAGATAGAAACCCTTGCAACACCTCATGGCCGAATGGATCATAATATGTACGGAAGGCTAAACCTAGCACTAAATGGTGCATTTGCCATACAAAATGAAGTGCCGGCAATACAAATTTAAAGAATTTTAGTACTGACAATACCAATTTTATTATAATACTACCACATTTGCGACTCAATACTAGATTCAGTGCTGGTAGTAGGAAATTTAGTACTTGCAACACTAAGGGGACACACAATTAGGTACTGGCAATTAGGTACTGCATTGCTAGTACTAAATGTGGCATTGCCTGTACTAAATGTAGTACATTACCAGTAATAAATTTACAATTCCCAGTACTTGATTCAGTATTGCCAGCGCTAGATGTGGCATTGCCAGTACTATGCCCCATACTAAAAATTGAATCTCGAATACTACTTTCCTATTCGGAGCACGTCGCTTTGCAAGTCTGCCCGACTTCTCCAAAAAAAGTTTCTATCTTATTGCGGAAGGGTTTCTATCTTGCCGCGGCGCTCCGGTTTTGCACGCCCTGACTTTCCCAAAAAAAGTTTCTATCTTCTCCAGGATCGCTATACTGTTTTACTGGTTTAGGACGTTTACCTAGGATCGCCACGGCCTACAAGAACCGCATCACGATGATCCCGGTGGTCTGCGACGACTTTCGGCACCCCAGCGGCGGCGAGATGGAGGGCATCCCCTCGCTGTGGACCGCCGAGCAGAAGCACCCGCTGGCCTGCTATGGCATTACCAACTCCGACGCCGCTGGGATTTGCACTACCTGCCTGTTACGTCGGGATTTGGCTGTGGGTCAAAACCAATGGGATTTTATTTTAGGGTAGGTGCACCACCGATTTTATCTTGTTTTAGTGGGGATTGTGATGGTCACTGGGTGTACGGGATTTTGACCCATGGCCATTTGGTCCCTTTGCTTCCATTTGTTTAAGAATATGTTTTTCCCCTGTTTGTTTAAAAAGGAATCGATCACTGCTGGAAATACGTTTACTTTTTCCAGGGGGCTTAAGCAAATGGAAGTTTGTGGTGGCTTTCGAATAGAGAGTATGGATTCGGATCAACTTCCTGTTTGTGCCCTTTGAATTCTGGTTCAGTCGGCGTGTGGGATGTTCAATATTCCAGGACTTTTCTTGGGGTTTCTCTTGCATTGAATCATACCAACGATAGCCGGATGGTTCTATGTTTTTACTTGTGCTGCTTTAATTGCTTCTTCATCATTCCCTTTTGATGGATTCAGATTCTATAATTAATGTGTAGTTGCTTGCTTTTCAGTAGCTACAATGAAGCAACAAGGAAACAGCCACGTCCGGAAGGCTAAAAGGAAGCCAAGCGAAAGGCAAGAAACCTTAAAAGGAAGCCCTACCCATGCTTTTAGCTGACCCAAGCCCACGCTCCGGGCCCTAAACCCGCCCGAAGCCAACCCTAAACCACCACTAAGCCCACCACGTGCCTCCTTACATGGATAGTAGCCTGTTGGAAATTTGACCAAGCCTCATCTTCACACAAGGCGGCTGCCCGTGAAATTGACATGATTCCGGCCCCGTTTCACCCAGGGTATGTTGGCTACGTTGGGAAGATGTGTGGTGCCTCAAGCGTACACTTTCTTTTGATCTGTGAACTGGCCCCCGGACCCGAGGAAACAAACAGCATTCGGTCAGCGCAGAACTGATCAAGCGAACTTTGGAGTGATGGGGCCACCAAGGAGCTCCAAAAAAGGCAAAAAGCCGACCATTTGGGGTCTACCTTTTTTCTTTCGTAATTTACACCGCCAGTCGTTGTCAACATCATCTTGGTGGAAGCAAATGGGGCTAGTTCGTAGGCCTGGCTTTTGACATATTGCGTGATTTGGATTGGTGGGGAGTGGAAACAGAGCTATATATGATCAAGGGTTCACAAGTCCCCACCCCCCTCCCCCCCGAGGTTCCCAGTGCTCCCCCAGCTGTGGTGTGGTTGGGGTGTGGTTTAGGGTTGAACCCCGGTTTTTGTAGGCGATGGGAAGCCGTGCCAACCCAAGCTCCAAACCGCCAAATTCACTCAGTTCTTCAAAGTGAATCGGCCTTTTGACATCTTTTGGTTTTCCCGTTTTGGGTTCCCATTGGAGGGGTAAAAATCCGAAAAACAAATCCCAAAATATTCATCCGCACCCGTTCCCATTGTTGGTTGAGCTCCCAAAGATCACCTTAAATATCTCCCGGTCCTCGGGGCAAGTAAGAAGGAGGGAAGCGGATTTTCACCGGGAAGCGGATGCACAGGCGTCCAGGGCTCCTTAGAAAGATCTCCATTTTGCAACCATTTGAAGCATGTTGCTTTTTATGGCCTTTTTCCACCAGAATAAAGGGAAACCACCATGTACAAGATGCAATGTTCAGGTGTATAATGTAAGGATCCCTGACGTCCTTTTTGGGTTAGTTTGGCTACAAATCGATGGGTTCCACTGGTTTAGATGGGTTTTGCACCCCATTTACCATGGAATCCCATCGATTTCAACCGAACTGGAATTGGGGGAGGGGGGTGACCGATGGAAATCCATTTCTGGTTCCATTTCCCTTTTGTTGAAAAAGCCAGATAAATGGAACTGCACCCCCTTTTCTGTTTGGCAGCAGGGGGGATCAGGTGGTTAAAAGCTCAGTTGCCCAAACCCGACCTTTTAAACTTTGGTTTTCCCAGTTTGGACTATTTTTAGTAAAGGTCCCAAAAGGTGATCACCTTTTGTTTCTGGGTCCCCAAGAAACAACTGAGCAAGGCCACCTAAAGCTTCCCCAGAATTAGCTCCCTTTTTGTTTTTTGCTTTTTAGCTTTTTTGGGGGTCCCTTTGTTTTCCAATAAGGCAAAAAGATCGAGTTTTTTGCTGGGGTCCCTTTGTTTCCAGCCAAGAAAGCAGGTGAGGGGCAACTGAGAATGGCCACCTCCAGCTCGCAGGTGGTGAGCGCGTACAAGCACCTCCAGCTCCTGCCGGAGCTGAAGTTCCCGCGCTTCGGCACCAGCGACGAGCCGCCCGGCGAAGAGCTCCCCGGGTGGGGGGGCTGAGGGTATGATGTGCCCTGGGGTTCGACGCCCATACAACAAAGTTTTTTATTTTTTTGAAAAAGACAAATAAAAACGATAGAAAAGGCGAACGGTGAGGGGGCCGGAGAGGGATGTGCCGATGTGCCGTAGGGTCCGACCCCCAACTACCAAAAAAAACATTAAACAATACAAGAACAAAAAAAACACAAAAAAGGTTGACCCAATTTGGATGATGACATTTTTTTGGTAAACAATGGCGGTTATATGATCCCCATAGTTTTAATTGTGGTTTGAAACCTAGGGTGTGGGTATGGGTCGAAACTAAACCAGGGGACCAGGTGTTGGTTCATATTTGCCGCTTGCCAGGGTTCCATGTGGGGTACATATTTTTGACCCACAGGCATGTTTCTGGCAGAGTTGGGGGTCCCGCCGGGTCCCTTTTGACTGGAAGTGGGGAAGGGGGAAATTTCGACCGGAGATCTCCGACTGCGCAGTTCATTTGGCACTTATCTGAGGGATAGGTGTCGCGTGTGCACATGCAAGGGTCGCCACTCAGTTGGGCAAGTTGAATCGTGACTTCTCGAGTCTCCGACCCAACCGGGCCAATTGAGCAACACTTTGGGTTTGGGTTTGAGACATATACCCGTGAACGTGTCTCTCTCTGGCTCATCCAGGTTGCTTGTCATGTTGAACGTTTGGTCCAGTGATTTGTGGGGTTTTTGAGGTGGGCAAGGTATGATATCTTCAAAGTGGTCAACACAATACAGATTGATCTGTTGATTTGGGTCAACTTGGCTTATTTCGTGGAGCCTTTGACTCAGCAGCTTCCGTTGGGAAGATGTGCACACCTTCTGCCGTGGGAAAACAACTGCGCAAAGCCTGTGTTTGACCTTTGGCCTCCAAACCCATTGGACCAGCCTGCATTGGGACCTTTTTCTTTTTATTGTTTGCTTGAACTGGCAGCAAGAAGTTTCAATTACCCGAAGAGGGACTGTTTTCGGGCTCTGGAAGATTTGCTCCTTTGAAAGGTTTTTTCAGGGGGGCCAAGGCTGCGAGGCTAGGGCTATATTGAAGGGGAACCCTCTGTTGGTTGGGTGTAAATGGAACCCCTACTTGTTTTAGGGGAACCCTAAAAGAGGGCAACCAAACCGAACACAGAAAACCCCCGCATGTTTCCATTGTTTTATATTTTTTGGTGGGGGTGGGGAATCTAAAAAATAACAGAACATAGTCCAACTCGAGTTTCCACTCAAACAGTGACGGAAGCGCACGCTCGCAGCGCCCCGCTCTCGAAAAGTCAACGCTTGCGAAGACGTATTTATTTATTGATTGATTTGTTTGTTTGGTGGGGGGAATACCAAAACACAGTGCTTAGGAAGATGTATTTATTTATTTATTTATTTATTTATTTATTTATTTGTGTTGTTTTGTTTTGTTTTGTTTGTTTGTTTTGTGGGGGGGAGTACCGAAAAATAAACGCTTAGGATGATGTATTTATGTGTGTATTTATTTATTTATTTATGGAGTTCTTAAGGGAGGGGGGTGTTACGGGGGGGGGTAAATTTGAGTAAATGGGCGTGGACTAGGGAGCCCTAGGGAGGCCTAGGGTTCAAATCCTGAATCCGGCTCAGCCCTCATCCTGCTTAGCCGCTTGCCCGCCCACTAAGCTCTTCGCAAAACACTCGGTCCTTTGCGTGTTTTCCAGCAACCCAATTGAAGCTGATTAGTTTTTCTTCGCCCGCTTGCTAGGACTAGGGAGCCCTAGGGAGCCTTAGGGAAGCTTAGGGAAGCTTAGGGAAGCTTAGGGAAGCTTAGGGAAGCTTAGGGAAGCCTAGGGAAGGGGGAGCCTTAGGGAAGCTTAGGGAATAGGGTTTTGAGGGGTTCCGAAAAACCCCGGTAAACCCTGTACTTGGGGCTCACTTTGGGGAACTCACTTTTGAAAAGCCCTGGTGCCAACGACCTTAAATCTTGGAAGGCTGGGGAGATTAAGGGGGGCTACGAATCTTTTAGGGGCCTTTAGGGGTCCTTGGGGAGGGAGCGCTAGGGCTTGCTAAGGAGCTCTTAGGAAGTGCTAGGGAGTCTTGGGGGTTAAAAATTACCCCCCTCCCTTAAGAACTCCATAATTTATGTATTTATTTATTTATGTTTGTTTGTTTGTTTGTTTGTTTGTTTGGTGGGGGGGAAGTACCGGAAAAAATAAACAAGAAGAAGAAACACAAACGCCTAGGAAGATCGCGGTGCTCTTTGACCTGGCGGCCAAGTGTCAGCTCTACAAGCGCCCCGCCGCCAGCGAAGGCGAGCCGGCGCCGAGGCCCCGGATTCTGCTGACGGGCGCCGTGGCCGACGCGGAGGCCATGAGCGCCTCGTTAAAAGAAATGCTTCCATTTGGTTAAGAATATGCCACAGAACCAAAAAGTTGGTGCCCTTAGTCTAACCAAGGATTTGGTCCCTTTGCTTCCATTTGCTTATGAATATTTGTTCATCTTCCCCTGTTGGTTTTAAAGGGAATCGATTTCACCACTGGACATATTTTCATTTTTTCCAGGGGGCTTAAGCGAATGGAGGAATGGGTTGACGGTTTACGTTTGCTCAACAAATTGGACACTATAATTTGTTTACAATATATATATATATATATACACCCATTTTGATGGTTTATGCAAAAATGCTCAACAACTTGGACAATATAATTTGTTTGTGTATGTTTACCATTTGTTTAATTAATGTTCAATTGTATCTGTGGATCATACCATTTTGGGGCTTTCCATGGTTGTCGTTGGGAAACATTTTACATTTTTGCCAAACATGGTTTAGTGGGAAATCCCCACTTGGCTGCTAAAATTACATTTTTTGCCCCCCCTCCAACGTCAACCAAGTTCGGTGCACCACCCATTTTAGTCTGGTGAGGATCTTCAACAGGGGGTACGGGGTTTTGACGGATCAATCCAAAGGTTTTGTGCTTGTTGGTGGTGGTTGATGGGTCAACCCAAGGTCTAAGGGTGGAAGCACATACCCCTTGATCATACCCCATTGCTTCCCTGGTTTCCAAGCCACTTTATAAGGGGTATATATATATACACCCATTTTGATGGTTTATGGAATAATTGCCCCAACAACTTGGACAATAGAATTTGTTTGTATATTTTTACATTTTTTTCAATGAATGTTCAATTGTATCCAAAGGTTTTGTGCTTGTTGTGGGTGGTCGTTGGTGGTGCTGGTCGTTGGTGGTGGTGGTCGTTGTTGGTGCTGGTGGTTGTTGTTGTTGGTTGGTTGTTGTTGATGGATCAACCCCAAGCTGTGGAAGTTGCCTCCTTTCAACATTCCTTTTTCAGGGCTCCTTAAAAGATACATTTTGCACTGGCTTTTCCCACCAAAACAAGGGGAGGGGAAACCACCATTGACAAGGCAATGTTCAGGTGTATAATGTAAGGATCGCTGTTTTTGGCAGGGTAATCAATGGTTCTCGGAAAAGTCTTACGACCTCACACGACCTCACCCCAAATAGCGGGTTATGTGTGGAATAGCCTCCCAACCATCTTATTTCAGGTTGGGTAAATATTATAGTTCACCCAGATGGTTCCCGTTGATTTTCAACTCGCCAGAAACATCGAGGTCCCTTTCTTCATGGCCGGTGGCGGCCAGTTGCGGGTTTAAATGGGGAACGCGTCTTTTTTTGATGGTACCCTTTTTGGGTATGGTTTGAAGGGAAACCAAGAGGAAACCCGTCATTTGGGGGTCCCCTACAAAAATTGACACACCCATTATGGTTGGGCTCCTCATATCACTCTCCGAGCGATATCAGGTTCAAGTTGTCCACCATGGATCTGGGCCAGACGTTCATGACAGTCGGCTGGGAAACTTTTAGGCCTCGGTCAAAGGTGTTTCGCACCACTTTTCGGGGAAACCAACCAGCAGTAGTGGGGGAAGGGATACGGGAGGATTCCCCCGTTTCGTGCAGATTGACAATATGGGATTCTCCCTCATGCCCGCGAATGTTTGTTTGTCCAAACTTTCCACACCCATCTGACAAAAAAATGACGGTACAGATATGCAATGGGGACGCGCAACTCTCTGGAGATCCAGCCCAGCCATCCGCAAAATACGATGTTCGAAGTGGCCGCGCAAGCGGGGCCCGACGTTTGGATTCCACCCGTTCGGGGCTTGCGGCATGGCTAAGCTTTGGCATCTTTTGGCAAGTGAGGCATCTGTGACATCACCCAGATCATGCGCCGCGGCCGCACAAATACTCGAGCCATTTCACGGGATGGACTGGCACATCTTGCCGGCAGAGATTTGCGGTGTTGTTTGAGAGCTGTTTACTGTAGTATCCCTCCGGGCCATTCAGCTTTACGTGAGAGAAACAAAAAAAACACCAGCCCCGGAGAAAAAAAGGGGGCAACTTATTTTAGGACCAATCATTAGGAGATTAGGAGATCAGGTTCAGAGAGCCTCTCTGAAGCTCCGCAAAGCTCTTCTGGGCCCTTTGGCTTTTCAGCCCGAGGATCCAGGAGCGCTTGCACGTGGTGTGCGGCGTTACCAGGAACCAGGAGGAGCGGGACCGATGCAACGGGCCACGGCTCGGTTTGGCCGGAAGGTCAGTCGGGAGGCTATGTGCGACCTTATGGGCTTGAACAAGTTCCCGGATTGATCTGCGTTGGGTCTCTTTCAGACAAGTAAACTCGGGAAGAACAGCTTTGTGAGCCGCTATGTACTTTGGTGCCTGCGGAGAAAGTCTCTTTCAATGCGGTGCTTCGTCAAGGTTCATCTTCAAATCCATGCCCTTTGCTTTGTTGGGGGGATTCTTCCCATATAGGCTGAGATTGTAGGAAATCAGCTCGCATGTGCGGTGGTTCAATCACCTTGCTACCTGGGCTTGCTAGGGGTGTTGACCCACAATCCCTTAACACACAACTTAAACCGCCATTCTCAGTGTCCTGATTGAGGCAGCCATACTAGGTCCCCCAGTAGTGCCCTTTTACCAACAATTTTTGTTTTTGGGGGGGTTCCCCTACTAAAACAGACCTTCCAGAAAAAGATCGGGTACCCTTATTCGAACCTCAAACTACTGGAGGGCCTAATCATATGGCACACCTGGAAAAAAAGAAGGTTTTGACCGTGCTTGCAAGCGATGCCGACACCCTGCACAGCTCAGGACAAGTTGAGGTAACTCAACCCAAACCTGGCTTAATCCCATTTCTCATTCCCTGGCTATCGCAGCGATCAAAAAAGAAGCGCTGGCGCAGGAGGCCCGGAGCCTCATGCGCTACGCCTCCTACATGGTCTTCATCTTGTCCCGCGGGGTCTTGCGGGACCCCGGCTTCGCGCAGATCTTGTTGCTGGCCCACGGGCAGAGCGGGAGCAGCGGCACCAGGCGGCTTCTCTTCGATTCCGTCGGCTTGAGGGAGAGTTGGGCCCTTGGAATCCCATTGGGAGGGGCATGTTGCCACAAAAGGCCCTTCAAATGGATCACTGGAAATGTGGGTTTGTTGGGCTTCGGTTTTGGATATTTTTTTACAAAGTGTTTGGCTTTGGGGCGCACGCCTTGTCATTTGCAACGCTCGCAGGTCGGTCTCACGGATTTTGTCAAACCGTTCTGATCGCTCGCTGGAGTGTCTGCCGGTGATTGCCGACTCTTGCCTCATGAATTGGGCCAGCCCGTTCATGGCGGAGCCCATGCAATAGGGGGAGGGGGGGGGCGAGGTTCTGCGGTTGCCCTTTCTGCATTTGCTTAAGAATAATTTGTGTTTCCCTTGTTGGTTTTAAAAGGGAATCGATTTCACCACTGGACATATGTTCTCATTTTTCCCAGGGGGCTGAAGCAGATGGACGCCAACGGAAAAACCAACCGGCTTGGGCGACTAGTGAAGACCATGGCCCACGGGAACTTGGACCATGGCTTTTGTTTCGGGACATGTGGGATTTCGCCATGGGGCATAACCTATGGCTCCATTCTCGGGTGGATGAACATCCATTTGCCACCACCAGGGGTACAGGGTTTTGACCCACAGTCGTTTCTGAAACCTGCGAGCAGTGGGCCAGGACCTTTGTGCGGCGCAAGGTGTTTATCGGCCCCCGCTTGCCTGTGCGTGCGTGCGTGCGTGCGTGCGTGCGTGCGTGCGTGCGTGCGTGCGTGCGTGCGTGCGTGCGTGCGTGCGCGCGGGCGTGCGTGCGTGCGTGCGTGCGTGCGTGCGTGGGTGCGTGGGTGCGTGGGTGCGTGGGTGCGTGGGTGCGTGGGTGCGTGGGTGCGTGGGTGCGCGGGTGCGTGGGTGCGTGGGTGCGTGGGTGGGTGGGTGGGTGTGTGTGTGTGTGTGTGCGCGTGTGCGCGTGCGCGTGTGCGTGTGCGTGTGCGTGTGCGTGTGCGTGTGCGTGTGCGTGTGCGTGTGCGTGTGTGCGTGCGTGCGTGCGTGCGTGCGTGCGTGCGTGCGTGCGTGCGTGCGTGCGTGTGCGCGCGTGTGCGCGTGTGCGCGTGTGCGCGTGTGCGCGTGTGTGCGTGTGAGCGCGTGAGCGGCGCGTGAGCGCGTGAGCGTGTGAGCGTGTGAGCGTGTGAGCGTGTGAGCGTGTCTGTGTGTCTGTGTGTCTGTGTGTCTCTGTGTGTCTGTGTGTCTGTGTGTCTGTGTGTCTGTGTCTGTTTGTGTGTGTGTGTGTGTGTGTGTTTGTGTGTGTGTGTGTGTTTGTTTGTGTGTGTTTGTTTGTTTGTGTGTTTGTGCGTGTTTGTGTGTCTGTCTTTGTGTGTGTGTCTTTGCGTTTTTGTGCCTCTCTCTGTGTGTACTTGTTTCGTACGTGCTGCTTATTGCGCGTGGTTAATGTATGCATGTGTGTGTGTATCGGTGTCCTTTGTATGACGATCTGTGATGCATGCGTGCCTATGTGTCGTCGTCATTCTGGTGGCGGCCTTAGAGTATGGGTTGTGTAAGTGAGCTGAAGCAGCCCAACCATTCTCAGGATGTTTTTCAACCAAGCGCAGCGATGTGGCGAATCACCAGGTAGCCGGAAACCCCGGACCAGGATTTCAGATGCGGTCCACCTCCTTGTCTCCAGGGTTCCACTTTTTGACTACCCCAGAATAGACTAAACCCAGCGGTGGTTCAGTCCCACAAGAGGAACCTGGGTTAAAGTCAACCTTGGGGAATTTAAACGAGTGGACTGCTTGTGGCGATTACACAGGGCTTGCATATTCCAGTTGTCCCTTAGATCTCCCTTTTCCGCTGCGGATTAAAGTATCACCTTTTGGGCCTTTGGGGTGAGTTGTGTCTTTGAAGGACCCGTTTTGGATGGTAATGCGGAACAAAAAGGACACTGAGGATCGGGAGGCCGATTGTGAGACGGGTTGCATTTCTCAGTTGCCCAAAGCGAATCGACTTTTTGACCTTTTGGTTTTCCAATTTTGGCAACCATATTTGTGGTATGAAATGATGATCACCTTTTATGTCAATGGTGGCTGAGATATGGGGGCTTCTAAAAATAGGGGGATCCCTTTTGGATGGTTCACTGCAGAAAAACCAAAGGGAAACCACCCACCCCTGGAGGGATCCCCAACTTCGAGAAGCACTCATCTGAGATGTTCATTTAAGTCCATTTCTCATTTCTCCCTGGTTAATTTTTTCCGGGACCCTCTCACTGGATGGTTTTTGCTCGTCCTTCGGCAAGGCCGAGGCAAGTACAAGGTCCCCCCACTAGTGCCCTTTTTAACCCCTTTTTTGCTTGGGAGGGTTCCCCTACCAAAATAGACTACCAAAAAAAGACGGTACCCTTGTTCTAACCTCTCTACTGGAAGACCTAGAGTATGAGGGGCGCCGGAAAGGCGGCCAAAACCCAAGCGCGCAAGCGCGCGCGCCCGCGGCGGGGAGTTTTTGCGTGGCCTCAGGATACGCACTTCGAGTTTCCGACCCCGGAGTTTTACCAGGAGCTCGCCTCCTTCGGCCTGGGCTTCGGGCCTGAGGCGGGCCGGGGCGTTGGTGTGGGCGTGGGCGTGGGCGTGGGCGTGGGTGTGGGTGTGTGGGTGGGTGGGTGGGTAGGTGGGTGGGTAGGTGGGTGGGTAGGTGGGTGGGTAGGTGGGTGGGTAGGTGGGTGGGTAGGTGGGTGGGTGGGTGTCTCTGTGTGTCCCTCTTTCCTCTTTCCTTGTCTCCTGCTGTTTGAGGTATGGACGGATGGATGGATGCATGCGTGGACAGACGGAGGGAGGGAGAGAGGGAGTGATGGATGCATCATGGTTGTCGTTGGGAAACATTTTACATGTTTGCTTATCGTGGTTTAGTGGGACATCCCCACTTAACTGTTTTTTTTTTTGCTCCCCTTCCAACGTCAACCAAGGCATGGATGGGCGGGTGGATGGATGGATGACCCTGCTGACGCGGCAAGCCGCGGTACGCTGTAGTAAAACTTACCAGACCAAAAGCAAACCTGGGCCTGACAGAAGCGCACTGCATGAGTTTCGCCGGCTTCCGCTTTGGTCACTCACAATGCTACAGCATCGCAGGCATTGAGTTGGGAACACCGGCGGCACCTTTGTTTTCTTCATGTACGCTTTTGCGACAGCTCATGTCAAACTGGGGCTTTGGGCTGTCTCGAGGATATGACCCCTGCGAGCGCCGCCGTCTTTTGTCTTGCAAGGTGGGGTGCAAGCTGGAGACGGCTTATCGCCAGCTGCTGCAGATGCTGGCGCTTCCCTTGGCGCCCAATGGCTCCGAGGGCCTCATCGAGAAGCAGATCTACGAAATTTGCATCAGGCCCGAAGCCGGTCTCCGCCCCCGAACTTCGAACTTGGCACCCCGAACTCCGAACCGCTTCCGCTTCCGCTTTGCCTTGGGGCGGCTATTAAAAGAAAAAGTACGCCACATTTTAATGGAGTTGTCTTTTCGGCACGGTGACATAAGAGGATACATGGGGAACCAGGTAGGCATCCAGAGGCAGTCTCACTGAACTTCCTCGCGTTGCTGCAATTTTCTATCGGCAGTTTGCTTGGAACCAATCAGTCGCAAGTCTCGTCCCGGAACCCAAAGCACCCATGTTCTTTTGACCCTTGAGTTTGCTTAGGCATACAGGGTGGCCCACTGCTTGTGGGCTTTCTGCCATCTAATTGCCCCAATTAGCTCCTTCTCCCGGAAAAAAAATAAGAACAACAAAAACGCCTTTTGCCATCCATGTACCCGAGAAAAACAATCCATCCGATTTTTTCCAAAAAAACGCCGGCGCTGGCGCCAACCACGCGAAGGTTCCGGCGCTATGCCGACAGCATGCAGGGCATGGCCTTGGATCAGCAGGCCGCGCCTCGGGTTCAACTCAAACGGCCGCCTGCGCGGACGGGTCGGTCGTTTTTTTTTGTTTGCTTTGTTTGTTTTTTCTTTTCGGTTGGGAAAAAGTCGAAAACGTGTTTTTGTTTTCTTCTTATTTTTTTATTCTTTTTCTTTTCGGTTGGGAACAAGTCGAAAAAACAATCCCAAGCAATGGGGGGAAGATACGCCGCCAAAGGTTCTTCAAGCGTTCTGGGACCGCGACCATGAAGAGTGATCGGTGTTTGATTGTGACTATTACTTGGACCCTTCGAAAAAAGAGACGAGAGAGGCTATCGACGTTGATATAGGTCCCGCGGCTCGCATGTTCTCATTCCGCAGCTGCTTTGCGTGACTGCGACGTGGCAACACATGGATGGTTTTCAAAACTTGACGGAGCCCTGCGGATGATGGTTGCTTTCTGGCTGTTTGGAAGCACGCCCAACTTACACAAGTCAAATTAAACAATTGAGGCATGGTGCCTGAACGAGGGTTAAAAACACGTGCGGCTCAGCCTTCAAAAGCACACGTCACATGACGAGCACACAATGCACATACGAACTTCCTGCGGAAGCACTTGTTTACAGAGCTACGTGTTTGACGAGGTAAGTCAGCAGGGGCAGGGTTGAATGTGTGGACGTTGCAAAGGAAACTGCGAGGGCACGACGTGCCTGACACACAGGGCAGGCACATGCCAGTGCTTGATATCATGACGATTTGTTTCCGGGCCCGCCCTTTTCCTAGGCCATAGGCACTATTATTTTCCAGGCGCGTCAGGTAACTTTAGAAAGGCATGAGGTCGATGTTCATGTTCAATCCCTTATGAATCATGAATCACGCTGGTAGAAGCAACAGGAAGGAATGCAGTACTCGGGGCAAAGCACATTATATTGTTAGGAGTTCCTTGGCTGAGTGTTGTTGTTTTGCAAGCAAAACCGGGCCCTGTGATTGCCAATATAATGAGCAATTCAATCAATGTACGTGTTTTTGTGTTTATCGGAAATTTCAGCCTTCACTGCTGCAAAGGTAAGCAGCAGTCAGGATCGACGAGGACATTTCATTCACGGAAGAAGGTGAAGCCCAGTTCTTTGTTTTCTCCACTTCTTTGGAGGCGTTCCTCTTTGGGCTTCGGGAAGAACAACTATTCTGTCATTACTCGTGGTGGTATATACTGTCAGGAGGACATGGATACAATACAATGGTCTCCCCTTGGTTTCCCCTTGAAGGAACCCGATAAAAGAACCGTTACCCTCAACCAAGAAAAGTGAAGCAGCGCAAAGCCAAGGACTTCATTTCGGAGTCGGAGGGAAGCCACTTCTGTGGCTTCGATGATGCGGACATGACCGAGTCCACTGACAACTTTGCCATGCGCCCGCTGGCAAGCGCGAGCTGCCCGGCGAGCGCGAGGGCAAACCGCTTCGATCATGTTGACCCCATATTGATTCATGGGGGGAGGGAGGGGAGGGAGGGGGGGGGAAGGGAGCTTAATAAGGCCGGCTCCAATTTACTTCAACCAACCAGTTTGTTCATAGGATATTTGTGGGAAGTCAGACCCCTTTAGGGGCCAAAAACCACCCCGAGAATACTAAACTGGTTGGCTTGATCCATATGTGGTCAGTATTTCCCCGGGTGTCTCCTGGTTTCCCGCTCCCATGTCCTTGGTAACCGCACAAATGTCCTTTGTAGAAGTTTCTCCTTCGGAACCCTCCAGGTGGGGCGCGTAGCTATTTTTTTTGGTTTTCCCCCGCCTTTGAAAGAAAAAGCAGCCTCAAAAAGGGATTCTGAGCCAAGTCCCAACAATGGAACCTAAAGCGGCAACCGTTTCAATAGCCAGTTAATTGATCAGCTGTTCAAGGGGGAAAATCCAGTCAGGGTAGCTTTTTGGAGAACCACGTGCACCTTTACCGTTTTGGAAGATCCCTGGGGGCGTCGCTCGGTTTCAAAGTGGAGATTCGAGGACTCAAAGGCGTGTGCTGCATGTGATTTGCATATCTTTGTGCGTGGAAACGCGGGCCCCCTAAAAGAATTCCGGCCAGCCAGACAGCGTGAATTTGGATTCATGTGCTGCGAGCTCACATGTGTTTTTTTAGCGAGCCGGCAAAGGTGGCGTCGGGGATCCAAGCAATTTGCGAACTCCTTTTTGGTTTGAGAGCTGCCTAGGCACACGGCCAACAAGAACTGCCACGGGTGACCCCTGGAGTCCCACGCCCTTTGTTATCGGGTTGGCTGCTAGATGTTCATGTCCGTCTCGTGGCTCTTTTTTTGGGGCACTTGGTTCCCTGGCTTCCCCGCGGGAAAGGAACAGCTCTCAACATGGATCCAGGATTGGTTTTCTTTGTAAAGGGTGTTGAAAAGGAAAACAAGGAGGTCAACAGGGGCGGCCTTTTTTCATAGCGTCCTCTTAAGGCTTCGTGGTTGGAGAGGTTCCAGCTCGAGATTCCCAAGTTGCGAGAAGCGTTGTTTCAGCCAAGAAGCAAGGTGCTTTCAATGGCCAGGCTGAGTCATGGTTGAACTTTACAGAGTTAAGATCGGAGATTTGGTTAATCATATCCAGTGTTTGGGGGCATTTGAGGGCGCGTCACTTTCCTGCGCAACCCAAATTGTCCAATGCCTGTTACGAAAGTCGCACCTTTTTAGTAATGGCTGGAATGCCTTTTGGCATGTCCCTTTCGCTGATTTACAAATTACCGACTTTGATACATTCCAACTTAGTTTGCGCGCCAAAATCTAAGGGCCAAAGCCACGTTTGTTCCTCTGGGCAATTCTCCCCTCATGCCCCCTTAGCCAATAACATTCGGGCTTTTGCGGTATTTTGCAGGTGCACCTAGTCGTACTTTGGGTGTACCTTGTTTCGAGGTATCGTTTTTTTGGTGTTAAAGGGTAACTGGGGTGGGGGGGGACGGGCAATTCTCTAGTTTGAACAAATCTCTAGTTTGGGGGAGGGGGTGGGGCAATTCTCCAGTTTGAAAAAAACGGCCAAACGTCCTGGCAACGTGTCCCAGGCAGTACGTCCGTGTCGCTGACCATGTTCCTTTCCCCGGCAGATCTGGCTGACTCGGAGCCGGGGCCCTCAGCGGAAAAAACCGTGAAGCACAGGGATCTTGCCTCGATTGTTGCTGGGAAACATTTTACAGTTTTGCTTATGTGGTTTAGTGGGAAATCCCCACTTGGCTGCTAAGTCAACCAAGATGAGACACCATTGTTTGTTGGCATTTACAGGGGAATCAACATTCCAGGGTTTCTTCGGTGGTGCGAAATGGATTTTGTCCGCGTGTCAACAAAGGAGATAGGGGGTTCTGTTGAACAGCGTATTCTCAATCGAGAGGATTGTCAACATATAGTGGTGACTTTTGGATTTTGGATTCCAGCGGTTGATTCAAAATCCCCATGACCCGTTCTTCTTCGCACATTGCGCTTCAAGTGCGTAGCAAGCTCTCTCTCCTCATAAGTCTCGCGCGCATTGGCCAATTGCAAATCGCCGAGCCCGAAGGCCGGTTGGTTCTTTGGATTGACCAGGTCAGAATCACATGAGGTCCCTGGCAAATTCCTACCGTTTTGGCAAGATTGGGGTTCTGTTTAGTTTTGTCCTCTCGTTTTATTCCTAGTTGACATTGCCGCCATCTTTGAGCACATCGGTTCGCGACAATGACAAGGGCGCCTATTGCCTTTGGTTTCTTGCCGTTAGCTACCTTGCAAACTATAGTTTAATCATGTGCGAAAGGAAACCTTCTTACCCTGAGGAGTGTTGCATTCCTTGTTTGTTTGTTTATTTATTTCTTCCTTTCTTCCTGTCTTTCTTTGTTTGTTTGTTTGCGCGTGTGTGAGGGTTTGCTTATATGTGCGTGTGTGTGTGTGTGTGGGGAGTTGATTGTGTGCTTGTGGAATTTTGTGGGTGCAAAGTTATTTGTGTGTCATTGCGTGCGTGTGTGGATGTTTGCGTCTGTTTGTGTCTGTCTGTGAGTGTGTGTGTGTGTGTGCAGCTTTGCGAGTGTGCGCGTCATGGGTGAGCGGGCCTAAGACTCCTAGGGCTCTCAACTACCCACTTCCCTTGTACCTACCCCCCTTAGGGATTTCATCCAGAAACTGCCAAACATTGACCAGTCCCCCAAGCATGATTCCAAACAAGCACACAAACAAACACACAAACAAACAACACAAACAAACAAACAAACAATCAAGCAATCAAGCAAACAAGAAACAAACAAGCAAAGAAGCAAACAAGCAAACACGCAAACAAGCAAACAAACAAGCAAACGAGCAAACGAGCAAACGAACGCATACAGACACAAACACAAACGCAAAACAAGCAAGCAAGCAAGCAAGCAAGCAAGCAAGCAAGCAAGCACGCAAGCAAGCAAGCAAGCAAGCACGCACGCACGCACGCACGCACGCAAGCCAGCACGCGAGCGAGCGAGCGAGCGAGCGAGCACCCCGCCTTCCTTAGGGATTCCGTAATTTTTGGATGGACCTTGCACCGTTTTTTCCTGTAACCTGAGGGTGTAAACAATTTCCATGCACGAAGCCTCAGAGTTTTGTTCACCGGCAACACTCATTCAACGAACACCGCCGGGGGGGGTCGAACAAGGTCAGTGTATTCCTGCCGCGCATTCGGCAATGGCCACGATGTGTTTTGTGGCGGATTTGTTGTTTTTTGTGTGTGTGTGTGTTTGCTTTTCGCAGCTTAGCTCAGCTTTCCGATTTTCTGTCCCTTCGTAGTAGTTTCTGTGTGCAGTACTTGTTCGTGTGTGTGTGTGCCTTTGTGCATGCATGCGTGCCTGTCTCAACATGTCTTGAGGCCGGCAGGCTTCTTTTCAAACACATCTCGGCAGGCATTGCATGGAAGAAGGCGAAGAAGAAGACACGGACGACCAGATTTCGGAACATTTCTAAGCCAACGGCTTGGACGCTCCAAGCGTTCCCTGCCATCGCTCGCCCGCAAGCATGGGCATGCAGCGGCGTAGCGGACATTTGATCGCAGCCAGGATGCTGCATAATAGTCGCCCGGCCGGCTGGAAAGAAATCACTTTCCAGGGTCGGCAGCAAGGCGTACAGCGTGGGCACTCCTGAAAGGATGCCCGATGCTGCTTGAGATCGAACTAAGTTGACAAGCCGACGTTTAAGGCTGCCTCGGACAGTCTTTGCATCACCTGCGAGGTATTCCCTGCTCTTTCCAAACGTGACATCATGGGCATGCTTTTCCTTGGGCATGGATGTGCTAGGCAGGTAGCCCTGGCAGGTGTTAGACCCTCCCAGATTGGGCATGTCCTCACTCAAACCTTCGGCTGCCTGTTTTGTCCTTTGTTTTTGTTGTCTCGTGCGGTAGGTGGTGGTTGACAGACTTCATTGATTTGTGTCATGGTTGCCGCCGTACCTCTAGTTGCTCGTTTGGTTTGGCGGTTTGGATGCTAAGGAGGTGCCTTCCCCCATTTGGCGTCCAGAGGAAGTGGGCTTCAAATTCCCGAACATCCAATCCAAATCACCAACCGAGTTGGCCGGCAGATCGCGTGCCGATGCACAATGCGCGGCTGCCTTGCCAACAGTCTTGGAACTGCAACGGGCCCCAAGGGGGGCTCAGAGCGAGCGCGGACGACCCGAAACCATCCGAAGCCTGTTCCAGAATCCCTTGCTTTACCCCTCGCGCACAATACCGCCTACATGGCGGTCCTTTCAACTTACGGGGAAATCTAAGGCAGACCACCCATTTTGACCACCCAGCTTTGGAATGGCAGACCGAAGAAGGCCCTTGAATCCCCCTGTGGCTCAGAGCAGGTTGTCAGGGGTCATTATTTTGACGGTTTCTGGGGGTTGTCAAAGTCAGAAAATGGGGGCTGTTTCCCTTCAACCCACCACTTAGAGGGTGACTCTGATCATAGTAAACTAATGAGGCCAGGCTGTGGTGCTCGGGATTCGCCTCGCTCATTTCGCCTTTCCAATTGTTTTCAGCCCAGAGGCGATCGCATGGATCGCCCACCTTCCCCAAGCTCGCCCACAGTCGGAAAAGCTGCGGTTCGGTCTGCAGCTAGGGTGAGCTGTGGGATGTCGAGGGTCTAGCTGTTGAATGTTGTTGTGGTTGCTTGTTTGGCTGGCTGGCTGGCCGGTGGATTGGTTGGTGGGTGGGTGGGTGGATTGGTGGATTGGTTGATTGGTGGGTTGGCGTTGGTGGGTTGGTTGGTTGGTTGGCTGGCTGTCCGGTGGATTGGTTGGTGGATTGGTTGGTGGGTGGGTGGGTGGGTGGGTGGGTGGATTGGTGGTTTGGTGGATTGGTGGATTGGTTGGTTGGTGGGTTGGCGTTGGTGGGTTGGTTGGTTGGCTGGTTGGCTGGTTGGCTGGTTGGCTGGTTGGCTAGCTGGCTGGCTGGTTGGTTGTGGTTGGTGGGTCCGGTCGGTCCGCTTGGTCGGTCGGTCAGTCGGTTCGGTCGGTCGGTGTTGGTTGTTGCGGGGGACAGTTTCGGAGCCAAAGAGGGGAACTGGCCAATCACCTGAAGTTTGTACAAAATCTGACGGCTCGGGTCCCTTCGAAAGGTTTACCAATTAGGCTGCCAAGCTGCCACTGGCGCTTGCATTGGGACACTTGGAGAACGGAAGAAAGGAAAACGTGTCACTGGATCAATAGCATCGACACGAAAAAGACATATAGATTGGTGACCAGTCGGGGGGAAAAAAAAACAAAAAAAACATGGCACTGGGAAGTGCACCTGCCGGTTGCATGTGTGTTTTGTTTTTTAAACAACCCGGCCAGCTGCTGGTCACCTGGTCCACGGCCGAAGGCTCAGCTTGTCCTTTTTTTCCGCCCTCGTACCCAAAATGGCCCGAGCCCATGTTTCGCTCTTTGCACGAAGGTTCAACGGTCAGCTCGGTGGATTTTGTCAAGGTTGACGGTGGATGAAATAGTGGCACTCGCCTTGCCTGACGTAATTAGTCGCCATTAAAAAAAGCACCTAGGCCGCACCTCGTGAAAGAAGCCTCATTCATCAGGGCTCCTTAAAAGATACATGTTGCCCACTTGAAACATGGCTTTTTCCACAAAAATAAAGGGAAACCACCATTTGCAAGGCAATGCTCAGGTGTATAATGTAACGATCCCTGTGGATGCAACCTGCTGCTTCAAATCGGCACTCCCTTTTTCCGAGTCCTTGCTACATGTTCCTCTCACAAGTTCATCTTCTCATGTTCCAAGTCAAGGTTCATTTGGCGGTGGGTGAACAATGAGGGTAACCCCAACATGGGTTGCCCTGGTAAATGGAAACCAGGACTAAAACCTGCAAAACTTCGACCTGGTTGTTCAACTTTGCCTCATGCCCAGTTGGTATCTTTTTTTTCTCGCTTTTTTCTTCTTCTTTTTTTCAGGGAAGCCAACGAAAAACATAAGACAAACAAATCAAACACTCAAAAAACGAGAAGCAGACACTAACGACAACCAAATAGGACAAACACAATGGAACCTAGAACTCAACACAGCATTTTCCGTTTGAAACACGGGAAAAAAAGGACAGGACAAAACAATGGACCATCAACTAAAAAAACAACAATCACATGTTGCCATGAACACACAAGCGCGTCGATGTGGGTGTGGCTTAAAATTAAACAGGAGGGGCAAACCGCAGGTTTCGGTCCATGTTTCCACTTGCCAGTGTTCCATTTTCTCACTTGCCCAAAGCGAATCGACCTTTTGACCTTTTGACCTTTTGGTTTTCCAATTTTGGCAACCATTTTTAGTAAAGGTCCCAAAAGGTGATCACCTTTCATTTCCTGGTCTTTTGGGCAAGTGAGTGTTGGAATTCCGGTTTGATGCGTCGCCGTTTTCCGCAGGCGCTGCGGCGGCAGCTGGCGCCCTTGGAGCGGAAAATGGCGCAGGTGCAGACGCAGCTGCTGCCGCTGCCGAAGCCTCGGAGGGTTTTTGGGGGGGCTGTGGTGTCTCGCTCGGTTGTTCAGTGCCACCAATTATTTTTGTTATTTTTTTTTTGGGGGGGGAGGTGGCTGCCCCACCAAAAATGGTCCAAGCCCCAAAAAGGGTTGCCTTTTTTTTCTCCAGGGTCACTGAACAACTGAGGTGTGTATCTACTTCTCGTTTTTTGCTTTTGGGGGGGGGGGGTGCATGTTTTTGGGGGAAGGGTGCTGTAAAAAAAAAAAAAAGTGTTTTTTTTTTTTGGGGGGGTGCCTAGCTGTCCCCGTAGGTGTTCTTGTGTTTTACGGCTTAGTGTGGGTGTCCATTTAACTCACAGGGGCTGGGGGTACCCAAATTTAGGAGCTAAGGAGCTACCAATCGGAGTTCCGGAAGGGCATGGTAGTTACCACAATTTCTGACCAAAACTTAGATGAAGCTCTTTTTACCCCCCGTTTGTTATAGCCCTTGTTGGCTTGAAGGGGGCTCCATTTGGAGGGAACCGCAGGGAACGGTGGATTTTTGTTGGTTCCCATTTTTTGATTACCCGGCTCCGAGCAACATCTGCAATGGCATGGAATCATCAAGTGACATTGCTGCCACCTTGATGAGGCAGTTCGGCTGAACATAGATGGCACTGGTTATTTAGTTCGAACCGTTGACCAGTGCCAATGTGACTTCTTAACTTACAATCTATTATGGGACATTGCGCTTTAGGATGGCCCAATGTTGAAATCATAGAAGCGCAACTTGTTTTTGTGTCCAGCCTTCCTTCTGGAGGTTGGCAGAGCCCTGAGCGATCAATTGCTCAAAGCCGAGCTGTCCCCTCTCAGCTCCTAAAATAGACTACAGCAAAAAGTTGGTGCCCTTATTCTAACCTCTCTGCTGGAGGACCTAGACTACCTGCCTTGGGTTACGCAAGGATTCGGTCCCTTTGCTTCCATTTGCTTAGGAATCTGTTGTTTTATTTTCCCTTGTTGGTTTTACAGGGAATCACTTTCACTACTGGACATATTTTCATTTTTTCTCGGGGGCTTAAGCAAATGGAAGCAACTAGTTTCATGCGCTGGCCTCTTGTGCCAAGACCTGCACAGTTGCGGTGGTATCCATTTAACTTGGTGGCCAGCCGTCCGGTTCCTTAGCACTTTTTAGGCTTTTAGTGGTAGTTTCCATTTAACCCACTAAAAGTTAAACTTTTAGCAGGGGATCTGAGGGCAGCCAAGTCAAGTGCAGAGAAAGCGGTTCACTCCAATTGGAGCAGTGTTGCGATGCACACTGCAGGCGTTGGTTGAACAATTGGCTCTGGCTGTGGCGCACTAAGTCGTTATGGATATTAAGAATGAATACATGTTTTTTGCATGTTCTTTCGTGGAGCTATGCTTCATCCCCTGAAGCTTTTCAGATCTTTTCAGTTAGCGAAATGTGGTTGGGTTTCCGTATTTCACCCACCCAGTTGCCCAGTGGTGCCCTTAAACCCCCTGTTTTGGGGAAGACCCTTCCCCTTTAAAGTCCACCAGCCAAAGCTGGATGCATTCCCTTTTCTCCCAACTCTGGGCCTTTGAGCCCGCTACACCTGATTCGCCCAAAAAAGCCGGAGACCGGAAACCAGAACGGCGCGCTTGCGGACGAAATGATGCCTCTCACAGGCGACACCTCTACGGAGGCCCTCTTGAGACGGGAGAATCAGAGGACCGGTTCGCTCGTGCGCGCGTGTGTGTGTGTGTCTCTGTGTGTGTGTGTGTGAGAGTGTGTGTGTGTGGTTTGAATGGCTCACTCCCTGAGTTCATGGACTTGGGTGACTTTTTTTGGGGGGTTTGGAGAAACCATGCTGGTACTCCTTTTGGCCGATCCGCCTCAGGAAGTGAAGTGCAGGTAGCCCAAGAGTTCCGATTGTTGATGTCACAAACGTCCCAAACAAGGCCCAGGAGCGGCTGGACGACGCAGCTTGCCATTGTCATGGGGCTTGGGGGCTACTTGCAGAGAGTGCGCCAGGAGGCAGTCTTTGCCTTGTGCAAAGAGGATGTCAGCTGGGGCCTCGGTTCGTTCAGCCAGCGACCGTTCAATCATGAAGTCGCCAGGGGTAAATGTTAGCTTGTTGGTGCCCCTGAATATCGGTGGGCACCTTTTTCGTTGCCGTGCTGAGTCAAGACCTGGACACAACGGCAGAGAGAGCGAGAGAGAGAGAGAAATCAGGAGAGCTGAGGAGCAGGCCGATGCAATGAGATGGCCACCTTTCTGTCACAGTTTGGTGAGGGCTTTTTGGCATGCCCTGTGCCATGAAGGTA